ATTGACGCTTTGGAAGACGAGCCAAGTCGCTGGGCCATCTGTCAATCCCGGAGTCAACGGTTGGGTATCAGACGGGTGTTACTCGTAAGTCTAGGAGGCTGATGTCTGTTTGCAATCACGACTGTGATCGGGCTGTTGGCTGACTTGATGAACAGTGAGGGTACCACGGGACGCGCTTTGCTGCAAGGCGCTGGCTCAGTCCCGGGCGACCAGATGACAGTGGCTAAATGCACAGCAGCTTGTGCAGCAGCAGATGCAACAAATACTCTGGCAGGCGTTGAATATGGAGGCGAATGCTGTAAGTGACGCTGCATCACGGACCGTGGACTTGTGGGCTGGACCCGCAGCCTCGAAAGACTTGAAACAAGACTAAGCTAAGGCTCGTATTTTTTTCATCTTCATTTTAGACTGCGGCAAGAGGATTTCCAATGGAGCGCAGCCCGCGCCGGCCAGCAAGTGCAGCATGGTCTGCAATGGCAACAGCACCGAGTATTGCGGCGGCCCAGGTGCCCTGAACGTTTACAGCCTGGGCGGCACATTGCCCACGAGGTGAGTTGACACATGCATATGTCCAGAGTCCAGACGAGAGCTCGGACGGTTCAGGCACGGACGTTTATCAGAGCCACGAACAAAGAGGCTGATCAGACATGGCCCCAGCAGCACGTCGGGAGGTGCCGATCCAACCACAACGCCCACAGGAACCCCATCGGCGTGTCCAGTCCAGCCGGCCACCGTTGATATGTGGTTCTCCTTTGGCTGCTATACCGAGGCCACAAACGAGCGAGCCCTGAGCGACAAGGCCTATGCCGACGACGCCATGACCCTGGCCACCTGCGCCAAATACTGCGCAGGTTACACGTATTTCGGCGTCGAGTATTCGCGCGAATGCTACTGCGGGAACAAGTTGAATACGGGTTCCAAAAAGGCGCCTGCGGCTGACTGCAGCAATGCCTGCGCGGGCTCCAGCTGCGAGCTTTGTGGGGGCGGTCAACGTCTCTCCGTCTACACCCTCGGGGGTGGCGGTGTCGATCCCAGCACCTCGTCCTCAGTTTCTGATGTTTTCGCAACCTCGACGGGGGCACCTGCTGCCACGGGCCTGCCCACCGGCTGGTCTGCCTATGGCTGCTGGGTTGACGGCGTCAACGGCCGTATTCTTAACAAGCAACTCCCCGATGACCCCAACTTGACTCTCGAGTCGTGTGCAAAGGCCTGCAGCGACCAAGGCTTTACCATTGCCGGCGCCGAGTATTCACGACAGTGCTTCTGCGGCAACTCCATCGTCAACGGTGGCGTGAAAGCCAAGTCTGATACCGAGTGCAATACTGCTTGCGGCGGCAATTCCAACCAAGTTTGCGGCGGCGGCGGCAGAATGAGCATCCTGTCCATGGGCGAGCCCCAGGTCGTTGCACCTCCGGCCGCTATTCCTACCGTTGGCCAGTGGGAGTATCAAGGATGCTACCAGGACAATGTCAACCAGCAAAGAACCTTCTTCTGGCAAAACTTTATGAACACCGACATGACTCCCAAGAAGTGTCTTGACCTCTGCGGCTCCTTTGGCTACATGGCTGCCGGCCTCGAATACGGTAAAGAGTGCTATTGCGGTGACCCAGCTAACATTGCCGTTCAAGGTTCCCAAAAGGTTGATGACAAGCAGTGCAATATCCCATGTGTTGGGAACGCGTCTGCTTACTGCGGTGGTGGCAGTCTCTTGACCACATACTTCTGGAAGGGAGACCCATTCTACTCGTGGAACTTCCCTGCTGCTGGTTCTCCCGATGCTGGTTCTTACGAGTTTCTCATTGGTGGCGTTTGTGTCCCTCTCATCACTTCCCAGGCCATCACGGGCAAGGTTACCTTCCTTGAGAAATGGGGAACTGGACCGCCAAACTCAACTGGTGCTTACGAACTGGATCTTTCCCAAATCGACAATTTCAAGGCTGCCTGGAGACAAATGCACGTCAAGACTGACATTTTCTGTGCTGGTGGCTTGACACTTCCTGACAAGGCTGGCCGACAGCTTAACGTTGGTGGCTGGTCTGGGGATTCAACGTATGGCGTTCGCCTGTACACTCCTGACGGCTCTCCTGGTGTGCCCGGGAAGAATGACTGGGAAGAAAATGCCGCTGTCCTCAAGCTGCAACAAGGCCGCTGGTATCCTACTGCCATGATCATGGCCAACGGCTCTATTCTTGTCATTGGTGGTGAAGTTGGCTCCAACAGTGCTCCTGTGCCGACACTTGAGATTCTCCCCTATACTGGCACCAAGCCTCTCTACATGGAATGGCTCGAGAGAACGGATCCCAATAACTTGTATCCCTACGCCTGCGTCCTGCCGTCGGGGGGTATCTTTGTCGCCTACTACAATGAAGCCAGAATTTTGGACGAGAACAACTTCAACACCGTCAAGACGCTTCCCAACATTCCCGGCGCCGTCAACGACCCCATGGGCGGCCGCACCTATCCTCTTGAAGGCACTGCGGTTCTTCTCCCTCAACATGCCCCTTATTCCGATCCTCTCGGAATCCTCATCTGCGGCGGTTCTACTAATGGCGTTGCCAATGCTTTGGACAACTGTGTGAGCACCTACCCTGACTCTGCCAACCCCAAGTGGGAACTCGAGCGCATGCCCTCGCAGCGTGTCATGACGTGCATGGCCCCTCTCCCCGACGGCACATATATGATTATGAACGGCGCCCACCACGGTGTTGCTGGCTTCGGTTTGGCCAAGGATCCCAACCTGAACGCCTTGCTCTACGACCCCACCAAGCCCCTTGGTTCTCGTATTACCATCATGGCCAACACCACTGTGGCCCGTCTCTACCACTCCGAGGCCATCACTTTGCTCGATGGCCGCGTCCTTGTCTCTGGCTCAGATCCTCAGGACGGCGTCAACCCGGAGGAGTATCGTGTTGAGACCTTTAGCCCCCCTTATCTGAAGAGAGGCAAGCCTCGTCCGACCTTTACTCTTGACAACAAGGACTGGTCCTATGGTCAGCAGGTCACATTCTCGCTGGGCTCCGCGGCTCAAAACGGCGATATTAAAGTGTCTCTGTTGGGATCCGTATCCAGCACTCACGGCAACTCTATGGGTGCTCGTACTCTCTTCCCTGCCGTCTCCTGCAGCGGTACCTCTTGCACGGTTACATCTCCTCCCAGCAAGTACATTGCCCCTCCGGGCTGGTACCAGTTCTTCGTTTTGGACGGTGGTATTCCCGCTGTTGGTGTCTACGTCCGCATTGGTGGCGACCCCGCTGGTCTAGGCAACTGGCCCAAGGGCACTGGATTTAACCCTCCCGGTGTTTAGAGACGTTTCTCGTGGCGCCAAGCCAAACAACTGTTACGACTTGCATGACTTATAGGGCGGCGGACAATTGAGAGTTATCAAACAAAGAAGATTATGCGAAAAGACAAACCTATACATAAATACAGGGCCCTTTAACGCATTGGGACCTCTACCACATAAACTTTGAAGAAGGAAGACAAGATTGTTGATGGTGCACGGGAAAGTTTCCGCTTTCCCTTCTTCACTAGCTTGGCGGGATGAAATTCGTTTCTTATATATAATACATAATTTTCTTTCACTCTTTCGTCTTTCATGATGTTATCCGCGTCTCGTTTCGGTCTCCATCGAACATGCTGGGATGGCTTAACGTCTGGCAGAGTTCTGTGTGATGGGTCGCCGGATTCTTGAGTGCCGTCTCCCAAATGCATGTTCGTAGCCACGTTCGAAGGAGCAAGGAACTTTGTTTCCTACACAATCGACAAGGAGGCGGCTGGACGGGCCGAGCAAACGCTGGGACAACCACGGTCGAAGGATGCGATTGCTACCGATTGTGTATATGTTCTTTTTGTTTTCCTGCACCGCAGCACCTGAAACAACAGAAGTACATACCAGTACTACTCCGTATATTCAAAAGAATCCACAGCCTCGGACGGCATCACGCAGCTGGACCACATGGTCATTTCCCCTGATGGTAATTGTGGCACTGGCGCTTTGAACGGGGGCTAGCTCTGCGCTCGGCCCAGAATGACTGCGTTGACAGGTGCTTGGCGTGTCGTTGATTGGGGGCGCGAGTTTCACGATGAGGCCCAGGAATTGGAGGTGCGAGCACGCGTTTAACGGGGCTAGCTAGTATAGTAGTGATTGTATTTCTCGAGGTTGAGTTATACGTCTCGTTCGTTTCATGTTGCTGGCAAGTTACTAGGAGGTGATACTATCTGCTTGTCTGGCAAGCAAGCTTGCGTACTGCGTCTTGGCGTGACGCAGGAACAAGGCTCTTGGGAATCATGGGGGCTTGTTATCGTCTAAACGACTTTGTGGGCTCTTTATTAAAATAGTGTCTGGCTATTGAGAGACATGAATCATGATCGCTGCACCATCTTGGCCGTGGATGGAGAAGCGCAAGCTGCCATTTATACTCGATACGTCATGCATACGGAGCTGTTATCCGTGATTGGGAGATAAATAAGCCGCATGTAGCTCATCTAAAGCCAAAATATCTAATCAAGTTACCATAAACGAAGGGATTAGACAGAATCCTTGATGGACACCTGCGATCGTCTCGACTTTCGAGGCACGACCCGCTCCCCACGCTGTCAAGTTCGTGTAAGTCGCCGCTATAAACACTAATAATCCCTCTGCTTTCCAAGGTGAAAAGAAAATCTAGTAAAATAAATGAATGGTAATTTAAAATCGCAGAGCCCATAGAAGAAACACTCTACTAAACAACTCAATTTTAATCAGGTACTGCCAAAAAAAAAAAAAAAAACTTCTTCCCAACAGGGTGCCACCTCCCCGGCTATAACGCGGATACGCCAGCAAGTCCGATAAAGGAGCCAACGTTGAGGCCACGTGACCGCCCTTCCCGCGCCGCCAAAATTCGGGCGACCCATCCATCCCATCGATCCTCAACACCATACGGACCCTACGGACCTCGACGAGATATCCGCCCTCCCCGTCTCCCAGTTCCCGCAGTTGCAGTCCGGCATTCCTCGCCACAATGGCAGCTCTCATCAAGGCGGCCAACGCAAAGATCAGGTCCAACCCCGTGTTGGACTACGTCTGCTCAACACGTACGTTGTTTCCCTGCACAACCCCCCCTTGGCCTCTCTCACCTACGTGCCCGTGGAACAATGTACAAGGCCAATGCGTGAATCTACGAATCGAGCGTAATGCAGATCCTCGAGCTTCCTAGAGCCACCGAGCGGCGGTTTCCTCCCCCCCTAGAAAGAAAATAGCAAAAGAGCTATTTCGAAGCTTTTATCCCCCCGAACATCGGAGCCCCGGAGATACAACTTCACTCTTGAACATAACTGACAAGAAACGAAAATACACAGACTTCTGGGGTCCCGTGTCAAACTTTGGCATTCCCGTCGCCGCAGTGCTGGACACGCAAAAGAGTCCCGACCTGTACGTTGAACCAGCTGCCTCTCTTTTTTTTCTTCCCCTTTCCACCCACGGCGACCCCAAAAGAAAAATAAAAAATTGAAAGTAAGCTGACTCTTGCAGAATCTCGGGCCAAATGACCGGCGCGCTGTGCATCTACTCGGCCACGTTCATGCGGTACTCGCTCGCCGTCACGCCCAAGAACTACCTCCTCTTCGCGTGCCACTTCGTCAACGAGTGCGCCCAGCTGACCCAGGGCTACCGATACCTGTCATACCACCACTGGGGCGGCAAGGAGAAGACGCATCTGGAAAAGGGCATCGAGGCGGCCAAGAATAAGGTCGAGGGCGTGGAGGACAAGGTGAAGAGCGCAGTGGGCAAATAAACACCTGTGCTCATATACAACACATTTGCTCTTTTTCGGGTTTTCTCTTTTTTTTCTGCAGAATAGACTTGGCTGGGGAGAGAGCGAGGACTTGCCACGTGGGGGACTGAGGGTAGAGGTTGTTGAACGGGCAGACGGAGGAGCAGTGATTCAGAGACGGGATGCGTGGTTCGCCGGGGCTGAATTTCTCGGAGACCGGATCGATATCCGGTGGTAAAATGGCATCGTGTCTGCAGCCATGTGTACATTTGTACAAAAGTCACACAAACCAACACCTTTTGAAACGAGTCGACAAGTCTAGACCTTGTTCTGGACGGGGAGATCTATCTAGCTCGGGCTGCGCCATGGAAATAGAAATCCTCGCCCGGAAACAAGGGTTACGAGTATGTACGTAGAACGAATGCGCACGGGTTCATCATGTGACGTTGAATGTGTTCTCTCCGGGTGCTGAAATGGAGCTAGGCGCCCCCCGTTTTTGGTTCGTAATACTAGCAACAAGGAGTGGTGGTGCTGCGGTGTACGCCATTTTACCCAACTGATTCGTTGATCGGCGGGTACAACATGGGCTCTGCTTGCTTGGTACTCGAGAGACTAACTAACTAGTACGTAAGTTAAAAACTGGCCGCATCTTGCTCTTTGTCCTTCGCGGCATAAGGGGCATGTGGTTCCCGTGGCTATCCTCGGGTAGCCGTGGTTGACGCTGTGTACAGGCGCAGTTATGGACCAATGAACGCGCGGTTAAAGAAAGCGAGTTGGGGACAAGACTGCGACAGGATTGCATCATTATGGATTCTTGCTCTTCTGGAAACTACACGGGCAAAGAGAGATACAAGGGCGGGTAGGGTGAAAATAAACTAGTGGGTGAAAACGGGAAAAATTGGAAGAGAGACAACTGCGAGTTTCCGAGGTTGTAGCTTGGATGGGACCAGACGAGATAGAGAGATACAGATAGAGATTGGGTCCACGGTCTCCGGGCCTTGAATCTGGGGTAACACAGCCGAGGTCAGAAAGCTCCAGCTCAAAACTACCCGTTTGTACAGCAAAAAAAAGAACCGGAACTAGATTAAACTTTTTTTGGCGCTGGCTTGTCGTTGAACATCAGTGTCCTTAAGAGCCCTGATTACCATCGTTCGAAATCAGAGTTTCCCCCAGAATGATGATCACGGGAACACTTGGCTAGCCAATTGAAAGATTATCTGGACACGTTAAAATACGCCATTAGAAGAATCTTCACATCACCAGGCACGACAGGATCTCGTCAGCCAGCAAGGTTGATGCGTTTGAGGCTTGCCTGTTAATGGAGACACGCCCCTCTAGTCTGACCCAGAAGACGGCTCTTCCCCTAACTCAGCCCACGGGAACAGGCATCCAGAAAGCGATGGACCGGCTTCGAGACTGGTGTTTATACAACATTGGCAAAGTACCTATGCATCGGGTTTCGATAGGATCCATCCGTAAGGGCGAGCCAGCGTCAAGATTGAAACGGCAGACGGGGAAAAAAGGACGGCTCCCCCCGCAGAACTAATTCGGGCGCACGTGTAGGTAGCGAAAATAGACAGGGACGAAACGAGAACTGTGGCAGAGACTTGTCGCATCACAGAGTCGAGAGGACCCGAAAACAAGTTGGACTCAAGTGCCAGACACGTCCAAAAGCGGCACTCGACGGCGACTTGGGCGGTTGTCGTCGCGCATCTCGGCCGTAGCCTGTGACCTGGTCCTCGGCAAAACCAGCAGAGACATCGGCCACGGCCGGCGGGGATGCCCATGGAGAAGTCCAGCTAGCTTTGGTTCACAAGGCAGCTGGGAGGTAGCCGCGGGTATTCGGCATGATGCTGGAAGTGTGACAAAAACACACGCAAGAAGCAAGCTTGAGGATGAAGGATATGGGTTCAAGATACGTAGGAGTGGAAGTGCAAAATGCCATGTAGGAAATAGGAAAGTGCGAAACATGCAAAACCCCCGAGAACAACACCGGATAATTTTGGCAGGCGCGCCCGCTTTCCCCTCGCCTGGAGCTCCCAGGAGCTCAGAGAGGCAGGGAACCTTGGCAGCAGTGAGACTTGACATGGACATATGTACTCCGTACTCTGGTTAAAGCACAGTACGCTTTATCTATCCTACTTGCAAGACAAAGGGCGGCATGGGAAGCACCTTGGCGCAAGCCTGCAAGCGCCGCATAAAAGGATTGACAAACTAGTATTTCAATACTTCGCTGCTATCTTGGGGTTCGGAGTTGACTGGCTCACCGATCTCGGTCTGAGCGCAAGACCCAAGGTAAAGCAAGCAACGTTTTGCCATTAGACAGTCGCAAACTGTAACAGAAGCTTGTTATCCCGCGGCTGTGATTGGCCAATGCCTCTTGTCACTGCAGAAAACTGGGCCCCTCCTTCTCGCAATCCAATGCCGTGACAAGACCGAACGGCGATGCCACTGGCCAAGACTTTTGATTTGTTTCTCACCACCAGCTTGCTGCTGTAGGCTCATCTTTAAGGATATTTTTTACATTGCATGATTTGTCTCAACCCGGTGAGACGTAACATGGCTTCTTCTGCGGGGACAAGGGCCGTGGGCAGTGTTGGCGTTTTGGTCGATGCCACGGCATGAGACCTAGAGAGCTAGACAGACATGAAGCAAGAGGCGGCGCGGCTAAACACAGAAAAAAGGGCTCTGATGAGACTGAACAGGAGCGGTGACTCCCCCGCTAGTTAAGCAACATCAACCGCCTCTCAACATCATTACCACCGCGTTTCCTGGGTCCGCGTTCCTTTGATGCCGGCAATTTGCCCTCAACGCACTACGTTGGTGGCTTGACAGTTAGCGTCGAGCGCGGTTTTCTCCCAGCATATCCAGCGTCCACGCCTCGCAGAGAGAGTGCCATCCTTGTCAGTGACACTGGTCGCCGCGGTCCACTGGAACAAGGAATCATGGTACTTGCTGATAGCATGTCTATTGGTATCGGAGCAGTGTGGTAGGAATACCTGCATACGTAGTCGGTAGCTCGGACATGAGTAAGTGCCATCGAAATAAAACAAGATACATACATCGATGTGTCAAATGGCACGGCCGCGTCCAATCCTGGATACTCTCGGCGGCGAGGTGGATGTGTAGAATGCTGGGATGTGGATGTTGTGGATGTCGTTGTGGATTTGGATTGACAGTCGACATGTCCACGGCGGACGAACTTGGACAGGATGGTCAAGCAGCCGCCATGATCAAGTGATTGTCAGGCGTCGCCAGAAGGAGAGCAGAAATCCCCTCAATGGGCAATGCGTTTATCTGCCCCAAGGTCCCGCCATCAGAAGCTCGTGGGTTTCTGTCTTTCTTCGCCTCTCTTTTTTCTGCTCCTCGCCCAACTCCAACCACCATCGAGACCTAGGACGCCTCTTGCTTGTCCTTGTGCACCCAGTGTAGCGAGGCCCAACGCCAAGCTAGACAGACGGTCAGTGAAACGAGCACAAGAACGAGCAACCCCGAGCCTCGCCAGCAAGCAGCGTTGTTGCTTGTGCTCAGACACGTACCACGGCCGACAATTGATTCACAAGTAAAAAGACGTCAATCCAACTGCGACATCACCTTGGCCTTTTCGGCCTTGCTGACCCCACCCCCCACCAAGACAGGCAGAGACAGGCAGAGACAAAGAGCTTGACCCCTCACCCCTCCTCGCCCCGGCTTGCTCAGGTCCATTCTACTCCAGCCAGTCGACGAAGCACGATACTTGTTGAGCCGATCAGACACCAGACCGGCCTCCCGGCTCAGTAGCTTTAAAAACCACCCGGAGCTCCCTCGACCCAAGCTCTGCTTTTCCGCCTCATCTAGCCTTTCCTTCTGCCTTTACTTTTTTGTTGCTGCCTTTTTGCTGCACAACTCCTTGCCCACCATGGCAGTTCCGCAGCAGCCTCTCACCTTTAACGATGTCTTCGAGGATGAGGATGTTGACGAGCCCAAGGCCGCCAACTCGGTTCACCACATCCGAGCCAACTCGAGCATCATGCAGCTGAAGAAGATTCTGGGTATGTCCCGAGTTTGTGAGCGTCCGTCGAGCTGGACTGGCTGCTTGTGCCTCGGTCGCAGACTGGGGAGACAAGGGCCGACTGCGCGCGTAGCTCAATTGCCCGAATTGGAACAATCTAGGAGCCCAAGCTGACCGTTTTTATTTATGATCAACAGTTGCCAACCGTGGTGAAATCCGTAAGTGATCCGTCTCCGTCTCCATGCATCGTGCTGCGCCAAATCGCTGCGTCTTCAGCCAGTACTAACATGTGCCAGCCATCCGGGTATGGCCTGACCCCACCAGTTCAAAGACGAGACACAATGACGATGTGCTAACCAAGCTGTTGTGCCGCATTGCAGATTTTTAGAACCGTAAGTTTGGCAGTCCCTTGCGACCCGTATACCACTCCAATTGATCGCATACTGACGCTGAGGGGTTTTTGGGGGTTCACAGGCCCACGAGCTTTCACTGCACACCATCGCCGTCTTCAGGTAACAACTCCAGCGCAGGCGTCTCGCCCGCTTTGAGCGGTCCGCTTTGGAGCTTCGACTGACGTTCCAACCCCGACAGTTATGAGGACCGTCTTTCCATGCACAGGCAGAGTAGGGACATCACTTCTCCGGCCGGCGTTTTTAGTCTGGCGACTTTCCCCCCATTCTTCTTTACTGACAGTGACTGCAGAGGCCGACGAGGCCTACGTTATCGGAAAGCGTGGCCAGTATACCCCTGTCGGAGCCTATCTGGCCGGAGACGAGATTATCAAGATCGCTGTTGAGCACGGTGCTCAATTGATCCACCCTGGTCAGTTTTGACTCGGCAGCCGCCGCATAAGCTCAACCCTTCTAATCCGATCTAGGGTACGGTTTCTTGTCAGAAAATGCTGAATTTGCCCGAAACGTCGAGAAGGCTGGCCTCATTGTAAGACCCATAACCTCTTTGCCCCGGTGTTACACTGCGTCTTGACCCCCCCTGGTCCCTTCGGAGCTGATTGGTATCTCTCTTTGCAACGATAATAGTTTGTCGGCCCCCAACCCGATGTCATTGATGCGCTTGGCGACAAGGTCTCGGCCCGCAAGCTCGCCATCGCCGCTGATGTCCCTGTTGTTCCTGGCACCGAAGGTGCTGTTGCCAAGTACGAGGAGGTCAAGGCCTTCACTGACAGCTATGGCTTCCCCATCATCATCAAGGCTGCCTATGGTGGCGGTGGCCGGGGTATGCGAGTCGTCCGCGACCCCGAGTCCCTAAAGGAGAGCTTCGAGCGTGCCACCTCCGAGGCCAAGTCCGCCTTTGGAAACGGAACCGTCTTTGTCGAGCGATTCCTCGACAAGCCCAAGCACATTGAGGTCCAGCTGCTTGGTGATAACCATGGCAACATTGTTCACTTGTACGAGCGTGACTGCTCTGTCCAGCGAAGACACCAAAAGGTTGTCGAGATTGCCCCTGCCAAGGATCTTCCCGCTGAGACCCGCGATGCCATCCTGGCCGATGCTGTCAAGCTGGCCAAGTCTGTCAACTACCGCAATGCAGGCACTGCGGAGTTCTTGGTCGACCAGCAGAACCGATACTACTTTATTGAGATCAACCCCCGTATCCAGGTCGAGCACACCATCACTGAAGAAATTACTGGCATCGATATCGTCGCCGCCCAGATCCAGATTGCCGCTGGTGCTACCCTTTCCCAGCTCGGACTGACCCAAGACCGCATCTCTACCCGTGGTTTTGCCATCCAGTGCCGTATCACCACCGAAGACCCCGCTGAACAGTTCCGCCCAGATACTGGCAAGATCGAGGTCTACCGATCTGCCGGTGGTAATGGTGTCCGTCTTGACGGTGGCAACGGATTTGCTGGCGCCGTCATTACTCCTTACTACGACTCCATGTTGGTCAAGTGCACATGCCACGGCTCAACATACGAAATCGCCCGCAGAAAAGTCCTCCGTGCCTTGATAGAGTTCCGTGTCCGTGGTGTCAAGACCAACATCCCCTTCCTGGCCTCCCTACTTACCCACCCCGTCTTCATTGACGGCAACTGCTGGACTACCTTTATTGATGATACCCCCGAGCTGTTTGATCTCGTTGGAAGCCAGAACCGTGCCCAGAAGCTGTTGGCCTATCTTGGCGACGTGGCCGTCAACGGCAGCTCCATCAAGGGACAAATTGGCGAGCCTAAGCTCAGGACCGAGATCATTCTCCCTGAGCTCATCGCATCCGATGGCCAGAAGGTTGATGTCAGTCAGCCCTGCCAGAAGGGATGGAGGAACATTCTTGTTGAGCAGGGCCCTAAGGCCTTTGCCAAGGCTGTTCGGGAATACAAGGGCTGCCTGCTCATGGACACCACCTGGAGAGATGCCCACCAGTCTCTGCTTGCCACTCGTGTCCGAACCGTGGACCTGTTGAACATTGCCAAAGAGACCAGCCACGCCATGTCTAACCTCTACAGTTTGGAATGCTGGGGTGGTGCTACCTTTGATGTTGCCATGCGATTCCTCTATGAGGACCCTTGGGACCGTCTCCGCAAGATGCGAAAGCTTGTTCCTAATATCCCGTTCCAGATGCTTCTGCGTGGTGCCAATGGTGTTGCCTACTCCTCTCTGCCAGACAATGCTATTGATCATTTTGTCGAGCAGGCCAAGAAGAACGGTGTTGATATCTTCCGTGTCTTTGATGCTCTGAACGATATTGACCAGCTCGAAGTTGGTATCAAAGCCGTGCAAAAGGCCGGTGGTGTTGCCGAAGGAACAGTGTGTATTTCGGGAGATATGCTGGTAAGTCCCTTGTATTTTATGGTTCCCAAGTTTCTATTAACCCCCTGGACCTTTTCTCCGCATTCTTTTTATTTACGCAGCACTGCTGCAGGACGCGACATGTATTGACACGCAATTTCTCATTAGAACCCCAAAAAGAAGTATAACCTGGAGTACTACCTGGATTTGGTTGACAAGTTGGTCAAGCTTGACATCGACGTTTTGGGCATCAAGGATATGGCTGGTGTTCTCAAGCCTCACGCCGCCACTCTTCTGATCGGATCTATCCGCAAGAAGTACCCTGATCTCCCCATCCACGTCCACACCCACGACTCTGCTGGCACGGGTGTCGCTTCCATGGTTGCTTGCGCCAAGGCCGGTGCCGATGCCGTTGACGCCGCCACTGACAGCTTGTCTGGCATGACTTCTCAGCCTAGCATCAACGCTATCCTGGCCTCTCTCGAAGGCACTGGCTTGGAGCCTGGTCTGGACGCCCGCCAGGTTCGCGCCCTCGACACATACTGGTCGCAGCTTCGTCTACTCTACTCTCCCTTCGAGGCTCACCTTGCAGGTCCCGATCCCGAGGTCTACGAGCACGAGATTCCTGGTGGTCAGCTCACCAACATGATGTTCCAGGCCTCCCAGCTTGGTCTGGGCTCCCAGTGGCTCGAGACCAAGAAGGCCTACGAACACGCCAACGACCTTCTTGGTGATATTGTCAAGGTCACCCCAACCTCCAAGGTTGTGGGTGATCTTGCCCAGTTCATGGTTTCCAACAAGCTGTCCGCTGAGGACGTCAAGGCCCGTGCCTCGGAACTTGATTTCCCTGGCTCCGTTTTGGAATTCCTGGAGGGCCTTATGGGCCAGCCATACGGAGGGTTCCCCGAGCCCCTTCGCTCTGATGCTCTGCGTGGCCGCCGCAAGCTCGACAAGCGTCCTGGCTTGTTCCTCGAACCCGTCGACTTCCCCAAGGTCAAGAAAGACCTCGCCAAGAAGTATGGTGCTCCCGTCACTGAATGTGATATCGCATCCTACGTCATGTACCCCAAGGTCTTCGAGGATTACAAGAAGTTCCAGCTGCAGTATGGCGACTTGTCTGTCCTGCCAACCCGGTACTTCCTCACCAAGCCCGAGATTGGCGAAGAGTTCAACGTCGAGCTCGAGAAGGGCAAGGTCCTCATCCTCAAGCTTCTCGCTGTTGGCCCTCTCAGCGAGAATACCGGCCAGCGTGAGGTCTTCTTCGAGATGAATGGCGAGGTTCGACAGGTCGCAGTCCTTGACAACAAGGCTGCCGTGGAGAACATTAGCCGACCCAAGGCCGATGCAAGCGACTCCAGCCAAGTCGGTGCCCCCATGTCTGGCGTTCTTGTTGAGCTCCGCGTACACGAGGGCTCCGATGTCAAGAAGGGCGACCCGTTGGCTGTCCTGTCAGCCATGAAGATGGTGAGTCAATACCCTCCTTGTCATATGCGTTAAAAAATGTCAAGTAGTTTGGAAATTTTGCTAACCCGGCGCTAGGAAATGGTCATCTCAGCTCCCCACAGCGGCAAGGTCGCAAGCCTCCAGGTCAAGGAGGGCGACTCAGTCGACGGTTCGGACCTAGTGTGCAGAATCACAAAAGCCTAGACTCGCCCTTGTTTGAGGCTAGAAAAATTAAAGAAGTAGGAAAATTTTGTGGATTGTATGGTTGTATGGTTTTGGGAGTCTGAAGTTGCACATTCAGGAACGAACGAGCACGCCACAGGTACGGAAAACAAAACACACTGCACGGCATGAACAGTGCGAGGTTGTCGGAGTTAATTTCCCCCTACTTGTTCCCCTTTTCTTAGGTTACGTCTGGTAGATTTTTTGCTTGTATGGCTATGAATATGAATATGATTATGGATAGAGCTCAGTTGCCATGTGACAGACCATCAAGGGCATCCATTCACCACGTATGAATGTGGCTGGTATATTGCGGTATCAGGAAAGCTGTACGCAACGATGCGCCAACGCTGTCTCGACGGCCAATTACTATTTGTTCTGCACAGAGCGTTTTCAAGCGCCGACTGTGATTAATCTGTATGCTGGACCACCGCTATTGCCGTCGCCTGTCGATGCTACCATGGCGGTGGAAGCTCGATCAGCACCCCAGGCTTGCTGTCGGACCTGTATCAGTCGTCGTGGCTAGTTAAGTGAAATGCATAAGTACGCAGCGAAGGTCTCAAAATAAATGCTACGGAGTACTCCGTACAGGCGTCGTCTTTTCCATCCCCAGCCACAAGAAGTCCCTTGCTCTACTCCGTACTCCATAAACCAATGAACCAATAGAAGAACGACGCCATGTTGCCTCCATGATCCGCCTCGGCTGTGTATCCGGCGGGCCAGCCCCAGAATCCGGGGGAGACGTGGAGATTGAGGAGGGGGCGGCGCATGAAACGACCTGCCCGGGTGCTTGTCACAATTCTTGGGGGACATGGAGACATTTACACGGCTGCGTTGCGTTGCCGCTTGATGCCGGCCGCACATGCTTCTGCGGGAGGCGATGGGAGGCAACGCAGAGGGTTGCGGCTGAGCATGTCCGTGTTCTACATATAGTGGACGAGGCAGTAAATTTGAGGCTGGACAACTGGCCCTGTGGCCCGAGCATGCAGATTCTAGATTCTACGCGGGCAAATAAACGCAGCTAGACGTGGCATGACAGGCGTGAGGATTTTCAGACAAAGGACGTTGATGCCGGTTATCGCGTGGCGCGTAGGTTCCCGCTGAGCTGGATGGAACAGATGATGGCGAACAGACATGAAATCAAGCAGCTTGATACTAGCCAGAGCAGCGCATTGTATAATTTCATGGCCTGCGAGGGTCTGAGCCAAGTTTGAAGTGGTTTAACCATTTGGCAACTTGGCGCTCCGGCTCAGCCGAGGAGGTGAGACAGCGTCAAGGCAGCCATATGCAGTCTAATCTGATAACCATCTCAAATGCAACATTTGTCAATCCAAACACTCATGGCTGCGTGCCTCGATCAATCGGAGGGCAATCGGGCAGTCGAGGTGATTCGAGAAGGGGACCGCCATCACGAATGGGCTTGAGGGGTCACGTCACATCACGTCAGGATCGTCACACGCACACTTGGCAGCTGTCTGCCTGCATGCTACGTCGATGAAAATGCTTGTTTGTACTTGTACTCCGTACAGAGTAATTTATTAGTCCATGCATGCATGCATTCGGCGTCGGGTGGATGGGGGCGGTTGTCTCGTGTGGCGGGGGAGACGGAATCGTATTGGACTGAGACGAGCTCTGCCATTTGCCATGATTTAAGTGCATAATCCTCGTAGGCCATCCACAACCAGACGAGGCTGGAAAGGAGAGAAGTCGGAGTTGCAGCCAGGGCGGAAACCGTCTCCCTTGGCCTCGTCTAGCAGCTTCTGCCGTCTCCCTATCGAGTATCCATAGCCTAAAGTAGTGTTGCGCAAGAGATTTGCCCTGCCATTGTCATCGCGGACACCCTGTCGTCTCCTCATGTCTGTTCCAGAAGCAGACCAAGGCCGAACCCTGAAGCGCTCATGACCCACTCTAGTCGAAAAGAGTGTGGGGGGGAGAAGAATTTCGAAGGGCCAAGTGGGAATGAGATGAATTGATGCCTGGCGACCTGGGACCTCAAGTGCTGGGTGCTCCGCAAAGGCCGGGGCTGCTGCAATGACATGTCCCAGCATCCAGATCTGACCATGCTAGTAGCGCGAGTGCCATGCGATGCCATGCAGTACGCAGTCATGCTGGCATATAGTATCGCGTCACTGACTGCATGGACTTTGCGCCAGAGTACTGAGTAGTGTCAAGTTGCAAGAATTGGTCAACTGGTAGTTTCCGGTAGCAAATACCAGACTTGATCTGGCACAGTTGGTCGTGCTAGGGCATAGCACTAAATTCATACTACTTAAGTAAGTAGATGGACAGTCCCGTTAGACTTTGATGGAGAATATCCAAGTCTGCTGGTCAGCTGCTGGCAGGGCTATCGAGACCTAGCACAGGTTCTTGGGTACCTGCTTGCGTACTACATGCGTACTGGCTTGAAATGTCAATCAACATCCACGCACTCGCACCTGCCCCTGCTATGTGCCCCAGTAAGCCGGTGTCCCGTAAGCTCAAAGTTGCAAGCTGCACCCGGCCCTCCCCCGCTTCCGGCCCTAGTGCAGTGCACTGGTGCATGGCTCATACTCCGTACTAGTCATGAGCCTTCTCGCCTCCCCCTCCAAAGTCCAGATGTCCTTAACATCAAAGCGCCCCAAGCCTAGTACAACTTGACTGTACATCCCGTCTGGACTGGACCAGACTCTGCAAAAAAGAGACGGCCTGCAGCCACCAAACCCCAGGCAGGACTCACCACACAACACCACACAACACACAAGTCCACCGCGTACGGTCGCTGCTCGCAAATTTTCGTCTCTTCATTTTTTAGCAGGAGCCTTGTCAAGATATCTATCGTCACACTCTCCGCCAATCCATCCAGAAAAGACTTGCCGTCGTGTGCACAATCAGCATTTCCACCGCAGGGCACACGACCACCACTCCACCCTTACACTGCTCCGTCCTGTCCTGTCCTCGCATCCGAGGAGGCCTCTGCCACGACGAGCCTTGTCGACATCTCTGACCTGTGCGTGGCCTTGACGCCTAGACCCGGCATCGAGCCTCCCCTTGATACTCTACACCCCTGGGGATTCTTCGTCATCGCGCCACTGCCATGGAGAGTCTCCAGCTGTCTCAGGTGCTCGCTGACTTGAGCAATCTTGGAGCTGCGGTAGGTGTTTGCCACCTGGATGCATTCAACGCACCTTGTCTAAATCTCGTCGCTGTAGGAACCCGAGGCTGCCGCCGCCATCGTCAACGCCAATGTCCCCATTGTCAAGGCAGAACAATTAGCCGAACCGAAGACCTCTGCACCGAGCCCTCAACCGCCGCGCCCGACCAACATGAAGCGATCGTGGTCATCCGAGGCTGGTGTCCCCCCCAAGTTTGACAAGCTAGGTCGACGAATCCTGATTAATTCAGGGTCCCGATCTGGATCTGCCGCAAACTCATCTCCTGGAACGCCTCGACTGAGCGAGTCTATTGTATGAAAGCCTATGCGCTCCCTGCCCTGCCCCCATTTTAAGCAGCACGCGAAGGAATTTCAGTTCTGATGACAAACGTCTAGGTTGACGATGACCTGGAAAGAGCATCTACCCTCATGGCTCTTTACGACATCCGCGCCAAGATAAAGCAGCAGGACAACAGCAGCCTCATGAGAGCCCGCGAGAAGATCAACGCCCTAGCCGCCAAGCAACAGGCTGCTGACCGTAGTATGAAGGCCTCCGACGAGCTCCGGCGCCATCGATATTCTTTTCCCAAGCCCGGTCTGTAAATCGTGGGCCTACTGTTTTGAATTTTTGGATCGTTTTCACATAGATGAACTTTGGGGATTATTTTGCAAGGCGTTTCAGGGAACTTGTACTCGGACAACTAATTTCATCAAGTCCAATGTCGTCTTTGGTTTTCATTGACTAAACATTACCTCTGCTGCTGTTTTCATGACAGGCATCTTCTTTAAACAAAAGTACTATTGACAGATAATTCTTTCTGGCAACGACCTACGACCTAAGCAAAGTTATGACGATACCATTGTGGCCGCGGGCGAGACAGACAGGCACATGGTGCTGGATGAGATGGGAGTACAATGGCGGCAGAGGCTCATATTTGTATTGTATCCCGATACTGAGAATATCGAGTTCGGGCTCGTTCTTCTGCGTTATGGGCAGTGGGAGCTGGACTTGTTCTGCTGGAGCAGAAGCCGATTTGTTCTTTCCTTTGGATGGGTTTTACGCCTCCTGACTGTGCGACTACTCTGTCCTCCTCGGCAACGGGTTGGAAACGACATGGATAATGAGAAGGGGAAAGGGGACGGGATGAGTTGATGCATCTTCTCGAGCCTGAGATAGTCCTACAAGGCAAGCTCTAGGGCAGTCGCTTCCGACTGTTGACTTCAGGACGCCAGCGTCGCATTCTCAGCGGTTTGCTTTTGCGGGAGGGCATTTTTGTACGATTATATACCCACGCCTACCTACCTATGTAGTAATGTTTGATTCCGAGAAACACTTCTGCAGTCAGACCACAGGTAATTAATTGTTCAGAGAGTCCAGGGAAATGTTTGTCTGTGGCCTATGCACTGCCTTTGCTTGCTGAGATTTCGTAGACATGAACCCTTGGGGCATAAGAAATGTATTTAGGGGAATTTTATCTTGGACAGTCTCCGGCCAATGAAGACTGGGCGCGCATCTTGAGTGGTTTGGTTGTGTAGTGCGGGAACTTTGCTGAAGCTTTGCCTCTGCGATACATGCTTGCATGCTAGTCTCATGCACGATATCAATGAGTAGCCGCTCATGGTGGCCAATATTGACTGGAACCGAGATTTTGGGGTCCTACTAAAACGGAAGGCGCCGACACTGGCTCGTGACGGCACTGGGGCCACTGGGGTCAACGGTTCCATATCGCCGCCCCTGAATGCTTCCCAGCCAATCAACTTCCAGTCTCCAACGTCCAACCAACGCCGTCTTGAAAGCGACCAACTTCCCAGGCATCAATGCGCATTTCTGCCAGTTACTCCGTACACAAAACAATTCTAAATGCGTGGTCGGTGGTGCAGTGATTCCTCAGGCGAGGACTAGTCGACTTGTATAGGGCCTGGTCATACCTCTCTCTTCTGTCAGGTGCTGCCATCATCCTTACCCACGTACATACACCAGTCCCTGGACGCTGAGCTCCAGCCATGGCATCGACAATACCGCTGCTGGACCATGAATCCGTCACCTTTGAAGAAGCGAAAAATCTGGACTTCAATGTAATCCATCGCCACAACCAAGTCGCACTGGCGAAGCAGCTATATCACGATTTATGGAGCCACCGGGAGTCTATTGCGACAATAACGAAGAAACAGCTCGGGCTGGACGCTGGAGCAGAATGCTCCGTCGCTCTCCCTCAGGATTGGATTCGAGGAAAGTTCAATGTCTGTATTCCTATCGAGGTGAAGTCGCGCCGACTCGGAAGAAGGGTGTTGATGCGTTGCCCCATGCCTTTCGCGCTCCGTGACTCGGCGTCTCTGGACGAAAAGCTGCGAGGCGAGGTCGGTGCATACCTCTGGATGCAGGAACACTGTCCAGATATTCGCATCCCACAGCTATATGGATTTAGTACTTCCAATGGTCACGTATGTATTCTGAGCATAGCTTGGGGATGGACACGTTATTAATCGAGCGCAGTTTACTCATGAAGCCCGACTCCCATGGTACATGCGCTTGCGTCGTATCGTCTTGCGAGTCTTTCGATCAGTATTCCAACATCCGGCTCTTTCATCATACGCCCCTATGACTTCACCTACGACATTGCCAACTCAGTACATGTTGTTAGACTATATAGGACAAGATGTTGGGCAAATGCTGTCAAGTACGTGGAATATGCACCGGCATGACCCGTCCCACCGGAATCGACTGTTCCATGGTTTAGCCCGCATTATGATATCGCTGGCCCGGATACCACAGCCCAGAATAGGCTCATTTCGATTTCACGACGACTGCACTGTAACACTGACAAATCGACCTAGTTTTGCAGCCACTGCGCTACTGGAAAACTGGGGGGCCGAGCCGTCAATAGATCATGAAGAAACGTATTGTTCCACCGAGTCGTATGTTGCCGACATGATCACATTACATGACAACTATTTCTACAGCAATGAGAGTGCAGCAGATGACGAGCATGACTGCCGGGCCCAGATGGCAATTCGTACGATGCTTCGCACCCTCTCCCACAACTACATTAAAAGGGAATATAGAAATGGGCCGTTCCTACTTCAGCTCACCGATCTTCATCAAAGCAATGTCTTCGTGGATGATGACTGGAATATCACTTGCCTTCTTGACCTAGAATGGCTATGCGCTCTACCTCCAGAGGCCTTGTCGGCCCCGTATTGGTTCACGGGGCGGAGCATTGACGGAATTGTGGACAACCACGAAGGCCAGAACTTGACTGAATACGACGGCATCCGGAAAGAATTTATGCGCGCCTTCTCAGAAGAGGAATCTAGATTCAAGCTAGTCTGGCCACTCTCAAGGATCATGGAAGAAATGTGGCAGTCAAAGGGTACTTGGTTTTGGCATAGCTTAGAGTCTGTTAATGGGGCCTACTACCTGGTGTATGATCACCTTGTACCACAGTTTTCAGAAACCATATCTGGACTGGATAAGTCCTTTGCACTACTCTGGAGACGGAAGTCACAGCACATTGTCGAGAAGAAGATTTCTGATTTCAATGGCTATACTCAGAAACTAGGTCGACTATATACTGAATGAACAGTAGTCGCGCTACTTGGAGGACTTTTCTGCGGCCTCTCGCGCCTCTCTTTCCTGCTTCCTTTTGAGTCGATCCTGTTGCGTGCTTTTGCCAGACGATACGGCCAGTGCCGCATCAGAAGGTTTAATAACCACCCCGAAGCTTGCCTCTTGAGCCACTCCGGTGTAGCTGGCCGAGGAATGAGCATCGCGCTTGTCTGCCATCTTGATCCTTGGGCATGCCGCTGTTAGCGACTTGTTGTGCTCTTGAAGAAGGCAACTTACTATTTGTTTAAGTAGATTTAGATTTAAAGTTCCACTTCGATATGGTTCGAATATTGTCTGGTATGATTTTGGTGTTTATATTCCGAGTTCTATGGACATTATGCGCCGACATTGCCTCTACTTATAGTCCGGTGGGGCGTCGAACCCCCTCAGTTGATGTTTGAAAGTCGCGCCTGCTGCCTAGAGTCGAGGCCTGTTTTTGCGACCTACTGCATGACAGTATCTTGGTTGATTGGCTGTCGAGTGGTATTCTGCCTCGTGATGTTGGTTGTTGTTTTTTTGTGGCACAAGATGCATAATCTCTCATTGGGGCTCAAGCTTGTGACATGAGCGACCAATGGGCAGACATTCCAGGCAGAGATGTGTATTTTCGAATAAATCCATTTTTTTCTCTTGTTGGTTCTGAGTTGCCTCGTTAGTCTACTTGCGAGGCTCGTAGCCAAAGGTTGCATCGGCGCCGTACTTTAGTCTCGGCTTCGCGTTTTTTTTTTTGGTACTGTTGGTACGTCCGCCGGTCCTGACTCCTATCTAAATGAGCAGGTATAATTCTCTTTTTGAGGAGAGGAGAGGAAATGAAAAGAGTGAGAATCTACTAGATCACAATATACATTTATTGGTGCTGGGTAGAACGGCCAGCCTCGTATGTCTCTGCTGAGAACAGATGTGCATAAAGGGGCCACGCCACATGGCTTGGTTCGCGGACGTATTCGCCTCCCTTCTGCGTTGGCAAGTAGATAAAAACAAATTTACGTAAATCGTAAACCGTAGACTGGAAGATTTCTCATCACATGGGTTGGGAGGAAGCTCTCTTCACGTCTTGGGGGCCTAGCTGGTTGATGGTTCTGTACGGCTTCTTATGCAGTTGGTTGAAGCTCTGTTGGAAGGCGCGGCGCTGACGTGTCTGCCTAGGGGAGGCTGGATCGATATCTAGAGGTTGTTACGAAGGGAAATGAAAGTTGGAAATGTACCAAGGGTGGTTGTCGACCCCGGGTAAATGTGTAGCTTGCGTCACTTGTATTTCTTGCTGTTTATCTCCCGTACCGCGTGAGCTTGGCAGACCATATGCGCTCTTCTCGTGTTTCTGAAAGCCTGTGCGTGGCTTACTATGACTTGGATTGCAGACGGAAGACATTTGGTTGTGGTGTCGTTGCGGCGTGTAAACGGTATGAAAACTTTGCGCTGGTCCTGCTTTTGCATCTCGGTGATCAAGCGTCCCCCATGCCTTGAACAACTGCCTTGGAGATTCATGACTTTTACTCAACATGGTCTCACATCTGTCGTAATGTCGAAAAGAAAGTTATACAGCGCCGGGAACTTTATCGTTTGCCGAGATAAAAGTTGATTGGGTTCATGGCCGGTTGTGACAACTCCCCGTTACTTCGAATCTGCTTCTGCCCGGCTCTGGCATCTCCTCGATTTTGATGTTGTGCTTCATTGCATAAGATGGAAGGCTTTGAACTTGCGAGAGCTACAGAGGCCGGTGTACACATAGGTATCCGGCCCTAGATGTGGTTACAAAGAACGAGTTTCACTGACAAGTTCATATCCAGCTGTAGAAGATGTCTTTTCAACGTTGGGAGTTGAAGGTGAGCTCCACACCCACAGGCATAAGCGTGGGTTCACAGCCAATGAGATCGGTTTCCATGCAGGTCTGCAATCGGAGCCCGACAGACGTCACGGCAAAAAGCACGACAAAGCCATGTGCACGTACTCTGTACACATGCACGTCATTCTCGTGGGCCTGAGCTACTTGTGCGTCAAAGTGTTTGGTGTACAGAGCATTGACTTGTTCAGATGCCTTTCAAGTACGCCCTGGACATGCTCTGAACAGCCAAAGACAACAAAAACATGCGAGGAAGGATCTTGTCGCACCGACCACAATGCTTTCAACAAGAAATGTTTTATGGTCCTCGCTACCGATGCTCGTGCGAAGAGGGAACTAACTGTATTACGAGACAAAGTTCTTCCAGAACAACACATGACCGGGCACGGAAGCGAACCCGGGCAATGGGGCTGCATCGTTGAGCCTCTCCCCTCATTTGGAATACGCTCCCGCTGTGACAGTGTGTTGGTCTGGGCTCAAGTTCGCAGAGGCGAAGTAAGCAAAGAGCGGCTGATGAACATTGAAGTGACATCGACGGCCAGAGGGGTCGGTGGGGATGACGTTGGGCGTCGTTACGGCAGTCGAGTGCCTGTCAACTTTTTACCCAATCCATTATCGCCTGTCTACTCCGTATGTTAGTCTGACTGATTCCAAGTGTGGCGTTGCTCATGGGTCCCACCCATGATGCTGAGGATGAGAGAATTCGCAAGCCGGCCTTGGCGGATTGATTGCTCAGCCTACAGAGAGAATGTGAGCAGTCACTTTTACCCCGTGAACGGCGACCAAAAAAAAAACGAACGCCGTCCTTCACCGTGATTATTTTGTGGTTTCTGTTTGCGTGGGATCTGGACGTGCTGCGTCGAGTGTCCTGCCTCTGTTCTCGCGAGGAAATGAGAAAAGCTGCATTGTTTGTCACGGATGGGCTGAGGGTCCCCACTGGCGTCGGCCGCGGCTCGATGTGATTTGCTGGCTGCGGCAGCCCAAAAGGGTCGACAGGGTGGCCCCACCCCACGCATAGCCACCGAGATGAAGCGGGCGCATGCGGGCTAACTTTAATTGCGTGAGGCAAACTGGCGACCCCGGCGCAGACACTCTCTGGACACGCAGGCGGTCGCTGGTTCACAAGCTCCGGGCGAGGGATTCATCAGTGCCAAGACTCACCCCGGCCGGCTAGTCCAGCTAGTCTGTCGCCGTGGCTCAGCCCGACATTCGAGCGCCCTAACAGCCGTCCGTCGCCTTGACGTACAAAAGCTCCCTCGCCCCGGACGCTGGTCTTGCTCATTGCAGCCATCGATTCGTTTCGCAATCTCGGGCCAGAAATCAAACGTTTCATCTCCATCGGCCATCGTCATCGTGCCTTCACTCACCTCTGTCGCGTGCGAACCGACCGAGCCCACATAAGCATCTTTGCATTTCGCATTCCGCATTCCGTGTGTCCCGCCGAGCCCAATTGGTTGCACCTGGCCGGGGCAACACGTCATCCATCGCTGCGCCAACAAACGACCAGCCCATCCATCATCGGCTTTGGCATCAAAAGTCGCCTTCACATTTCTTCTTCAGTCTCCTCTTCCCCCCCGCCCTTCCATCATTCTCGACACAAGAAGAGCAAAAAAAAAATTCACCATGGCGCCTACGTCTACCTCGGACGCCTCAACGGGGGCCTCCGTCATGGGCCTCATCAAGAGATACTACTACTGCGACAGCTACGGCTACAGGTACAGATGCAACAGCAGATGGTACGACTGGGGTCGCTGGGTTGTTCTCGCGGGCGTCATCGTCGTCTTCCTGCTCATCATGATGACTTGCGCGTAAGTTTTTTCTCCCCAACCCCGCGTCTTCTCACAGAGCGCAAACAACTAACCAGAAGATATAGCTGCACCGCCCGTCGCCGACGTCGTCGCGGCGCCCAGCCCATGTACGGAACGGGCTGGATGGCCCCCGCCGGCAAGTACGACCCCAACCAGCAGCACCAGATGAACAACTACAACCAGGGGTACCAGCCCGAATACAACCAGGGCTACGGCCAGCCCCAGGGGTACTACAACACGCCTCCGCCGTACGGCGGCCAGGCGCAGGCTCCCCAGAATACGGGCACCACGTTCAACCCTAATGATGGCTACTACGGGCAACAGCAGTACGGTGTTCAGCAGCCGCCGACTACGTACCACCCCGATGGCGGCTATGCCCCTCCTGCTGGACCTCCTCCCGGCAAGTAAGGGGTATCCTGGGGCTTGTCTGGTTTTTTAAGGGTTGAAGATTGTATGCAAATTTCTCTTTGTGAGATTGTTGGATTTAGGGTGGCAGGGGGATAATGATGGGGAGGAGTGGCGTCGAGAGCACGTGTTGGCCATTTTGGGATGTAGTTGGAACTGACGATACCTGAAGAATAATGAATGTTTGGTTTACCTGAGTGTCTGACACTAGGTGTCTGTGTGTTGCGCTGGATCGGCCGGGAAACTATAGAAGTGTAGCGTTATTTACCAATGTTTTTATACCAGCCGCTGTCACGACCTAGTACATTGTCACGCAAGCTCATACGCCGATTCTCAGTATCATTTATCCAAGGCCGTCCATTTGTCGACGAAAAGCGGCTTGGTCGCTGCTCTTGTACGCTGGACACTTTGTATCTACCGCAGTCGGCGCTGCTTTCCTTGTCGTCAGAGACCTGTACCTTATCGGAGCTCGTGTCTCTTGCGCTTGGAAACCTGATGTATACACGGCTCGAGCTGATGAGATTCAAGAGGTCAGGGGACAGCAAAGTAGCGCCGGCCACGATCACGGCATGATGAGGAAACAACAACAAAAAAGAGGCAGGCTTCTAACAGAGAACGTGAATCTGTCCACCTAATCAACTGCTATCCCGGGTTCCGGTTTATGAAGGCCTTGTATATCAAGGCTATGCCAGCTGACTGGCCTTGTCAACGAAGATGGTAAGCTGGGCTACAAGTGCAGCTGTACATTGCGATTAGTATTTAGGAGTGTGACGGGAGGAAGATACAATCGCGCTACATGGTAAACTGAAGCTTATTCAAAAGGCGGAGCAGCATACCGCAAAACAAACTATTATATTGGGCGTCTACCGTTCTGGTGTCTGGAGTGTGTGTGTGACTAGGACCAGACGTATTGCAAGATAGAAAGCTGCCTCGAGGGAACAAGAAATTAAATTAAATTCGAGGAATAATTCCCCATAGATGCCTACACTATGAACTGCGATGACCGACCTGGCAGTTGATTGTACGTTATTAGTTCCATGTCCCTGTAACGATCATTCCGTACATTTACAAGTTGAAGGAAAAGATAACGCTCTTGTTTTCCGCATGCTCTCGAGTAGCAGCACATCCAACCCTCGTCACCTGGTTCGCGTCACACAGTCTGGCCCATGACATCCCCGCGCAGATAACGATCCGTGTCTCACAAACGGCGCCACGTCACAAAGAGCACAGTGTAGGTACTGTTGCACTTGATGCCGCAACGATGTTCAAAGAATCTCGTGTTTGAGTACTCACTCTGTTCAAGGCATCAGACCAATCTCCGTTGCGGTCAAGGTTGCCTGTGGCTATTCTTCGTCGGGCGTCAGGCCGCTGGATGTGGCTGGCCGGCCAGGTGCGTTGCTCAGTTTCTGACCGAGACCAAACATGATTTGCCAGCCTTGAAATCCGGCAAATGAGGTCCAGGCCACCTAGGAATCTGAACACCCCTTTCGGAGTAGCATCGTCTCCGATTCGCCCCCCGGGAAGGAGAGGCTGGGCGGCCCGCGCTGGCCAGCAGTGTCACGAAGCCGGTTACACCAAGTATGCAAGCTGCTTCTCGACCCAATGCTGCGAAAGTAGTACTCCGTATTAAGAAGGCTGGAGCCCCAGGACAATGCACTTCGCCGATGTACCGTAGAAATGCGGCCGTCGTAATCCGCACAATACTGTCTTTTGCGTCTTGGCTTGTCTCGTCCGTCGTTCCTTGTTTTTTTCTTTTTTTGCTGCCCCTTCCAAGTCAGAGCTCAGGCGTAGGCGTTGGCATTGAGCGAAATTTTTATTTGACGCAACCCGCGCGTCGCTGCTGACGAGGAAGAATGGGAGCCATCCTTCTGGAAGGACACCTTGTCATCAAGAATATTGAGCAATGGTGCTTGCGGAAGGGCCGCCGAGGCCGCATCGACCCGGTCCTAGCAGTCGTGTTCTTCAATACAGACCCTGCTGCCGAGGAATATGTCCGAATTAAAGCACACGTTGCTGAAAAGGTACATTGGTGTTGCGCAGCCGCAAAATAGCTTCACTGACCGAGTGCGTACGTTTCCAGGCGGGCGTCGGATACTGGGTTTACGAAATCTCTCCCGAAGCCTCCTCGGGCCATGTCCAGAGACAGATTCAAGAACTCAACGAAAACGAGCAGGTGCACGGTATACTCATTCAGCGCCCACTGCCGGAGCACCTCAACGAGCCCAAGATCATGGCGTCCATCGACCCGGACAAACACATCGAGGAGTACTGCGAGGGGCAGCCCAGCAACATTGCTGCTGACGCCCTTGGTCGCCTCCTCTCCAAGCATGGGAGGAGCCGTGTGTTGTGTGAGTCCGCCGTACACGTTGTGGGCTTTGGCAACATCATCACCGATGGTTTCACGTCGCACATGAGGCACCACTACCCGCGGGTCAGCGTTTCTCCCAATCTTCCCAAAGTCACGGGTGACGCAAAACCCGGTTCAGAGCATGTTGATCGGCCAGCCATGCTCATCACGGAGCTTCATCGCGGGCCTGGCTTCATCAAGCCGCGTATGATCCGTCCCGAGGTGCGGGTAATTATCGACCTTGGCTTTTATTCCACGGAACAGGGCGTCATCGTGGGGGACCTTGACCACACAGTGTTTGAGAAGGATGAGCTTGCCGTCGCTCCGACACCCGGTGGTGTGCTGCCTGTGCTGCCGTGGTTGATGATGGAGAGGACTATTAGAGCAAAACGGCTTTTGACACGGAAAGAGTCGCGATTTTGCTGTATATGTCAGTAGCTTGTTCCCAGGGCCGAATGCATCACTTACCCGTCAAAACGGCATACAAATATTCCTGTTTCCTAACAATACTTATTTCCATATTGTTTGCGCCCCATGCATGCAATATTTCCCATGATTGAATACCAAAAATCGCCAGTCATGATTCGTGGGCAACGCCAGATAGCAACAAATGTTTGCATACTTATCTGTCGCGAATATCACCAGTCCTTACAGCCTCCAATTAACTAAGTATACCGACAACAGACCACTGCCCGACACAACTCGCGCTCTGCGCCTGATTCACACACCAACCTGGGGCTGTAGAGGCTCAAGACACGAAGCGCGTACCTTTTGCTGACATGCGATTTGGACAACGTTTGACTTTGCCTTTGGCCAGCTTGTGGCTCAAGACGGATTTCATGATGCACGGCGCGAGCGAGTTTAGGCACGCTGGAACAGGTTGGCATAAGGAGTCCTTGGCCCGATTGACCCCGAGGCAAAGTATGCCGGCTGAGATGAAGGACAATTGCGTTGATGACTTTTGTCCATCCGAAGCAAGTGTTTTGATGCGTGTTTTCAGTTAATTGTGGCGCGTTGCAGTATTGCGGTTGCCTTTCTTTCCGGTTAGCTAATTTGCGGGGTATCGACCGTCTACCACTTATTTAGGTTTAAACTTCGTCAATTGGGCCTATTATCAATAATCGCAACCACTCCTACTTTCCAGTATTGCCAGCAGTGCGCACTTTCCTCGTCTTTGAAAATGCATCGAAAACACGGGGCTGAATTTACCCAATCTATGCAGTTTGCTTAATTTCTAAACTGCTTTTCGACTCACTAGTACACGGTTGATTGGGCCACTCTTGTGTGGGTCCGCGTTTAAACCGCTTAAGGGAAATTCGGCAAGTTCAACCGCGAGCAATTACTAGTATCTCATTTTGTCGTTGAGAGGCAAAATGTCCATGAGGATATCTTGTCCAGAGGCGACCGGGCGTTTGCATATTTTGCCCGAGTCTAACTAAAGACCGCTGCCGCTCTTTCTCTGTGGTTTCTCGAGCTGGGCTGTACTATGGCCAGGTTACTGGGGCAGCTCGGTGCTGAACTCTAGTTTATCCTTGTCCATGCTACTCTTGTATCCAACGGTGTGGCTCGGCGTCGACAAATAAAGGACATAGTATGTGGATCTGTGTACCAAGGACGGAGGACCTGCAGATGTCAAAGGAGAGTTTCAGACTGACGACAGACCGACGGGGGCCAGTGCTAAATAATAAATATCGACTAATTTTCTACTATCCTGCCTGTCTGTCAACTTTGGGGGAGCATGGATCCCATCAACCTCAAACATAACGACGCTTTGAGACACAGCACGGGTAGAAACGATACACGACTACCCGGGTATCCAGGCACGCGGTCATCCTTTCTGACAGCCCAGGCCACATGGTGTTGATTCGCTCCATATTGACGACACCACACCAGTGGAGGCCCCGGAAATGAAGATGGCGCAGAAAAGTAATGGCCTTCCAAAGCCTGACGTCGACAGCTAAGCCACCCGGTCCCCATTGTCCGTCCCGGCCCGTCCAGCTGGTCGTTGCAGATGAATTGCAAACGGGAACGTCGCGACTTGAAGCATTGATTCTCTTCCCCCCTTGGAAGCGTCGTCACGTCTCGCCAAGACGCAAGCATGGTCAAGTGACAACAAGCGACAAAAGAGCAAGGGCTTTTCTTGTGCCCCCAGAAAGGGGACAAAAACAAGTGACTCAAGCTGAAGGAAGAGGCATGCTTGTGCTCAGTACACATGCATGTACCATGTACCCGACTTGACCCCTTGTTGCGCCACGGTCCACGCACAGGACAAACAGGTTTTTGCAGGTGCGGTCAGGAAAAGCAGGCGGACCAGACGCTTTATTCATTTGGCATCACGTACTAATAATGGTACCGAGAATTAGCAGCCAGGGCAGAGATGCCGTGTGCGATGGGCCACGCGGCAAGAGGAATGAGGGCTGAGGGATCGTAGGAGGCACTTCGCGAGCATCATTACCAAGAGAAGCTCGCAGGGGGGATCGAACAGGTTGTCGGATTGGCCCCAGTTTTCCAGGGGCACACCGGGCATCCCTGATCAGCTGCGGGGGGGGCATTGCCCAAGAGAGAAGCGCTCGTCCCGTCATGGCCATCCAGACGTCGTCTTACCGCGACTCCGGTGCCAAGAAGCATCGAAGGCAGGTACCCGAGGGGCGTACCTGCCGTATCGAAGTGACTTCCACCGCGCCGCATCCCCTGTCATTTCGCTGGTCCCTCCGCCGCCGCACATCAATTGATCCCAAGTCCCGCACCGCCAGAGGAAATTCAATCACAATGGTCAATTTGTCCATCTTCTCTTCCTAGCCGTGCCTCCCGCTCTTTTCTCATCCTTTGCTCCTGTCGACGATCCTTATCTGCCGTAGACGGCATATGCTCGTGCACAGCGACCGGGCCCTTTCCACGCAGCGACGGGGGCTTTCTTTTTTTTTTGTTCCAGTCTCCTTTTCGCACCGCTGCTCGTCACTCCTTTTTGTCTTGCTCGAAAAACGTGCCCTTCTTCCACGACGAGTGCACTCCTTTATACCCCGTCTTCAACCTCGTCTTTGCCCTGAGCACCCCCCTTTGGTATCCCGAGGACCAACGGCTGCGCCTGCGACAACTGTTTGAAGCGGCCCGTTTGATTGTACATGTAGCGACGCCCGTTGGCGGCAAGGTGGCCAAAAACTCGGCATAGCCCACCCGACTTGGTTTCACACTTGAACCTAAACCTCCTCGTTCTCTCCAGGTTTAAGCTTTCCGATTTCGTTCCGATCCGGATTTTCATATCGCTGCTCTCGAGTCGACCCCCGTCCGGTGCTAGGAAAATCTCGACTCTGAACAACTCATTCCCTGCCTCGTCGCGACATTCACGGTCCGCATCACCTGGGGGCCTCCTCTTTGTCACTTTTCGTGGCTGCAGTCTGGCTGAGTGGCTACGTTTTGGCGCCGTCTAAGCCCCCCAATTCATTCGTTTGCGACCGTCGAATAATAAAGTATCGCGCCCGGTTTATTTTTGGAATCAAGCACATTGTTGGCTCTGCTGTCACTGCCGGAAACCTGTTCAAGCTTATTCTGACGACCCTTCTCGTCTCTCGTCCGACAAGATTACTTTGCTCTATTGCCACCTTCCACATATCTCTGCTTTGACTCGAGCCTTCATGCCATATTGTGGACCTGCTCTTTCATCGCATGGCGCAAGCACTTGGGATTTAAAGGTAGTCCTACCCGACTGCCACGTCGCCTAAACCTGCGAGCCTACTCTTAGGGACTCTCTGTCCTCTTATTTACATCGCGGTTAGCCGTATTGGACGACGGCCACACGAGCAGCTCAACATGCCATCGGTGGACGTTGCAATGGCGAGGTCCTTGCGACCTGCAACCTGGCAATTGATTAGAGATGCTGTCGCTCGATCAGTCGCCCAAAGTTTGGCCAAGAGAGATATCGTGACGGATGCCCAAAACCAAATTACCGATGCCAAGACTGCTTTTTCAAGTTGGGATAACTGTATGAAGGCTGCGTTCTGCAAGTACGACTCACAGATGCCATATACTTTGCCACGTTCAGCGCGTTGGCTCTTCCCCTCCTGTTGCTGACAAGTCGTTAGGTGGCCTGTTATTGGCGTCATCATTGTTGGTAGCCTCATCATCCTGTCTATTGTCTGGTGCATCGTTCGATGCTGCTGTTGCGGCATGTCATGTTGCTGCAGTTGCTTCCAGTGCTTGAAATGTTGCGGCAACTGTTGCGGCTGCTGCGATCCGCCTGGCGATCGCAAGAACAAGAATCTCGACAGCCCGTACATCCCTCCTAATCACGATCAGAGCCAAGGCTACCGAAACCAAGCTCCAATGCAGGTACACTTTCACCCACCAGCACAATCGAAATTCGAACCACAACAGTATGCCGAATTTGACGTCTCCAAAAAGGGCGACGGGGACGCCCTGCCTGCCATGCCCAGCTGGGAACGCTCAGGGTCCAAAAAGGTCTTGGTGGAGGAAGAAGAGGTGGAAATGTCCAATCTCAGAAAGGCGCCAGCCCCATCTTTGAACCATAACCGCAGGAATCTACCGTCTCCTACTCCCGTCAGTCCCGTGAGCATGAACTACGATCGCCAATACGGTCATCTCCCGGGCAGCTCCAGCGGTCACATGTCTAATCACAGTCAACAAGACCTGTTGATAAGTCCACAATCTCCCGGCTACGGACAACCTAACCAAGCGCCTTATGGTGTTCCAAACCACGGGTATAATAATGATTATTTCAGTACGAATCGTCAGTCCGCGGGTTTTGGCCTAGATGACCCATACGATGGCCATGCTCCTATGTCCGGCGCCAATGCTCACGCACAAGCTGGTCAGCAGTCTCAACTCTACGAAGCTCCTGGACACCAGCCATATAATAATGCCCCCTACGGTGTTGCTCCTGCTGCCGTCGCCGGCGCCGTCGGCGTTTCCGGGGCAATGGCGATGCGCAACCGCAACCAGTCTACCGGACCGTACGATCAACCATATGATGCGCCGCCGGTCGTTGGTGCGACTATGGGATCCGGAGGTCGTCAGTCACCAGCCCTTGCCCAGAGTAGTTCTCCCTATGGGCTGGATCAAATCCACGAGCAGTTTGCAGAAATGCCGGCCATACCGGTCGACCATGACCGTATCCATGGCTCAGCTCTCGCTCAGCAGAACCGATCACAAATCCCTGATCAGGCGGCACCTCGAGAGTTGGCCGGGAGCACGCCGCCTGAGGGTTATGGCATGAGACAGCCTGGCACAGCAGACAACAATGCCTCTTCACCGGTAGGTGGAAGACCACCTTACGGCATGGACCCTCGCATGAGAAATTCCCCTGGGCCTAGCCAAACGCCAGGGTCGCTAGGTGAGAATCCTTACGCCTATCCCCCACGGGGATCGCCAACCCCCCGCAACGACCAGGGATACGGCCGTGGGCCTCCGTCATCTCTCGACAACGTGAACGGAAGCTACTTGCCGGCCTCTCCCCGCCAGTTCTCGCCAGGTCCCGAACGCCAATACTCACCCGCCCCCGATCGTCAGCGGACCCCCGGACCACGCCCTCTTACAAACACTGTCCAACCACCCAGCAACACCTTTAACCAGTCGCCGCCTCGCTCCCCATTTAGAAACAATAGCGGATTCGACTTTGAATCAGGATACTCACGACCACAAGAGGATCGACATCACTCCCCCCCGGCTCAGTCACCCACGACAGCGGCATACCCAGGGCAAAGGACGTACCAGCCCCAATAATCCAACTGTATGATCTTATGCAAATGAAGTGAATATTCAATTGGGGCGGCGTTTTTCTGTTCAAGGGACTTGCTTTCCAAGGCGTTTCTCGAAATGGGTAACATTTCGGTCCAAAGCCACTTTTAGTCTCCAAAAGTTGGGCTTTTTTTCCCTCCTTTTTTTTCAAACTTTCCGTATTTTAGGCACAACGCCTTTCTTCCTTTCATCATGTATCATAGATGTCATAGATGCGACACCGGGGATTAGTCAGCGAGATCTTTTGGAGACCATTCAAGCTGTTTTGTATATTCAAGGGCATAGGGCCTTTTTACGATGTAGTATTTTGATTTCCTTTCAGTTGAATACAGCATCAATATGGTGTCTTGGCTGAATAATGATGGAAGGTGATTGTAGACCCTTGCGAGGCCGGAATGACGTGCAACAAGTTTATACAGACTGATGGGCACACTGAAGAAAATAATAGCCAGGAAAGCTGAAAATATCGTAGATTGACACAACTTCCGGAATGGACTACAGTACAGGATCCCCAAAGCCAACGCCAGCATTCCAGGAACGCGCTATATATAGTGTATTTGTATAATTGCTCGCTGAAATCAACAAAGTACATCGCAATGTCCAGATCCCCCAATCTACAACAAAAGGGAAAGAAATCAACAGAAGCACACAATTTATTCCTTGGGATACAACTCCGTGGATACCTTGGCCCGATCCAACCTTCCCCGGCTAGAACTACTTCCTATAACGGTGGGCGCGTCCCCATCCACATCGGGGTCATATTCCTCCTGTACATTGCTCTCAAGGCCGTTCTTGGACCGGAGCGGGCGGCTGCGGCTATCAAAGTCGCTGTCGTTGTCGTCTGCATCGCTACCTTCGGCTTGGCTGCGTAACCGAGTGCCCCGGTATCTTGGGATGTCGTGGTCTGGCTCGTCGGAAGGGAGGCGTTCGTGCTCTGGTTCCTTCATCTTGATGAACGAGTCGATGATGTAGTATTGCAGAGCATTCATGATGAGCGGGAAGATCATCATGACGAATGCTATTTGGAGTCTTTCGTTGCCTTCGGTCCAGGAGAGGGCCCAGTCGCCGACTTTGGAGATCCAGGGCATGACAATGAAGATGATGAGGACGCAGATCTTCATGCCGAAGAGGCCGCAGAAGTAGATGACGGACTGCTTGAGCCACCACCACGAGCTGGGGGGGTTGCCGTAGTTTCCCGATTGGATGGACTCGAAAGGTTTGCCGAGCGGTGTCAAGGCCACGAGGCCGGTGATGATTTTCAGGAGAATAATAAGAATAGGGATACCGAGTGTTGTCTGGAATTCATACGTTAGCGTTTGTGATTTGCATTTTTGAGGGCAGTCGCGGTTTACTCACGTCAATACCTAGGTTGAGGAGATAGAATGAGCAAGGGTTGGGTACGTAGGGGTCGTCGCCCCGTGCCTGCACTGCGCCCGGTTCTAGCTTTATCGAAAACCGGCCGCTTGTAAGCATAGACATGAAGATGTTGGCAATATGCACCAGGACAGAGCCAAACACTTGCTTGGACACGTCGAAGAACCAAATCTTAAGTGGTCGTTGCGGACGCTCTCTGTACCGCTTATACACCAGCGACAGCAAAGCCAAGGCTCCCAATGCCGCTTGAACTATCAGGGCAAAGGAGCCGAGGAGCTGGCATTCACCTTCTGGGCTATCGTGTGGTGAGTCGGGTGCAGACGTGGGTGTGGCCGTAGTACTTGAAGCTGTCATGGCGGCAACAGTTGAAGAAACAGCCGAGAAGATGGTCATGACAGGTTCAATATCAGCGGTGTGAGTAGGCGGGTCGATGCCTATGCTGGCAGGATTTCTAGCATATTGTGCAACGCGAAAGTCCATCGGAGCGGCTCAGGAGTAAAATATCGAAAGAAAGTCGGGAAATGGGAAGCGAGAAATGGAAATCGATGGTGGCGGGCAGCCAGCAGTGGTACCGCGAACGGACGAAGAGCCAGGTGTCCCTGCCGGCTGAATGTAAGCGAGATGAGGGTTGAAGAGAATCGTATTCAGGTGTTGCCGCGTCGATGAAGCGTAGAGAATGATGGCTGGATCGAATGCTGTCAAGATGCCACGGGGGTCAAAGATGAAACAGCGTCTCAGCACACAGGGTGCTGGGAGACAAAGAAGGGCGGGGCGCCTGTTGAGAAGCAGCAGAAGCACAACCGCCGCGAAGAATGGTAAGGGCAAAAACAAAATGAAGTGGTAACGGACGGAGAACGGTTGGTAACCTGACCAGGTGGTGCAGTACGACGAGAAGACTCGTGGTCCCGAGGGTGGTGAGAGTCTTGGACGTCACCAGGTGACTACTCCGTAATGCACACAAGACAGACTTTGGTAGTTGAATACATGTCTCAGTAGGTGCAGTCGGTACTGGACAGAGTAGCGTACAAACACAAGCCACCAGGCTCGGGCCACGGGGTAAATTTAAGTTGGAGGCTGTCTGCATTACTCGGGCACCTGCTCAGCCCATCAGCGTTAATGGCTAGGGGCAAAATGCGCGGGTCCGAGCGTCACTGACCTGCCCAGTCGCCCAGTGCTATCCGAGTTATCAGTCATCAACTCAGTCCTGTTACCATCTGCCTTCTAAACCGCTTCAAAGTTCACCAACTTCATCTGTTATCCATCAGGCAGTCGAATCCAATCCATAGCAAATGAAGCTAGAAATCTAGCCCAGGGGCTTGTCCTCTGATAAATCCGAGAACATCATTTCGCACATGAGGCCGCGTTCATCAGCCCTGTGTTGGACCTGTAGGTATTGTACGCCGCATTTTACCCATATCAGCATAAACCAAAGAGAAAGTGATAGTTTATGACTTTACATAGTTTGTAATCTACATTAAAGATCTTTTTTCTTCCATAACATGTCTGCATTCCTCCCCTATCCCTTCCCCATGCGAGCTAGCACCGCCACTCCCGCTGGCCCAAGCCACACCTAGCTGAGCCTCACGTGCAAGGCTGCCCGTCCGATACGACCTTTCCAAGTCCGCTTAAAAAAGTGCAGAGCTCTAATGTCCAAAAACTCGCGATAGTCAAGGGGACCAGGTCAACCGCCTCGAAACGCCCCATACCACGGATCCCCTTTGCGCGCGCGCACCCTCACCTCTCGCCATTGGCCGTTCGAGCTGCCACCACACACAATGTTTCGATCACGGCTGTTACCGCGCGCAGGGAAAAGCCTAGGCCTCGGCCTTCGCACCACCGTCAATGCCAGAAGAAGCCTGCATCAAGTCCCAACGCTGCCTCACGACTACTCCCAGGGCGTCCCTAACCTCATGAGCCCCGGGGGCTTCGCGATCGCATGGTCAGACTACATGACTCTGATGGTAGAGAAGCTCAATGCCTTGACGGCCGGTATGTGCTTGCTCCCGCTCCCGCCAAATGACCGGCCCAAACTTGACCGCCACATCCACGCTCACTAACGTCGCCCTCTTGCCAGGCACCGAACTCGAAGACAAGGACACCAAGACCATCAGCCTCCTGACGGCCCGCGAGCCCAACCAAGCCCCCATCTTCAACTACGCCTCCATGGCGCACAACAACCACTTCTTCTTCCAGGGCATATCGCCCACAGGCACCCCCATGCCCGACTCGCTCCGCGCCGAGCTCGAGGCGTGCTTCTCCTCCATCGAGACGCTGCGCCGCGAGTTCGTCATCACCGCCTCGGCCATGTTCGGCCCCGGCTTCGTCTGGCTCGTCAAGGCCGGCATCAACGACTACCGCCTGCTGCCGACCTACCTCGCCGGCTCGCCCTACCCCGGCGCCCACTGGCGCGCCCAGCCCACCGACATGAACACCGTGGGCGGCGACGGCTCCGCCCGCTCCTACTTCAAGAACCAGGTCTACGGCAGCAGGAAGCGGTCCGGCGACCTGCCCCCCGGCGGCATCGAGCTCGAGCCCCTGCTGTGCCTAAACACCTGGGAGCACGCGTGGCTGCTGGACTGGGGCGTCGGCGCCGGCGGCAACGGCGGCAAGACCGCCTATGCCGAGGCCTGGTGGAACCTGATTGACTGGGAAAAGGTTGCCCACAAGGCCCGGTCTACTCGGCCGGCATTCAAGGGCGCCGCGTAGTGAACAAGTGAGAAAAAGTACAGAGATGAAGCTTCAGTGGGGATGAAGAGAGGGAGGACAAAAGAAGAGAAAGAACCAAAAAAAATATAAGGCTTGGAGCATAAACCCCAAAGAAAGGTCATACGCCGTACTGGCAGCAGCATAGGGGGGGGGCGTGCAAAATACTGTAAGATTAAGTGTACTTGTCTGCATATAACCTGGCGGAACTCAATGCACGGCGATTGGGAGAAATATTGGACAGAAATGAATACCTGTAAATTTTCTATTTGGACGTAACTACCCTGAAGCTGTGTGCAAGGCAGCTTTGTTCACGCCCGTCCTTGGCATTTTGTGAACGCTTTTTATTCCAGAATACACCGGCCTTGGGCAAGAGGACCAAGTCACAGGTCGGAACTAGTGCATGGCAGGACCGGCATTGATTCTCGTTTAAAACTCATGCAACTCAATGCGTGAACAACAATATCCGATAGCAACAGCCCATATGCCCCTTCGTTGACCACCGCTACGATTGTATAGTGCCAAGATTTCACAGTTACTGACACACTGGGAAATACGCTTGGACGCAAGTTTATATAAAAGCTTTTTCGTCAAAAATACCAACTATTTCCGCTAAAAACCACAGTCAAAAGGACTGACGCGAACTAAAATCCAAATGGTATCCTGCTCATCCAATTCGTGAAAAAAGGAGAGTTATGTGTACGCAAAAAGAAATGTAAAGATGTGAAACGGCGTGACGCATACATCGACAAACCTGATAACAAAAGATCCCTAGAGAAGAGTTCAGGCCGTTCTCATGCTTTCAAAAATAGTCAACTTCGACAATGGAAGTTACAAAAAGGGAAAAACGTGCGCGGTAGTGTAAAGGAGTGGTTGGGGGTATTTGATTCGTAACGTCATTCATAACTATGCAGCCTTTGCGCCACATGATTTGATCAAAGATTAAACGGGTGCAGGAATGATGAACTGAGATCAGCAGATGAAATGAACTTGGTGAACCTAGATCATGTTTCCGTTGACGCTAATCTCGAAACCCTCACCTTTTTGCTTCATAGCTTTTGCTAGCATCAGCTCACGCATCCAATCGATGCGATCATCACGGCTCTTGACAGCGAAATGGTGCGTTTTTCCTGTTCCATTTACGCCCTCGGACGGGGTGGAATTGCCGTTTACACCGCTCATGGAACTGTCTCGCTTGCGCAGACGAGTTCCAGCACTCTTGTCTTGGGGAATAAGCTGAAAGCTGAAAGCCCCTACTGGGTCACTCTTCTCACGGTTGTGAGAAATACGAACTGCTTTGAAGGCGGCATTGAGCTTGGACGTAGATGCAAGACTAGAGCAGGCAATCGCATAGTCGTCAATGTCGATGTATTCAAGAGTTCGGTCCAACTCTTGCCCATCCTTGTGCATGTTGAGTCTACTTCCCTTCAGGGTAAAGTATCCATCTTGCCACTCATTGCGGAGCAGTCGTGTCTTCCGCTTCTTCATCGGCCCCTGATGTGTAATGCCACTGGCCATTGCTAATGCGTCATGGCCACCGCCAGGATGGAGGGTTGACGCAGGAGGGATGGCGTTCTCAAAGCTGCTACGCTCAGCTGGAGACCAGGGGTAATTGAAGCGAGGGGGAGCTCGAAGTGGCTGTTTCTGTAGCTGCTGCTGCACGCGGTAGATAGGTGAGGTGCTCTTTGGGGATGGTGTTTTAGATCTCTGGAGTACCACGCCATTCTCATCCACGGAGGGTAGAATTGGGAAGGAGGGACGCCGGTTGGATGCTCTTGATTGGGATCGAGCAGCGTGAGGCACTCGATAGTTCATATCCGGAGGTACGGACTGTGAAGTGTCGCGAGCTACTGGTCCAGCGGGTACTGCCGTGATGGGGACGTCCAACTCGGAGAATGGGGTCCCAAACCTGAAAGGGTTTCGGGGAGTTTCCAAATCTGGGGACAAGGGATCAGCTTTATTCATGCGATACGGGACGAACTCTGGTGGCTGTATCGCTTGTCGTTGCACTTGCTGCACCGGCTGGCCTGCAGCTAGCTCTTGTCGCTGAGGCTCGGTGGGCTGAGGGACTGTAGATGTCCTCAAAGGAGTACCTTGAAGTGGTTTTCCAGGGATGGAGAGCTTTGGTAGTTGACGCAAGCCTTGGTGAGGCATCTTGGCCGACGGAAGAATCTCAAACGGTGGTGTCGGTGGCACCTGGTCCGAGCTATTCTTTTGTTGAAACTTCAAGAACTGGCGGACATTATCCTGGGGGTCTCGAGCCTGAATGCCTCGCAATGTGGCTTCCTGAAGATATTGCAAAGGAGGCAAGCCACCAGGACCCATGACATCAGAGGAAGCAACAACAGAAGGAACTGCGTCTGATACGGGCCGAAAAGTTTCATGAGGGTCAATGGCCCTGGCCGTTTCAGGATTGCCTGCATCTCCGAAGATCATCACACTCCTTCCAGCGTAGACATCAACAGTTGGGTTGGCTTTCTTCAAGTCGTTGAGAAGTTTTTGGTTTTTCCTCCATTTGTGACAATTTTCTCCTTTTGAACAATTATGAGGTTTTGGGATGACTTGTTCGATACCGATGATAGAGACTGATTCCATTGGATGGACGATGTCCTCCTCGGCGGAGAGCTTGCGACGGGCCCGACGTTTGTTGCTCTGGCTTCTGTTCACTCCAGTCTGGGCCTTGTTTCTAGTCTCTCTGCAAGCTTCTCTGCTGGGCGCGTCCTCGATTGGTGTGGCTGGTCGGGGGGAAGAGGGTCTACTATCTCTAAGTGTCTGGATCTGATGCCATACTTTGGTGCGAATCCCGAAAGATTGAATATCAAGTTCTCGCAAGTCCTCGAATTTCAACGTTATCAAGATGGCGCCATTGATGTCATTCTCAATGAACCGATCGGCCACGGACAGCTCAATGCCAGCATTGAGCATCGACTGTGCGACCATCTCCGGTGTCCACGACGCAAGGGGAAGAGAATCAAGCTCTACAGATGTGTATTGGAAAGGACCGCTCCTTCGCGGCATCGGAGGTCTATCCAGAAGATCGCCGATGCCTCTCTGAGCCTTCGGGGTGACAGGCGAGAGCGTTAAAATGAAGTCATCGTCCACCAGGGGCGAGTCTGTTGAGCTTCGAAATAGATGAGGGCCGCTTGGTCCTTCCACTGGCTTGAATATGTGCTCAGGGTATGCCTCCCGTCCCCTGCTCGACCGTGGAGTCGGTGCTTCATCATATGATGACACAGTTGTAAAACTCGGCTGGCCAGACTATCATGAAGAGGCGCATCAGAAAGGAGGTTTCTGTCAAGAAGAATGTGCAAACTGATGTATGCGCTTACCGATTGCAGACTGACGCGCGGGGAGTTGTCTTCGGCTTCACTCATGATTTCCTCGTCCCAGTCTGTGTCAACGAACTCGGTAGCTACAGATGCAGGCCGTTGCATCTGCAACTCATTTCCTAAGCGGAAGAATGCATCCCTGGTAAATTTTTGGCGCATTTCTTGGTACGCCTGGCTGTCGCCAGGACGATAGTAGGCGTATTCGTACTCCTGTGGAAAAATTGTGTTAATGGCGGTTGTGTAAGCAGAAGATTTCGGGTCAAGTCAGGAAGACAAGAAACAAACCATTTTGGATACGCCGGTCTGAAGCCGCGTGCGTGGAAACAGACGAACGATGTTGGCCTTGTTCTAATTCCTTCTGTGTTGTAGAAATTGCGCTGATAGAAGTCTATAGCGGTGTTCACGGAGATTGGACCAGCCTGGACGTTATACGGAATGGATGGAGAGGCTGGGCCGTTGCCGGCTGTGAGCGTTTTCTACCTTGATGCCCACAAGGGTCTCACAAGATGTCCAGAGTGCCGTGAGACATGGGAATGTAAAACATCACAAAAGGAAAACAACGGCAAGCTCGCAGCGACAGCTGGACAAGACAAAAATGGCGAAACTCGAGAGAAAGAGGACCTCGGTGGCGGGTGGTTAGTGATCGTTATTATGTAGTAGGGGGTGGTTGCAACGCCCAGCGGTGTTAAGCTAGGCCTTGGGTTGTGAACTTTGTGAGCCATCAAATGTGACGAGCAGCAACAGCACCTTGTCGGGCCACCACCACGACGCCTGTCGAAACGGTTGCGGGCGGGGGGAGGACAGGACAGCCACCATGGTCCTTGGTCTGCAAGTCAAGGCGCCCAGGGACTTCTCAACAAGAGTCCGACGATGCATAACGCGGCTTCCGTCACAAGCCCATCACAGCGCAGACCGCAGAGACAGTGGCCATGGACTCGGCACAATGCGTCTTGCAAGGCCGCTGGCGAGGGCTAGCTCTCTTCAAACCCTGGCTAGATAAGATCTGTCGCTTGGCCATAGTATCAGACACGGCGACCTGGGCGCGAAGACGACGAGAACAATTGGACGGTTTACATGCACGCTGCCAGAGGCGTTGATGCATTGTGTCGGAGGGACTTTGTGATAGGCTGATGGCGGAGGGGTGGTGGCCCTCGTCCAGAAGTGACAGGGGGCACGAGGAGAGACAGACATGGTTGTTGAGAGCGTTGTAACTTGTCGAGTTGTCATCGAGGGTTGTTGATGGTCCGTCGTTGATGGTCGAAACAGCCCTGCCATGAGCTAGGACGAGTTGGTCTGGTTGGGATGCCAGGCTCCAACTGTTGGCGTGCGCGAATGGCGAATCGCATAATGTCCGGCTGCCGAGCCTATGCCAAATATAGCCAGTCTGGTGTCTCTCATGTCTAAGCGCCATCATGTCTGGCCTGCGCAGGATGCGCTTGGCACTCGCTGTAAGAGGGCAAATGGGAGCACTGGCTTCAATGTTCGGCGTGGGGTGTCCAGTCTGGACTCTGGAGGGCTGCAGAGGTCAACTGGTGCTCCTTCCACCAGCACTGACTTTCCATGCTGTCTGGTCGCGCCATTCCCACAGCGACCAGCTGCCTTGGGTGTCGCCTTCCATCTTATCTCGTCCAAGTTCGTTTCTGCACGTGGGTCCCACTGGTCTGTTGTACCTTCATGGCCCGGCCTTCACCTTCATGTCGACTCTCTCGCGCACATGTTGTCTCTGATTGCCACTCAACACTGTACCACCGGTCTTGCTATCCTTGCCGGCATCAATGCAAGTGCAGGGTTGCAGGGGTTCGCAAGCACATGTCCTGCAGTCCGCTGCTCTTTGTTAGACCTTCATCGCCTGATAGTTTTTGTCCCACCAGTCTCGGCTATGGTGGTTTTGTTTTCTGCGCCATACGACCACTGACGACTTGCAAAATTCTGGCCCGCTGGCCGCGTTCGTCGTCTCGTTTCCCGATTCCCCGGCTGCAGCAGGCTCACGAGTTGTTAGTAAACATAGCATCCCCGTGTTCCCATGACAGGAGATACACCGTGGTGAATCAGCCCTATATTCCGTATACATAAAGCTCTGAGACGCTGGGTGGCAACTACCGTGTTTTTTCCCTTCTGCAATCTTATTTTTCGTCTTGAATACTGCGACCGCGACCGCGACTACAACATCATCAATATTTCCATCGCCTTGGTTGTCTATCAAAGTGTCACCAACTCAAGTGGGGAGGGTTTTGGCATTAAAACCGATGCACTATTTGCCATATCCACTACCCGTGACTCACGGCATTGGCTCACCGACAAAAGAGCACTTGCCATTCTGAGTACTCGTATGGAAGGATAGCCACGGTGTGATGTGATGTGTTCTATATTCACGTCTGGGGTCTCGGTCATCAATAACAGTTGCTGACTTGACCAGAGCAAAAAAAAAAGATCTCTCAAAGTGCTACTTCTGTCGGCCAGCCATGGTCAGCATTCCCAGAAACTCTTCGTTGGTTAGTGGTATTGCTATGGCTTGGGGTTGTTGAAAGGCTACGGAGTACGTTTTCGTCGCCATCCTATCAACCATCGGCTGTTCCCGCAGCAATAATGTTCTGCAGCTTCGCACTTGTTTCCGCTCTTGACCAGTACGGACAACACGGTAGAAGACACCAGCCCCCGAATTTGGGGGCTCTACTTGCTTTTTTTCGGGACGACCATGTGTTGGTCGAACGGGAAGCATCGTGGATACTACCGGTACCCCTCATTACTTGGCCAATTGTTTAACAGGAGACGAGATCCCCCAGTCGGTATGTTTCCAACTGCAAAAAACCTGGTCCGTCGACAAAAGAACTTGGAGGCCATGCCCTTGTTAACAGTTTACTCAATGGCGTGATAGTTTAATCGCTGCGGAATCTGAGACGCGGAGATTGTAACGAGCAGGAAGATGTGGAGTTTTCGGGATGCCACCGCCTCTTTGGATTCTCGACCAGCTAAGACGCAAGTCTCGGCCGATGGCATCCTGCCACGAGACCTTTTGTGACAACAAATGGTCAGGTGCACGACGATCAAGGAATTGCTGCTGTGCATCGTGTCTGTCTTTGGTCAGTATGCTGGCAAGAAGGCGGTCAATGTCAGCAGTACCATGAACAAAAGTTGACAGGCGAATAAGAAGGAAACCGGGCTCGCAAGCGACACCTGCCACGCTACGATGGCAAGTTGGACACGGGTGAGAAAGCCAGCTTCTCAGCCACATATTTTGCTATGGCTCTAGCAGCACGTTCGGGTTGCCGATATGCTCGTAAGGTGCCGGGCCGCACACTCCGTCGAGAGCCTGAATCGATTTGCGAAAATTTCGACGAAGCCGTAATGACAGGGATGCCATGTAAAACCCACTGGCAGGTCTTCTTTCTTTTACTTCCGTGGACGGACATCCCCCCGCTGGTATTCGTGGAAATACGATTTTCAGCAAAGGGGTTTGAAGACCATGAGATTTGGGGAAGCAATATACCCTAGCATATTGCACAAGTTGCCAAGAGCGGGCTAACGGGGGGAAGGGGTGTGCAGACGATCAATGTGAGTTGCCTGGACCCTGCTTTGATGCACAGTGTGCGATGGCGCAACACTACTGATCCTGGCTGGTTGGAGTAAGATAGTGGCAGAAGACGCTGCACAGAAGATGTCTCATCCCCGGACTACTGCTGATGAGCCGGGTGATCAGACCAATTAGTGGAACTAAAGCGGAAATCCCAGCGCAGGTCGCGGCTTCTGGCTTCGGCCGTTATGAAAACACCGGCCATTCCGTATGGTATACTCCGTAACTGACTTGTGATGAGTGCGGAACATTGAAGCTCCTGTGGAACCTGGAAACTGTAACAGGGACAAGTATATCATGGTTCTCGAAAACAACAATCCCCTGTCGATTCTGACAACTCTTCAAAGCAAAGTTCAATTGGACAGACTTTGTATGGATATGGATGGATGGCAAATGAATGCGGGGTCGAAGTTATCACGTCCAACTGCATAACTGGGACGTGTCAATGACAACACAGTTCTCTGGGCTCCTTACTGCGGTTCGCCAACTAGTATTATTAGTCTTGGTTCTTCAAAGTCGAAAATTGAAGGGTAGCTCAGTTGCTTCAGGCTAATGCCGCTATCCGCGTCCGAGCCCTGCCCCTCTGTTGATGACATGCAGAGCTCATGGCGTTGGGGCAGAGTTTCGGCCGACGCTATCTCGAATCAATACGCCGTCAAAGACTGTGCGATGTTATAATACCACTGGCCTAAGACACGAATGGAATAGAAAGACAGAAATGAAATCGGCACCGTTTCTACAGGGCAACACAGGCTTGGGACTCTAAGACAAGAGCCGGCTTTAGCAGCGGCGGAGACTGAACTAGTAGTGCAGTATCACAAACATGGCGCATCGTTACCATCGCCTTCCCTTTCCCACATCGTGGTTGCGGCAGCTTATGTATGTACACCTAAGCCAGGTCCAATCCGGCTGAGCAAAAAGCCAGGTCACTCACAATGGATTAATGCTTGACCGACGGCTGATCTGCATTTTGCGCCAACAGAGGGACCCATGGCTGTTGCAACGCCGGGGCCTGCATCCTACCATCTCGTGGCTTGAAGACGAAATAAAATCATGATATTTTTTGGTGGCTGGGATTAAATGTGTCGGATGCTTTAAAAAAAAGGAAGGAGAGGGGGCGGACACAGAACTCTCCTGAGCCCCTTGATTTATGGTAGGAATTTGGAGCGGTTGAGTGTTTGCATGATGCGTTTGTGGTGACACTGTACCGGGGCCTTGATAGTCTGGTTGTATTTGACATGGAGTGTTTTTTTTTTCATCTTGCATTGCTCAACTACTACCGGGTACTCTGCACTTATAAAGGTCGTTGGTTCATGGCTAAGCTTGCACAACCGGCTCGATTTCCCGACGCTCCACCATAGCAAAGCTTTACTTCGTCATGGACTCATGAGTGGAGCTGTGGGCGCTGCACGATGGGCTTTGCTTAACCGTTCCTAAGGCTGGCTTTGCATGAACCTCAACATGTACGACAGTTGTTGTGGCGGTGTGTCTCGACGCCGACGGCAAATGGGTCCACGGCCGACTGCATGGCATCACGAACCGTGAGGGTCTTGGACCGGGGAACATGTAATTTCAGAACAAGACGAGGCAAAAGAGTTGAAAAGTGATAGTCACGAGCATTGTGCCCTGCTCGGCCTAGGGAGTGCTTGCAATATTAATTATGTGAGCAGTGGCACTTGACGAGTACGGCATCCGCCCATTGCCAACTCCACCATGCGACTGACCGACATTGATTGGGCGAAGGAGGATTTGATAATTCGTGGAATGGTCCCAGCTTTCCACAAGCAAACATTGCGCAACACGTCTAACCGTCAAGACATGATGAAAAAGACAAACCTGACGGATCGCGAAAAAAGTTGAACTTGATGCAAGTACTAATAATGCCTCCACGAAGGCGGTATATTGGGAGCATTGACCATTTATCTCGCTTACCTTCACCTTCAGGTGCCTTCCCCAGCTTTCGAAATGCACCATCACCGGTGACCGGCCCCATTTCAGGTTATAGTTTTCCCAGCGACCCAAATACCAAGTTGTGTATGTACATATGTACATACAACAGGACATGTGGTTAATCTGGGCTAAATTAAAAATAGATTCAGAATTGTTAGCGTCGTGGTCGAGATAACGTAGTGCCGCCAACATTGCGAACATGGCGTAAGCGCCGGCCGCGAGACAAATGACGGCGACGGCGACAAGGATCCAAAATTAGCCCAAATACTACGGAGTACTACCACGTTAAAAGAGGGGTCAATTGGAGCAGAATATCCGAGTCAACATGGGATGCAGGTTGTGCACGGAAGCACTCAAGAGGATTCCAGGTCGGCTGTTTTGGCAGCTGTCGCGTTTCGGCAAGCGCCCAGGCGTCAAAGTCTGTTTGCCGAAGCACAAGGCTAGAAAAGAAGGGCGACAAGAACCTGTACGTAGGCAGAGCTGAAGGGCGTATTCAAGGCGCTGGAGAGGACGATGAAGAATGGCTGAAGAGGGCTGGTGTTTGGGTGATGGCCGTCTCGGGGAGGCACGTGGTCCCACCTCCTGACTTGCTGCTTCCTTCCTTCCTTCCCGCGGCGCACCTGCTGGTGGTTTTTTGTCTTTTCCTTCTCCTTCACTAGCTCTGTCGATTATCCTCACGGAACATTCTTCTTCTTCTTCTTCCCCCCCCTCTTCCCCTTCATTAGCCATTTTCCTAACCCAGACCATCATGGCCGCTATGGCCACGAGAATCGCCGGTTACTAGAAACGCACGACACGATACGGAAACAAGATTCCGAGAACCCCCATCGGGGACCTTGGATGACATTGCCGACTCCGCACGTACATACAGACATACTAGACATGTCCAACGGAGTAGATGGCACGGACGCTTGCCTGGCTTCGGCGGTCGAAGTCTGTTGACTATGACCTGGGGGTGGATCTTTAGCGCGCCATGACGCCAATGCCATTGGACACATGGGGGCTTGAATCCCCTGTCCCCATGTCTAGCGTCCTGCAGAGAATAGCCAATCTTGATGGCCAAGTGCCTCTTCGCCTAAGCCCAGACCCTTGCTGGATGGCAGCGCTATTGTCGGTTGGTCCCGCGGCCCCTGCCGCTTCTGCACGAGCCAGCTTTTCGTCACATGCAACTGGCGAATCAACGTTGAATCATGGCATCTCACCGAATGCCACCAATGCGCACTATGCCCAAGGGACAAAACTATGCCGCCACGGATGCGACTCTGTTTGGTTCGTCAGTTCCCTACAGGACGGAGAGCTGACGAGGTGAGCAATACCGTCTAGTGGTACGTTGCTGGCACGTTGCTATGTGCGGAGCATGTACATGCAGACGGGACATGTACCTGTGTGCGCTGTGTGACTGTGTCGCACAGCGTGCCGTGACTCTCCAAGTCTCTTCAATTCGGCTGTTGAACTTGTAAGTCCATGGCCGGCCGTCGAGGCCCTTGGTCAACTGCATTTATTTGTTGAGCTTCTGCATCTAGGACAGGGTACCGATAAAGGCCATGCTCCATTTTTGGCATGTCCACCAAGCTCTTCGTGTTCCGTGTTCCATCCCATGCATTGCACAGAGAGTTGACGAGACCTTCATTGAGAAGGGAGAAAGGCTTGCCTTTTCTTTTGTCATACGCACATGGCGTCTTTGCTCGACGACTGCCCGAGACATGGCTCGCCGCTCTCGGATAGCTGCTCCAAGGGAACAGACCGTGGATCGAATATCCACATCTCACACCGCCAACAATCTTCTCTGCCGTCTCTATTTTGCCCTTCATTCTTTCAAGCATGACTGTGAATGGCTCAGGTTTCACATTAATTCAATTCATGAAGTGACGGAAAGTTAGGTCTTCGGCGTGAGCGGATTCACGTGGAGTCATGATGGCAGGCATCAGGCATCAGGCCATGGGCAACCCGGGAACATGGTTTGGTGCTGAGAGATTTTGTAATATGCACTCGGTACCTTGAAGGCTCGTATATTGAGCCACAGGACTCCTGGAATGAAAAAAAATGTCGCCCACACGGCCTGGCATCAATCGTGCCGGGGGAAGGAAGAAAAAGGAGGGGGGAGGGGAGGAGTCGAGGACCATGTCGGGTGGCCCTGGTCTGGAGTCCGAGACATGACATCTTTTACTGCTCTAGCATGCGTGGCCCTGCTTGGTGTACCGTCAAGTTTGGGCAGAGATCAACCAGCATGCTACCTCGAACTTCCGAATAGGTGAAGATGCATCTATGCACTTAACCGACCGGAGTGGTACTCTAGAGATGAGAGAGAGAGCTGCGTGGGCCGACATGGAGCTTTGCAGATGTCCATTTAGATGACAGTGGACTATGACATCCGAAGCCTTGCGACTACATACATATGCACAGCTCAACCTGTCCACCAAAACAGCGGCGAAAACACGCCGCTCGTTTGGGTTGTAATGTGTTTGCGCCACGACCAACCACTAGGCACATAGCTAGCTGGTGGAAGGTCAAGCTACTTGCCATGGACTTTTCAAGTTTGGCAACACAGCTACTCGGTATATACATACATACTACTCCGTATCTCTCTCTGACTTGGTGTCATTGATTCCATTCCATTGGACCGTCCGTGCTGAAGAGGCATTGGCCATGATGGTCCTTTCGAGTACACAGGTGACAGGAGATGAAGTGAAAACGCATCACAGCTGATTCCGACTTGCATGCGATTAATGAAGCAAAGACCACGGGCAAGAGGCCTGACCTCGGGCGAATAGACCAGCCGATGACCCCTCACTCATGGTCCAGCCGGCTCCGACGTTGAACGACTATCGTTTCCAGAGCAGAAGACACTCGCACCCGTTGAGTCTTGACACGGGCCTTTGCCAGCCATCTACATCCGGTTTACGGCTGGCCGGCGGAACTAGAAGGCGCATGCATGTATGTACAGTACAGTACGGCATGTGCGGGCAAAGAAAGCAGGGTGGGTGGCATTTTGCAAGCAAGCAAGCTGCGTGACTTTCCTCTTTCGACGTGACACCCTGGTCTGCAGAGCATAAGGGCTGGCGAACATGCCAATCCTGGGCGGGCCTCGAAAATGGGCCCCCCTCATTGGTTTCTCTAAGCGCAGACTCTCTCACTTTCTTTTTTAAACCGTGGAATGACGGCCCAATTAGTGTGTGGTTCAAAAATAGAAACAAATAGAACCGGCTGTCAACTTGGCCAACTTGTCGTCCTTGGCTGTGCGAATGGCGGCCATGATATAAGCCTTTGGCCGTCCTTCAACTGCCCATTAATTTGCCCTTTTTTTCTTTCTTTCCTGGTGTAGACGACGAGAAGTTCCAAGTGTTGCCAAAAAGGCCTTTTCTTTCATTTAACCCTCTTTTCTCCTTTGCCCCTGGTTGGGTCCTCTCTGCCCTCACTCAATACATACATAATAAGACGAGACTCTAATACTGTCATCTTCTCCTGCCCTCAAGCGCCATCTCCAGTCAAGAGCAAGCCGGACTTGCTCGACACCAGTCATTCATTGCACGGACAAGGAGAATCACTTGGTCCCAAAAACAGAAAAACACGGCAAAGCCTGTGTGCACACAGTTGTCTGATACGACAAGTCGACCGCAACGTCTTGACCACTCAGGAACTGATAACAGCCTCCAGCAACGCGACACATAATTAGCTAATTTCGAGACCAGTCTTGGTCAGCCACCCAGGACCAGGGAAATCAGGCGGAAAGCTCGCTCCACGGTCGACTATCGGATCGACGCCGGGGACCTGTTGACCTGGAGGGAAAAACCAACCCTGGACTACGAACGGAACGGACTGGTTGTCCATCCAGCCTCTGGATTCGCAGTTAGAGCCACGGTGCAGTAATCCAGCCCGCACTGTGCCAAAGCACCCCTCCCGCAGGGTAGCTGTCTCCGCTCTCACTCACGGCACCCCCCTCTGAACACACGCCCCTTATCAATTGATCCCTGCAAGCTTCTCTTGCTGCTCTTTGGTTGCCCTGTTCGGTAGCTCTCACACACAGCATCGAGCACGTCCAGTACCATACAAATGCCTTCCTCGCCCCCCGACTATCGCAACGGCTCCAAGGGAGCATCCGACGCAGTTGCAAAAATGACAGTTGCGCAGAGTACAAAGGTAAAACCGGCTTCAAAAGCGAACAATGGAAACACAAAATCAAAGTCAAAGACGCAGATGCACCGCAGGTCAAGAACAGGTAAATGCCGAGTCCGACTTACACGCACCTTCCTCACTTTACCCACTTCTTCACTTACACGAGACCAACAACAAAAGAGGGAGTCGCAACGGCCGCTTCTTGCCCTTTCTTTGGTTGTCTGGCCCTTTTCTCCATCTTTGTTTTGCCAGTGAATTTTCTACACACCTCGCAACCTCACTTCGTGCTCAATTGAACGCTTTGAAGCTAACAGTCTTTTCTTCTTTTCTTCCCCGACAGGCTGCTATACCTGCAGATTAAGACGAAAGAAGTGTGATGAAGGCACACCGATGTGCACTGCCTGCAAACACCTTGGGCTACTATGCGAATACAAGCGACCCATCTGGTGGAGCAACAATGATGCTCGAAGACAGCAAAAGGATGACATCAAAGGCATCATCAAGCGCAAGAAGCTGGCAGAAAAGACTTCCAGCTCAGTTCACACCTCTGTCAGCCCGCCTCCGGGCTTGTCGCATTCGGTGCCTACATCGGCCACATTCTCGGACCCCATGGATCGCACAAGGTCTGCTTCCATCGACTCCCATTACTCTGATGGCTTCAACTTTAACAGCCCGCCCAATGGAACCGAGTTTACCGCGTACAACGCCCAACTACACCCCGACTACGTCTTCAATGGCTACTCTCCATATGAAGTTGATGTCAAGACGGAGCGACAAATGTTTGTCAATGATGTTCCCACGCTCAGGGAGTCCCATGTGGCCACGTTCAGCACTTACCAGACTCCCCCTCCTCCTGGAACCATTCTACCGTCTGGCCAATTCGAGAACGGATGGACCGAGCACATTCGACAAGAGCGACGGGAGTCGATGGCCGAGGAGGCACTCAATGTCAACTTCTTTGACTTTGCGCACGGCTCACAAAACGGATCAAAGCAATTCAGAATTGAGCTGGAGGAAAGCGATCAGCTTCTACTGGACCACTTCATCCAATATGTTTTGCCCATCATCTTCCCTATCCTGGAGTCAAACCAGCACGGGTCGGTCGGCTCCGACTTGATTCTTCCTGCCCTGCAGTCCAACGGTGTCTTTCTTAACTGCTGCCTTAGTATTGCCGCCCAGCACCTCAAGACCCACGCCAACCTGCCTGCCGAGGACATTGATGAGGATATCATGAAGCACCGTTATGCCACCATCTTTTCGCTTTGCGAGTCGCTGAAGCGTGACGAGAACCACCAGCAGATCCTAGAAGCTACTCTGGGCCTCATCTTTTTCCAGTGCATCGTTGGCCGCTTTGATGATGGCCTTTTGGATATCGCCTGGCACCAGCACTTCCAGGCTGCCATCAGCCTTGTCCAGAAGCTCGACCTTCCCCGGCTCGTGTCCGACCCTGCTGGCCAGGTTGGACCGACTCCCTTCAACATGACATTGACGGCCTGGATTGACATTCTCGGCGCCACCATGCAGGGGACCTCGCCTACCTTTGCTCACACATACCGGGAAAAGCACCTGTCTCCTGTCAACTCCCAGCTCGGGCTCCGCGAGCTCATGGGCTGCGAGGACCGGGTCATGTACCTCATCTCTGAGATTGCCTGCCTCGACTCCCTCAAAAAGGACGGCATGGACGACTACACTCTCTGCCAACACGTCTCCGCTTTGGGAGAGCAGCTCACTCTCACCGAAGTCGGCGATACCGGCCCCAAGATGCCCTTTAATGCCAGTGGCATCTTGTCACCCAAGCAGCTCTGCAAGAATATTACCTCGGCTTTCCGAATTGCTGCTCGAATCTATCTCTGCAGCTTAATTCCTGGCTTCAGCCCAAGCCAACCTTCTCCTCGAGCTTTAATTGAGAAATTGACGACCACACTTCAATTCATCCCCTCTGGACCACAGGGATACGATCGCAGCCTTGTCTGGGTCTACCTCATTGCTGGGTCCGTAAGCTTGCCTGGAAGCAACTTCCGATCTTTCTTCGAAGAGCGCGTCGCTCTGCTTGGTCATGACGCCATGTGCGGCGCTTTCGGCCGTATGGTGACGGTCGTCAGAGAAGTATGGAGACGAACTGAGAGCTTGACCCAGGTTGCGACTCCTGGATCATGCTCGTCTGAGATTATGCAGCCGTACGTCAACTGGCGTGACATCATGCAAGAAAAGGGCTGGGACTTCTTGTTGATTTAAAAATGCCTTGTCTAGATGTCCGCAGCTGCATGGCATGGCATGAATCCAGCCTCCTTTCAAAGTAGCCGGTCTTCTTGGAAAAGGGTTGTCAAAACGCTTTGTGTTCAGACAAGACTGGAAGCAGAATTTCACTTCTGTCGACTAGCCTTTTGTCTTCTTCTCCTTTCCTTTTTGTTGCGCCTGCCTTTGAAGTCTGTGTGGACCAAAAGGCAGGATACCTTTGACTGGAACTTGTTTCTTCACTTGCATGTCTGCTGGCTACTGCATCGATTGCCTCAGACACCTTTGTTGTCTTGCCCAATCATGACTATTTTTTCTGTTCATTTTCTGTTCATCGTTCTTGGCTTCGCAGCCACCTTGATTTTTACAATATACCCTACTGGCATGGGACTTCACATAGAGGACGCCGCGAGGCTTACCGGGGTCACACCATTTTTTTTTTACAGAGAGAAGCAACAGAGAAGCCTTCTTCAACATTTTCAACACTTGGAACAACTCATGGATGACGGGGTTAGGGGGAGAGACGGGACTTGATGAATTGACGATTGGTTATGATCTGGGATCTGGAGGCACGCATGATGTTTTTTTTTTTCATTTCCCTTTGCAGTTTTTTTTCCAGCCGTTGTTGGGTTTTGAGGACATTTACATTCTTGGTTCCAGAGGGAAACAATTCTGGCAGGCATCACTCGTTAGTCCCCCGCGTACAGGGCTGGCTTGGAATTTGGGGGTCATCATTGGGACAGGGTAAGGCAGCATATGCAGCCCGTTGAGGGCTGCTGAAAGAGGAGGAAGACAATACCATCCCGTACATAGCAAATGAATACAAATACCCATACCAATAACCAACAAGTTCGTGTCTTTTTGAAACAGTGAATCGGAGATGGCCTTTGCACAGACGGAACCGGCAATCAACTTGGTCTGACCGACGTAGCCCATCGACCGTTACATGAGCATCCTCACTGTCCATCACTGCCATGTGGTGTGTTCCTGGTTTCCATTGACGGGTTAAAAAGCCCAAGCGGAAAGTCTATTTAGTGGGTGGCGATGCGCGTGGCTTCACGTTGTACAGGGAAGAGGATAAGGGCTATCTTTAGATTTCTCCGAATTCAACGCCATGATGTGAGATGAAGATGCGGTGCGCCCGACGCCTTGTTCCTACTACTATCTTCATTCATCTCCCCGCTCATCGGGTCGTGAATTGTGCGGAATACCCCGAGCGTGCGCGAGGCATGTATAGGCTACGGGAGCAGGCAGCTACGGTATTGCAGCAGAATCAAGGTTTACTTTGCCCGCCACAGAACGGACAAGCATTTTGTGCTGTGAAGATTAAACCTTTGGCTGGCTTTTACAGTGTACGGAGTACCGGCGAGCACACCCCGGCCAAAACAATGGGGCCTTTCAACACGGAATCAAGTCTCGTCTTCACAAAACGGCTACTCCCGCAGCACGTCAATCAATCATCGTGTACTCGACAAAGAAGCGTAACCCGGCGGTTTGTGTATGGCCCTTTGTTGCCTGTCTCTTTTACTCGCACAGAAAGAGAAGGACAAGAAAGTAGAAAGCACAGGTGTTTCTTCGTTAACAAGAGGCCCAGGCGACAGGCTTGTGGCGTGGCGTAGGCGGAATTCATGGCCGAACGGTTTAGCTTTCGACCATGTAACACGGCTGTCTGGGAAGTGCTACTGTGCTTTGTAAGCCGAACGGCTTCGCTGCAACGCAGCTTGCCCGACCCGCGCAGCTTTTGCCTGACCCAGGCGTCGGGGAAAATGGCGGTGCTGGGAAGATGTTAATCCCAACAAAAAGGCGATACGTTGCGTCCCACGGCACCCTGGGGAACCAATTGCTGGAAGGGCTTGCAAGACAGTGTCGACGAACTGTGGCAGCTGGCCTGCAGAGGGTGTGAGCGTAGACGCGTCCTCGGCAGACAGGGCAGAGGACAGAAGCTATGGCCGCTGGTTCAAGCGGAATCCAGTACAAATGCTCCTAGCTGAGGCCGAACAGGGCGAGAGGGACGCATTTGCTGGGCAGGAAGAGGGGGGGAAATGCCTCGTAGCGGGCGGTGCGGCGCGACCAAGGACCGATGGCTGCTTGAGATGCATGATGGAGGTTTGCACATTGATGGGACAATGCCGCGGGGACGGGACCTGGGGGTGGCGGGTGACGCAGAGCGTGGTGGTATTTCTGCAGACCCAAATGACGACGGCCATGGGCAGAAATCAAGGCGATGCGGGTTGGCGTCGAGGCCATCTCGGCAGGTGAGTGGCTTCGCGATGCTGCACGTCTGGCAAGCTAAGGCTGATGGTGTCTGGTCTCATGATGCCTGTCTTTGTCAGGAGACATGCAAAAGCAGCACTTGGGGACAGGGAAGATTGGAGCCAGCTTAGGGCCGGCGTGCTGACTTGCTACCAAACTTTGCAATACTGGGCAATCCGAGGCGCATTACGGAGTACGGACCATTGCATGGGCTGCTATGGAGGCGCGATTCGGACGTTGTAAAGATAACAGTGGCAGCCTGGCTGACTCTATACAGGGCAGCCTCCATTCCGTCATGCAGATGACATGTTGCTGGTTCTTGTATCAAGTGGCATTGTCCATCATAACATAGCGTTCCATTCTTGATGACGAGGTGTACAGCCGCACTCAATGCTCACTCAGTAGCACATGGCAAGGATCAAAGAGTACGACGGTAAAAGCGAGCAGAGAAGCAGATATCCCCGCCTCATCTGGGACAGTGAAGCTGCTCTAATACCTGTCTTTTTTTTACAACAAGGCCATCTGGAAGTGGTAGCTTGATGAAATGCACCGTCACTCGCGTCGCTGGCGTGGGGGCCGGACAAGGATGATGCACCATTGACATGTGTTTGTGGGCTGCTGTATGGCGGGATGCATCGTTGGGGCGGCATCTTGGGCATTGTCTGCTATTTCCGAGCATCGGGTTCGGCATGCAATGGAAGGCTGGGCCTCCATCATGTAGAAGCCGGCCTTGAAATGAGGCGCCGTGCTGCACTTGTTGGTTGAAATGCAATGAGTTGGCAAATATTCGGGGCGGGGGAGAGACATGGGGTCTGCGGCGTGTTGAGCGTGTTGAGGCGAGGTGATATGGATGTAACCGCACCGTGGTTGCACCACCTACTAAGCAGGTACTCCGTACATGCATGAAATGTCCGGTATACCTGGTTATAGTTGGGCAGTCTTATTGTCGTCTTGCGGTGACAAACTCCGTTCCCAAGTCATGGAGATATTGGCATAACTTGACAGCTCGACCATGTTTGAAAGCGGGGGACAAAACGTTGAGCATCTGCTATTGTGTGTGAGTACGGAGTACCTAGGCACATATGTATTTGTTGGAAGGCAAACATACTCTGCCGTGGGCTATAAGGTACTCTTGAGTATTCTAGTCCATCTATGCAAAACAAGAGTCGCAAGCTGACAGGAGGACACAAGTGGATGGGCGCCGCCAGCCTGAGGATAGGTGGTGGCTTAATGTTCCGTGGCCGTCGTATTGTAGGGTCCCAAATATATCTCCGAGCCGTCAAGACTATTGTTTTGTAGAGGCGATGGCTTGCATGTACGGCAATGCGGATTGAATGAGGCAGCACAGCATGGGCAGCGGGTAAAAAACTTGGCAGGTCAGCATGAATTGATGGCGGAGCAGATCTAGCAGACAAGTACGGAGTACCGAGTACAGGCGCCGTTTGTTGGGCGTGACTGCCGACAGCAGCCAGCAGCCAGCAGCCAGCAGCCAGCAGCCAGCAGGTACCAAGGCAACAAGGCAAGCATACAATGGCAGATGGCAGAAATGGCAGGAGCACTGACCCCGCAGTTGCTGTGTTTGTGGTATCGGCAAGCGCCAGCAAATGATGCCCCCCGCCTTCCCGCCTTCCCGCCATCGCCCGTAACCGCCTGCACCAACACTCATTCATCTCTGGCCAATCAATTCACACGCTTGGCAGCGACTCGGCTGTCCTAAGGCGCCATCGTGTCGCAAGCGAAATCTGCCGACGCTCAGTGTCCAGTCGATACTCTCGACCAGGTCGGATTTTTTTCTGCCTTTTCCCCAGCGTCCCATCAGACGATCCGGAACCTTTTCTTCCCAACCTGTAAATGGGCTCTTGGCCACCCTTCATGCCGTGTCTCCCTGTTCGGCGTCTCTTCAGTGACACACTTGCCGCGCAATCGGTGGTCGAGTGGTTTTAACGCCTGCGAGACTGAACACTAGCCAAGGGTCAAAGGAGGCCAGGAGGCCACGACGGAACTGGCGGAAACACAATGCGCAGCTGTGAACGATTCGATTGCAGTGGGCGAGCCCGTGACGGCCGGGTGTGGGCAAGATTCAAGAGCTTCGACGTGGTAGTAACGGCGGCGGCAAAAATAAGGAATGAACAGTAGCAGCAGCTGGAGTGAACGCATGACTCCTTGGACCTTTCTTCTTGGTCTCACGATTTTTGAACTCTTGCCTTCTTCGTTCGCCATGCATGTGTCTTGCAGTGGTCCCGCTGTCCTTTGACTGACCAGTTTCTAGTGAATGGCCTTTCGTCTGCCCACCCACCTTGTCTGTACCACTGCTGAACAAGCGGGACTCTTGATGCATTTTTTCATGAACTGAACATCATTGAGATATCGTAGCACCATTGTTAACGGCTCTTTCCTCTGTCTTTTTATTATTCAACTTTTGTGCTATACAACAACGCTTTCCCCCCCCTCAGCGACATCATTATCACCACCAGCATATCCGCAACTTTCACCTCGTCATCAAACCAACGTATTTGCCTGCTGTCTGCAACGAATAATCGCCTTTTCGACTATATTCAGAAAGAAAAATTACTTCTCAAATATACAATGGCCAGATTGCCTCCTCATCTTCGGCTCCTGCTTCTCGCAGGCGTCGTGTCTTCAAAACCAACCCCGGCACTATTCGCTCGCGATACTTGCGCAGCAAGCGGCAGAGCATCTTGTACGTCGCAGGGTCTCTCGGAAGGGCTGTGTTGCCCTACAAGCAGTAACTGCGTCCCTCTGGCAGGGAATACCACAGTCATTTGCTGCCCGAGTGATAGCTCGTGTACCAAGATCCAACCCATCACCTGCGACATGTCCGAACAAGACCCGACATTACATCCAGACGCTCCGATAAAAACCACGGCGCACGGCGCCAAACTACCGACATGCGGTAGCAATTTCTGCTGCCCTTTCGGGTATACCTGCTCGGAGGATAGCTCGTCGTGCACCAAGGACTCGGATCAGTCCAAAGCGCCCCCAGGCATGACTCCAACATTGACGCCTACGGCCAAGCCAGAAGCTACATCACCTTCGACCTCGACAGCGCAAGCAGCCGCGGCCACCTCAACAGGTGCGAGCCAAGAAGACAATTCATCTTCTCTCGGGGCCGAGAAGATATCCATCATTGGAGGGGCGGTTGGCGGTGGTCTCGCGCTTTTTCTCCTGGTAGGAATAATATTCCTCTGCGTACGAAGCCGTTCGAAAAAATCCGCCAGGTCCCCGGCATTTAGAGAGATTTCTCCGCCCATCTTAAATAACCAAGCCGGACGTGTAGACTTTATTCGAAAGGAAGAACACACTCCTCCACCGCCAAAGGGACCCTCTTTCATGGACCGCTGCTCTCGGTTTCTAGGCCTGCCAGAGCGCCAGACGCAGAACGCACACTCGGGTATACCTAATCGATTTTACTCGCCCAACCCTTCTCTTCAGTCATCGCGCCTGTCACGATCATCCTTGACATCCGAGGACGATCGCAACGCGCGGACGGGACATGTCGGCGCACGTCTGCCACCCATTCGGCAAATGAGAGGCACACACACACAGTCGCGCAGAATCTCGACACTAGACGCTTATGATGAGCCAAGCCGGGAGAACATCAATGTGTTTGCCGACCCCGACACGGTGAGCCACGGCAACGACAGCCACCGTAATTACCGTGGCACAACATTCAGCGACCTGATGGACCAAGCGGACATGAGCGGCGTTCATCGCAACGGGGGGTACGTGCCTGGAAGCCAGAGACTACGAGTTCCCGGAGCGACACCAAACTTGTGATGAATACGTCTGCCGGCCTTGAAAGGGTTTGTGGCACCTTCACAACAAGACGAAGACGGAAGAATGCAAGTGGCCAGTGATGCCGACTTTGACATTTGACAAGGGGCTGTGCGATAAAGGGCAATACATAATGTACATGAACAGGTGAAGAAAATTACGAGCCATTTGCATCGAAATTTCGTTTGTCTTTGGACTGGAGTTGGGGATCTCGTGTTGGGCAGTCAGTCTTTTTTCTTTTCTAATTCTTTGATACTCCCGATAGTAATAGACCTTGTTGGCTGCACACATGTGCAGGATGTAGACACGGATTCTTTGTTGGGCACTCCGTCATTGGTGATGAAAGCAGTCTTTTTTTTTTCCCGGCGCAAAGGCCCCTTTCGTGCGGGCATGGCTAGGCGAGTTGTCTGTGGTTTTCCATGAAAGGCCATTGTTTGAAAGTCGACAATGGCATGCAGCTTGCATGAGACCCCTTTTGATTGTGAAACCCCTTGAGCCCAGGTTCAGTCCTGCAGGGAAAATGTCTGCCTGCGAACCGAGTATTGACGCACCCTTCGCGGTGTTCACTGTTGCCACCTCTACAGCGCATAGATGGCACGCAGACTCACCCATGAAGCAAACTTCATCATTTGTAGTCAATAGTCAATAGCACGCGGCGCCGTCCTCGAGCTTGTTCAAAAACGCCAAGACGTGGCAGCCTCGGATCCTCGGGTGATCATGGCCCGCGCGGCCCAGCACAATGCGCTGGCACCTTGGTCTTGCTCAGCACCAGCTCGCTCAGGCCCATCGGCCGGGTCAGGAGCACCGGGCAGACACCAGAATCGGGATCCCCCAGCGCAGCCTGGTATCCTGGTATCCGGCATGCGCGATCGGACGCTCGCGCCGGCAGACGACACCTCCCCGCGCGGCATCGTTGACCAAAGCGCGCATCTTGGCCCGGCCACGCCATGGGCAGTCGCGGCCGCGGCGAGATTCAAGGCCCTCGCGTTGGATGCGCACGTTCGAGAAACGTCAAGTCGTGCCCCGACCCCTTTTCTGTTGCGCGCGGCAACGTGGTACGTCGGGATGCCCGCCGGCGGAGAGGCCAGGCGAGACGAACCGGTGGACCCATGGACCCGACATGTCGACGGCGACGGGCCCGCAGGTCGCGGCGGTGCGGCGGTGCGGCGGTGCGGACCCGACATTCGGCGGCCGTTGGGGCAGACGCCGTGGCGCATCGTGTGTCCGCGGTAGGCATTCTGACCAGAGTCAAGTCGAGTCCCGTAGCAAGCAACCTGCCCTTGCCGCAGGTGTACACAAGCACGCTGCAAGATGGCGCGGGCCTAGAAGATGATGACTGCGTTGAACCAAGTTGCTGACATCAGATTCGAGGCCTTTCGGTCGGGTCGATTAAGCCGCTACAAGGTTAGCCATGAGCCGTCGAATTCGAAGCCATGAGCCGTCGAATTCGAAGCCATGAGCCGTCGAATTCGAAGCTTCCCGATCCAGTTGCAGCTTGAACGCAGCTCCTAGAGATAGATTGTCCGTGGCCGCATCTGTATTCCATGTTCCTGGTAACAAGTTGCACATGTATGTGACCGCCGACTCTTTGCATCACCACCAACTACACGCCAGTATCTACGTCACCATGCAAATATTACCCGACGGCGCAGAGTACTAATGCTTTCTAGCATTGATTGTAAAACGACAGGCTATGATACTACAACAACGTAGACGCTATGCAATGGATATTCAAAAACCGCTTCCTGCAATTCCATCCCCGAGCCGTGTATAACGAGTGGTGCCACACCACGAGGTTTGTTCCAAAATCAAATCCTATTTCAAACATGTTGGCAAACCCCCAAGGCCCAGGTGCTCATACAAATGAAAAGTTAGCCTGATATGACAGGGGAAAAAAAACAGGCAAAACTCGCTCAAAAACCATGTCTTCGCCATGCACATCGTCACATAAGGACGCATTTGCTCTCCTTCGGCTTCGATGGAGTGGGTATGTCAACCCATCCGGTACTATCTGAGAGGGATTCTTTCTTCTTCTTCTTCGGCATCCACCCCTTCTTCTTGGCGTCCTTCATATTCTTTGCTGCGCTTCTTTCCGCACGGCTGCGGCGTCTGTTGACGCTGTTAGGCGTTCTACGCGACGAGTTTGACGGGGTTCTCATCCACATGGGCAAGGCGTTAGCAGTTGAGCGCATATGAGGAGGCAATGAGGCCGCAGCAGGCTGGTTATTGTAAATATTCTCCAGTTGCTGCGCAGTCCCCCCCGTTCTCGGGAAGTTGGCAGGTCGTGGCCGTCGTGGAATGGGAGCAAGTATAGGAGTTTCTGCGTGTGCAGAAGACCCTCGCCGCTCAGGCGGGTCGTGCAATCCGGAAACTCCGGTTGGTGTACTGATGATGAGAGGTCGATCAAATTCTGTAACATGAAACCTTTCCTCTTCCGCAGAAATGGGCGGGGGCTGGTTCTGCGACGGTGAGCCAAGGGGCTCATTCATACTGCGGCCATTGCCCATCCAGAGCTGCGGATTCAAAATATTGCCCGACAGTCGGCGAGGATTGCCCTGACTTATTCTCTTGTTCAGGCTCGCAATCTGAGAGGAACTCGGCGCGGGCGGAAGAGAGCCCGCTGCAAAATCGTTTGAGGTAGCGTTCAAAGGCGGAGCAGTGTAGGGATGCCCCGAAAACTGCTGTGATGGGCCCATGTTTGACTGTGTTCCTGGCTGAAGTTGCTTAGGCCACGTTCGGGCATTAGACAGACGCCTGACAGCTGGCTCTGCTTCTGGGGCAGGAACAACATTCGACGCAGATGAAGGGATATGCAGTTCCAATATTGGCGCTCCGGGCCGAGCTCCAGGCCCAGTGCTAGAGCCAGGACTCAAGGGACCAGCCACTGATGTCGCTACGGGAAACTCAGTCCATTGCTGGGATGGGGCCGTATCAAAAGAGGCTACAGCTGAACTATTTCCACGAGACGTAGGTGACGGCATCTGATCCTGAGGCGCCGCGGGCTCGCTAGGATGCGCAGACGATATGCGTGGAGAAGCTGGCGGCGACACGTCGTAGAGGTCGTCTGCTTGAACTGATAGCATAGAAGGTGAAGATCTCGGGCGAGGTACATCCAAGACCTGCAATCTGTCGATATTCGTAGCCTCGCTTGGGTTATGCTGATGATGAGTCCGCCTGTACGGAGTCCCATCCCTAGTTGCATTCGGCGGATGCTCCAGGGCTAACGTTAAAGAGCTATCGAGAGTCTCGCTGGTCGAACCACCTGCGGAATGTGGAAATTTCTTCGCATCTGATAAGTCGTCCGTAGCCGACATTGGCGCCACCGGAGGTCTGCGCATAAAGACAGGCATATCACCAGGGTCTTCTTTTTGATAAGGAGGCGGAGGAGGCACCCAGTTGTCGGCATCACTCTCGTGAGGATGTTCGGTACGGCCGTCTGCCCGACGATACTCGATAGGACGGCCATCCGCCGTGCGAGGATTCAGTCGCCGATTCACGGCCGCGGCCGTAGCTGCCCGACGAAGGGTTGTACCGGACCGAGGGCTAGCGTGCGCATAGGGTGCATCAAGAGCCTCCTGCTCCTCCATGGATGCAAATTCTTCCTCAACCTGAGAAGTCGGTTCTGCGGTTCGGCGGTTGATTGGATGTTGTCCAACAGTCCTTGGGGCCAACGGGTCGTCATCGTCATTGTCGTCTGCCTTGTTGCCAGGTTGCATTAGACAAGGAAGGGGCTCTCGTCCGGCTGCTGTGGTTGCTGCTCGGAGAAGAGCAGCACTGCCTCCTCGCCTCTGGGCAACGGTTCTTCGTCGGACTATGGCCACCTCTGTTTCCAAATCACGTCGCTGCTCGGCCAGTGGCTCGGCACCGTCTGTTCCCACTTCAATCGTAATTTCTACAGTCTCCCCGTTCACGAGGCCGTAATCAAAGTCCAGCAAAACAATACGTCCACCATCAACAAAGTCGATGTCCTCCTCATCCGTCACTAGTCTTGGACCCATGACTCCTGTGGCAGTAGCCACAAGCCGTTCGTGGGAGGAATGCTCTCCAAAGTTTCCAACCCACTTGACACTGCCAACACCACTTAATTCGGTAACCTTGAATCCAGCTACTAGATTGTTCCGCAGCTTGTCGCAGAGAGCCTGCCACTGAGGCACCCGTTCGGCTTCAGCACCATCTTGGCCGCGTGTCGAGGTGCGACGGGACAAGCTGCTTTGGGTACTATTATGCCTGCCTAGTCCTGGAGAGTTCGAATTCGACGTAACATCACGAGTTGCTGGTGGTGCTTCGGGTATAGCGTCCAAATCTTGGGGGATGCCATAAATCCAAACCTCGTTGCCCTGGAACCCTGCCGAAACCAGCTCTCCCTGGGAGGTGGTGGCGGGCAGAGTACATGGCAACAGCTTTGTCTGCAACTTGGCATTCGGAATCGGGCCAGTGAAATAAGTTGTCCCATTTCGGAGATCATCGAGGCGTACGGCACGAAAGGTTTCGAAGCTGCGATCATAGGTGAATGTCCACTCGGGCTCTCCATGTTCGTCATCGGGCAACCATATGGCATGACTGCAGTCACGACTCGTATTCGGAAAAAGGATCGAGGTAGTCCACATGGCACCCAAATTTTCCTCCAACAGCTGACTACCAGGGTCATAGTACGGTGCTGTCAGAACAACAGTACACGGCGGAGACGAGTTTACAGTAGTGCCCAGAAGCTGGGTCCCGTCGAGTGAAAAGGCCAAGGCATCAACCGCGTCACACTTGACGGCTCTCTTTTCTGTCGCCAGAGCGGACGATTTCAACGAAGACACTTCAATACCTCCATCATATGCAGCAGCAAGAACGGCACCGCAAGCGGATATTGCAATTGTCTGTGGTTTGTTGTCCAAAATCAGGGAGTGCTCTCGATGTGGTGGCGACTGGGTCAAATCATAAATATCGACCTGCATCTCACTCGACAGCACAGCAAGGGTATGTGCATCATCAGTAATGCAGGCCGAAGCTGGTCGTCGATGAATCTTGAACTCCCGTTTAACGTTGACTGTTGGGCTGCAGACATCGATGACGTAAATTCTCGACGAGTTGTACGCCAGAAGGTGCTGGCCTCTGGGTGAAGAGGCAAACTGCATTCCCTCTCCACCAGGACATGATGAAGAGCTGATTGAATTGGACACCAACTTTATCAAGGTCCGTTTGGGGCGCATATAAGATTCGAATAGATTTCGTTTGACCTCGCGTGCAAAAAGGCGGCGAAGCGCGGGCAGATTATCATCTACGGCGATGGGAACCGGGGAATGTGAGGTTGCATAGGACGGGCATTGTGCCAATTGATGTGTATAAAGGTGAGGGCGTTGAGATGTTGCTCTCCACTTGCTGTTGAGGAGAATCAGAGATGCGAAATCGTTTGGTTCAGCGGCGAGGAGTATTCTTGTGGCACGTCAATATCTCCAGGAGCAACAGCAGATGAGGCGGCGGGCCATAGGAGGAAGGCTAGCTTACTGCTCGATAATCTCGTCGGGAAGTCGATGGAAGGCATCGGAGTCGGTTGCGACCTGGATGGGTGTCTTTTCGATGCTAGAACGCCGCTCTTCTGTCACGACGAGGTCGTCCATGGTGAGGTCAGATGCTTCCTCAGGGCCGGCGGTAGGCGGGTGATTGCGGCAATCACGCGGGCACAGAAGGAATTATGAGGTTGCGAAGCTGCGGAAGATTGACATGGTGTTCCAAGAGGGTTTTGACAGGACGTCGCGCGGATGCTTGTTGGAGAGGGAGTCGGGAAAACGGCAAGACGAAGGTAGTATGAAGCGAAGGGGCATTGCCGTGTGCGGAGGTCAAGGTAGCGTCAGTGCGGAACAAGGTGGCCCAAACGGGTCAACTGGTGGCAGAAGATTGAAGGCGATTCCTGGCACCGAGGAGGTGATGAACAACAGGCGCCCAGGCGGTGGCGGCCCCGTGCATGTACAGGGAGGGCAGCTGGCCGAATTAGGCTACTGGGGCTGCTAACGGGACCCGCCAACCCGCTACGGCAGGGAGGGGACAGCGTGCCAGTCCATCCAGTCTACAATGTGTCAAGTCGGCGGACGCTTGGAACAGAGCAATTCATTGGACCGATTTGATACAAATGTCCGGTTGATCTTGCCAAAACATCAACAACTGGTTCCTCACGACTGTGCGAGCAATGCCATCCCTTGGGCACCTTGGACGCCACTGGCAATGCGCCGTTGTTTCATCGAGCTAAACAGACGTCATGGACTGCATTGAACGCTTGCAACATACGTCGTCAGTCGCCCTTTGTGTCACCCCCATTGCTGCCAGTCTGGTGCCATCTTCCCGCCGCTGCATTCGTCCATCTACCATGTGAGCGCCTGTCGTAGGACAGAGAAGTGACGCATGCTGGCATGTGTCACGACATTTCCAAGTGCTCGTGCAGTCACAGCGCAATGGTACATCATCAGTGGTAATTCTAAGGTTACTCTGCCGTCTTGACCACTTTCGTGTCAAGTCATGGCTGGGGCTGGTGGATGGTTGGGCGAATCAATTGATGCCCCAAAAAGGCAAAACAGCAGATTGAACAGCTCACCGTTCACCGTTCACCGTTCATTCACCCAATATCCCTTCCCCTCACGCCACCCGTACTTTCGTCTGTCGGCTTGGTGGTGGTGGCAAATTGCGATTGCAGGTATTGCGGTCGCACCGTCGCTCCCATGGCAGGCGTCTTTATTTAGAACTTGACATTTTCCAGAAGCCAAGATTGAATTTGATGGAGCTGATCCCGTCGACCCCGCCTGGCCAAACTCAATGTCCAGCTAATTCGAATGGCTTGGGTGAAGGGTGGGATATATTTGGCACACTAGGTTTTGAACACGCGGAAACGAGCAAGACGGGAACATGCAACCACACAACCACTGCAACGCGTGCGGACGCTGAGCAAGCTGATGTCTGGAGAATCGGGGTCCTGGGAGGCCGGTATTGTACATGTCAGCTGCCTGCTTATTGGTCCGTCAGGGGACGAAGGAAGGAAAAAGGCGACGAATTGACGATGGGCGTCACTTGCATGCTGTGTGATTGGATGGCGGCCGAACACTTTGCTCCCAGCTTGGTGCGGAGAACGGAGTAGACTTGCAGCATTCACCGGCATGGCGTTGCAGAGATGCTCCCGCCTGTCCTGTGAATTGATCTTGCATTGACTCCGATCGTCTACTCCGGATGGGGAGTACACATCTCGCGCCATGCTTTCGGCGTCGGTGGAACACGGCATTGTTCCGCAAGCGACTGCCCTCGATGATGCGCATCGCTGGGCCTTGCGAGCAATTACACACCGTCAATGAGGCGCTGAGCGTAGCTGGAGCTAGGGAAAAGAGCTGATGTCCGTCAGACAAGCTCGGCCATCGTCACTTGCTGCGCCGCTCTGGGTTGCCGCGTTCAGCGTGTGCAATAACTACTTTACTCAAGTACTTACTTAAGTAAGTACCATGCCGTTTGGCGGCACTGAGCAACTACATATGTACACCGAGTATCAATTGATACCTACAGTAGATATGTAAAGTGCCTCGTGCGGCCAACAGGCCATGCGGTACTCGTCGCCTACAAGTCCTTGGCGACGGCATAGAACAAAAGCCATCAATCCCACAGACGGCCTTGAACTGTACCGTATAGCGCAAGGCTATTGTAGCGTCACGCCCCGTCTCGGCAAGCAAGTCTTGTCAATAATGAATGTTGACAAATGGCCAGCTCTACTAGCAGGGTCACGAAATACCGGTTCAATGTTGTGACTTGGTCAAGTCCGTATTCCTAACCAACAGCTTCAAGTTTATCCAGCGCAGCACGACATGCACACACCCTCAACACGCAATTACCAGTCCTCGGATGTATTTCCATGGACTCCGTCCGTGTAGCTTCCACCCCTGATCTTGGATAGCAGCGGCAGCAATACCCGTTTCCTACATACCAGGCAACTACGGAGTACTACCATACCAAGATGCCACCTAGACGAGAAAGACAACGAGCTCTCTCTGCATGACCGGTCCGATGGCATGCTAGGCACGCTAGGTTCACGACGTTTACGGAAATGCGCATAATCTGCTACTAGTAGTTCCATTATATATTTATTTATAGGCCATCTCAGCCAACAGGTGTGTCATAGCAGTCCACGCAGGCCGCGCCCCTATTTTGCTTTTGCTCAAACGCAACCTCGATCTTGAAACTCTCCTTTCCACGCTGCACAGACCCCATCCATCCTCGCATGTGAAGAATCCACCTTTTGCATCAGAGTGCTTCTTTTTTTCTTAAAAAAAGCAACATATTCAACATCTGCCGCAACCTCGGGCTCGCCGCCGCCCATGTCTGTCCGTGACACAAAACGGGTATTTGGTACAAGTGCTTGGTAAACAGGTACTAGGGGGACATAAAAACAAATAGCAACGAATGCTTGCCAAGGCGCAATGCATGTTTCAAGATAGGCGTAAGCGCCGGATAATGATCCGCCTCCTGACATACAACGCCAGCGCAATGCCTACCCCGAAGAAGATGGGCATCAGGTGGGCGTGGCCCAACATGGTGATGAGCTGCGCATCGTACGAGTGCCACGACGAGCTGCCCAGGTGCTCGAAGAGGGGGGTCACGACTCGGCCGTTGAGGCTGTGAAGAGGGCCGGGGAGGATCTTGTAGTCCTTTCGGCTGGGCTGCAGCGTGTGCAGGACAGATGCGAAGTGGCCGCCGGTGCTGAACATGACGGCGGCGTAGGGCAGCCCGAACCACCGCCTGTTAAAGGCCGGCAGGTTGTCGAGGATGGTGCCGACAAACGGATTATGCCTGCTCGCCATGAGGAAACTGATTGAGAAGCCCGTCGGGTGCGCCTCTGGCGCGACAAAGCCGAAGCGCCTGAGCGGTCCGAGGGCGCGTCTACATCGCACGTCCAGGTCGAGAATGGCGCCGCCGATTTCGTACAGAATCATGTATCGCAGGGCGTCAATCCGCTCAATCGCGTACGGGTAGCTGTCCCACATGTCCTTCAACTCTGGGAACTTCTGCTCAATGAAGGCGACGGCGTCGTCATCTGTCCACAGTCGCGTCTCCCAGTCGGGGTGTAAATCGACACAGCTCTGCAGCGCCTCTTCCCACTGAGGTCGCCAGTCCTCCCTCCTGGTGCCCAGGGCGATATGGTGCAGCACGGGGGGCACGACATCCTGGTACGGCTCGCCCGCGGTACGTTGGTTGCGTGTGTAATTGGCAAAAGTAACGTCAAAGTGGTCGCGCTCGGCGGAAAGAATAAAGTCGGCCGCGTTGGCGCGCCAGTGCATGTTCAGCGATATGAGCGCCCATGTCTGGTAGATGACATCCTGAAAGAGTAATACGGCAATAAAGAGGATTACGGGTATTACGTAGAAAATCGGCCGAGATCTGGATGTGGGTGGTCGAAGGGGGCTGTGTAGGGGCATTGCAGCGCCGTGGACGTCCCGCGTCTAATCCGACGTCGAGATGCGGCGACGTCTGTGTATGCCGGCTGATGACGCGAGGAGAACGTTTTTGCCAGTCGTATGGGCCACAGGGTAATCAATGCGATATAATGAATTGAGCAAGGACCAAAGAGAAGTACAAAGAAACAAAAAGGAGACGCAAATATGTATGTATGAATGTATGAGTGAGAATGATGGAGCAGAAAAGAAGTTTAGGAGGTGCCTGCCAGACGAAGGGGGGAACAAAAGCTCTGGTTGATTTGCGCATAAAAGGGATCCTTGGCTTGGTCAGACGACGCTTGGCACTTTATTCTTTGGGAAGTAACAAAAGTGAATCCAAGATCCGCCGTCGCAGCACGTAGACGACGGTGCAGTTGGCAACACTCGACACAGCAGCCGGCCCAGGAAAAGGCAGCTGGCAAGAACTAGCAACGAGTCTGGTCCCGTCACCTTTTGAATGCTGAGCGTAGGCAGGTACTTGGAAGTAAAGTAAAGTAGTCATCAGCAGCTCTCGGCATGTCATACATACAGACATGGACCAGTTGACCTTTTATCGATGACCTACTGCTACTGGCACATCCTTTCTCGTCGTCATCAAATCCCTGGGCTCCCTCCCCACGCAAAACCCATTCTGCCACGCGGTGGCCGTGGCTCCTTAGCCCGTCCGTCGCAGAGCTAGCTGGTAACTTTGTGTGCAGTCTGGTATATCGGAGCAACCAAACTCCATACGAAGTACTGCTACTAGTACTAGATGATACAGACCACGCGCATGTCTTGGCACCGACTCGCATGACCGCGCAAAAGGCGCAAAAAGCGCAGACGAGGCGCAACTATGAGGGAGGTTCTCCAAAGAGTCCGTAAAAGGCCGCCTCGTTCTCTGCTCTGCTTTCCTTACATGTACGCCAGGAGTCCGGCATCTGCGCCTTAATTCCCCGTCGTCTCTTCTTTCGGTCCGTATCTGTATGTACATATGTACGTACATACACGCCTCGCCTGCCTTGGTCTGGCCCATCTGACCTGTCCGGAGCGAGCCACGTAATCATGGTTCTTGAGCCCCCTTTGGCAAACACCATGGCACTTATCTACGGAGTATTCGCTGCGTGACAATGCTGGATGCCAAGATATTGGCGCGTGTGGGAGAGACGTTTAATTTGCCCAAAAGTGTGGAATCAATGTGGGATACGTTTGAGAAGTCCAGGAACAAGCAACAGAACAGCAGCGAAAGCGGGTCGCCATCCCACCCATCAGTCATTACAACTCCATGAGGCCAGACAAGGCCAGACAAGATACGTACTGTAGCTCGCTTATTGTCCTGGACTCGGCTGATACCTTCAACTAGCCACAACCTTAAAACCGTCGCGCTTCTGACAACATACATCACCGTGCCAGGCTCCGCAGCCTATTGGGTAGCGTCGACATGTTTGGCTCCAATCTTTTTTAGCTATGGTTATAGCACGGAGTAGCTGCGCGGCTCCAGGTGGCTTTTCTCAACACAGACTAGTCCTCGTCCAGAACAGAACGACCCGTAGTGCAGGCGCCACTTTATGAGTCGGCTCGTCATTGGCGGTGGCTTTTGCTGGATCCATACGAAGTGCCTGTGTTGTGGTGGCTGGACATGTTGACGGCGCCGATTCTACTCCGTTGCCCGATCCCTGTACTACTCCGTAGTTGTACTAACTCCGTACTCCGTGGCCATAACACAAATCTCAATATGCTGCGTCCGTGTCCTTGTCCGTGTCCCCGATCAAACAAATTCTAATAGCAGCATGGTCGACTGATCTGCATAAGGGGGAGTAACCGCGCCCGAGATGGAATTCAAAACAAAGGGGCCATGATTGTTTGAGTTTGGTTTTTTTTTTTTTTTAAGAAATAAAGAAAGAAAAACTCTTACCGGCGAAATCATCTTCACAACCTTTTTTGGTCTTCCAAAGCCGCCGCCCCGACACCTTCCCGGGTCGTACATGCGGATTCATCCTTTTGCCGAAATCCGCGGATTGAGACCAACATGTGGCGCCCAGGTTTGTCAACTTCTCCACCCGAGCCGTGTGTTTCGGGCTCAATCTGATAGGTACCAAGACTTGCCGTAATCTGATCTAAACCACCTCGTTCGCCTATTCGCCGGCGATTGTATGATTACGTTGCTTCCTCGAGCGGTTTTAGCAGAGAGGCGCTTGTTTAACCCCGTAATTACTGCTGCTCATTGCCGCGAATCGATCGTCCCTTCTGGTGGGTTGTTAAAGTCAAATGGCTCGAAATCAAATCCACTGCCGTCCTGGACCTGAAGCTGAGCACTCAGAAACTCATCGGTGATCAATGTGCCGAGTTCGTCGTCAAAACTAGTCAGCGGCCCCGTCGTGGCGTCAGCACCGCCAAGCTCAAGCCCATTCATCAAGTCCGGCGCATTGAGAGGTACGTCTGGAGGCAGAGTTGTCTCGCGGCACTGCCTTGCGACACTTACGCAATCGCGAATCTCCTTGACACATGGCAGGCTGTTTTGTATTTCGTCCATGGCTTCCGTCAGCAGAGACAGCGACCGTTCGATCTCGGGGTCCTCCCACGATGATTTCTGGAAGAACCGCTTCATCATGACGGCCCCCGTGGCCGTGGAAAGCGTTTGTGCAAAATCCAGTGGGAGGGATCTGTACCGATAATAGCGAGAGTAACTTCGCATGAGGCGCAAGATGGCCTGCAGTGACTCGTAACATATTTCAACATCTTCACTTTCTGAGATCCCAGGCTTTTCAAACATATTCGACGGTGGGCGATGGAGGATGATCATGACGGTGTGAAATAACATGCTGTCAAGTCCGTCAGGCTGCTTGCCGAGAATCCTCTACGCGGAGGGAGGCGGCTTTAGACTTACTGCAGGTGAAGTACAGGCGATGGCACCTGTCCTACTGTCCATTGATTCCAGTGCAGCGTTCCTGGCAGGCTCGCAAGCCATTTTGTCAGCGAAACGTGAATCTTGCGCGACTTGGCCGCTGCAATGGCTGGGTCAACATCCCCTCGCCGGTTTTCAAAGAGATCCGCAATCATGACGTGAATGATCTTGCAGAGCTCTGCTTGGTATATAAAGGAACCAACCAGCGCCACGCCGTTCTCGTACTCTGGTACCGTGGCACCCCTGCAGATATACGTTTCCAACAAGTTTTGCCAGTCGTGAGGATATTGTAGTCTGATGGTGTTTCGCACATCCGACTCGCTGGGGTATAGAGCTGGAGGTCGCCCGAAGTACAGGCTTAGCTGTTTGTCGGCTATAAAAATTCCCCAGTAGACCCTACGGAGGATCTCCCGATCGCGGAAGGAGCTCGTGGATGCATCCCAGTTACTCGGGTCGAGGTGCAACCCCATTTCGTGAGCCAGTCGAAAAGCCATGCCACAAAAGAGCCATCCTTTAGATGTCTGCCCTACAGCGATTTCTCGGTGCCCTAGAAGAATCAGGGCCTGGAGTGTGGTCAGGTCGGGCTTGTCCAGTGTTGCAAAGAGCAGTGCTTGCGCCTGGCCAGAAAACACGTCGGATAATTTGAAGAAGTCGTCGTACAGGAGGGCCGAGAGCGAACACATGGAGTAGAGCAGCAGGTCGGAATAATATCTCCCAGAGCCCACGTCGTAGTCTCTGAGGAAGTATTCCCGGTAAACCACCATATTATACTGATACTGCTCCGTGAAGAAGGCAGCCATCAGGGTTTGAGAAGTTTGGTCATGAGGCGCATATTGAAAGCAGCCACTGCCACTGGAACTTGACTCCTCGAGTGCAAGATCCGTCATTTCCAGCATCGAGTTGACTTGGCAATCAGCCTGCACCATTGTGCCATCGCTGTTGGCTGACGTACGAGGGGTCGTCTGAGTCTCGTCCCTGGAGAAGTGAATTTGAAACGAACTGGTTCCGCCAAAGAATTGTGTCGCGTTACCATCTCGCGGCCGTCTCAATTGTCCAGCGCGCAGCCGAGCAACCGCAACGCCATGGTCTCCAGTCGGGTTTGGCTGAGGCTTTTTGTCAAGCGGTGCGCCGTCCTCGGGCGCCGAGCTCAGAGACAACTCTAGAAGAATCTCATCTCTTTCCGTGCTATCTGCAATGGCCAGCTTGCGAATCACTTGCTCCAGTGCACTAATTTGCCCTTCTAGAGCCTGGACGTAGCTTTTAGATACTGGTCTGAATCACGGTAAGCAAAATGCACAAAAGGGCGGTGACTCGTAAAAATATCCCACCTCTGCTTCTCGCCAGTTCCCTGCAGAACACATTCTGTTCCTGCTTTGATACATCTTGAACAGGGGCGCTTGCGGTCACATTTGATCTGCACGCTCTCGTCAGCTTTCGGATCATATTCCGGGTGCCGTTCTGCCAACCTTGCGACGGCGACATCGCTCACACCTAACGCAGGTGGTTAATTTGTGAGTAGACAAGGGCCATCGTGAAACGCTTACGATGTCTTGATTGATTCCCCTATAGGTGTTGCCTCCATCACGTCCAATCTTCAACCCGGACCAATTGACAGTATCCAGGGGTCGAGCCTATCCGTTGCTTGCTCACACTGAGGGAAGGAGCGAGTCACCCTACAGTCGTAACTTGAATCCACCACCCAGCCTGGTCGAGAGTCGCGCGTGTGCTTCATCCAGTCACGACAATCTACAGCCCATCAGATTAAACCCGCGGACGCAGAATCAAGTATGTCGCGCTGCATGAAGTCGCTGTGTTGGTGCGTGTCGGCGGCAGCTCCTGGTGGAAACTCAGATCAACGACAACAAATTAGGTACCGACACCGGCATGACCGGGCCTCCCTCGGAGTCCCTCCGCATTTCATCCGGCAGACTCACTACAACGCCATTTTACCTATTGCCACAAGCACGAGAGCCCACGGCGTGCTAGGCGACACAGAGATGGTATTTCAAGTCGACGACAGAATTAGACCCTACATTTTCGGTACCACACACGCTGCTGGCCCATGCATCCGCTTCCCGGGCGGCATCACCTTATCACCACCAGCAACCTCACAAAACACCAACAATATCCTCGTCCCTCAGGTCCAAAACCAACATATGCCCCGGCGCGTGCCCCAAAACCACACCCTCCAGCCCCGCCGTCACAACCGCCTCCAGCGGCGAGACACCGCAGCCCCAAAACACCGGAACCTCGCCCTCGCCATCGCCGCCGCCCCTCAAGACCGGCGCATCCCCCCATTCCGGCTCCCCGATATCCCCGATGCCCAACCTCGCAACCGCGTCCCACCCCCAATCAAGCGGCTCCCCGTGCGTGATCCCAAACCTCCCCGTCAGCTCCCTCACCCTCCCTACATCGCTCACCTTGTACATCCTCATCGAAACAACGTACGTGCCCCCCACAAACACACCCGCCGGACACAACGGCACCGTGGTCCTGTACATGGCCACATTCCTGCCCAGCAGTACATGCTGGGGCGGCAGCCCGGCCCTGATCAGTTCGCTCTCGAAACTATACGAACAGCCAATGAGGAAAGCAACGTGGTCGTCTGTCCAGTAGTCCTTGACGTCTGTGACATGGGACGCGACGAGCTCGGAGTCCTTGTAGACCATGTAGCGTGGGATGTCTGTTCGTAGATCGCACCCTGTCGAGACCATGTCTTTGTCTTCAAGGCCCCTGATGCATGATTTGATGGAGGAGAAGGAGCCTGTGGTCGTGGACTCTGCGATCAGAGGGCAAGGGACTGGGTTTCGTCCACACAGCGCGCGGAAATCATTGGCGTAGCGAGATGGTAGAACAATCATGTTTGATTGAATGTATCCCCGCGATATCCCCGCTGTTGGACCTGTGTGCTCGTTTTCCCGTGCCGCTAGACGAGCATCTAAACCGGTGAATAATTCTGAGCCTAGCATCTTGAGAATGGCCATGTTGGCAGCTCAAGCTGAACACAGGGAAACTGTTTTATTCCAAACAAGTATTTCTCCGATGCCACTTTTTTATTGTATTTATATTGCGAAAAACCAAGTTGTGCTTTGGCAATGTTCAATCATCGACGCCGAGTGGCTTATGCTGCAGCGGACTTCCGCTTCCGCTCCCCACCGCACATGCCGTCGACGCTACACTAGTCTCCCAGGCCCTCGTCAAAGGTACATATGGAATAGTATAAAAGCCGCCTGGGAAGCTAAGGCAATAATAAAATTGGGTATTGGTATCGACCTTGAGGAGCTACTTATACAACGCCCAGCCAGATGCTTTTGACCACCCCCTACTTCCCAACAAGCCAACAAGTGCTGTCCCATAGACTGAATAACACTGGAAACCTAACCCAAGTATAAGGCTCATTCATTCAAGACCCCCAAAACGGACTTCTATTAGTAATCAAACGTCATTATTATTCACTCCATCGCGATGATCGATCCAAAGTGCGTCTCACATAAGATCGCAATGCTCGTCTGGCATCTATGGCCCAGCGCTTGACACGGTCCGTCACCCAGTCGGACTTGATATTGCTATTGGGTGGTTGTGTGCGATTATCAATAGTATTGAGATTGGTCTCGGAACCTTTCAGTGTCATATTGACTGAAATGTGACTGTCACTCTGCTCCAACTCCGGAATCTTCTTGCATTTTTTAGGAGGTTTAGCTGTAAATGACTCAGCAATGCGTAATCGAAACATGGACATCTTTTTGCGCAAGCCATTCTCCTGCACAGGACTCCTGCCCGAACTGCAGCTTGGTCTCTGAACGAGGGTGTCTTTGTTTGAAGAAGATAGAGACCCTTTCTTGTCTGTATTGTCCTCTGATGAGGGCGGGTAGGGTATACTGAAGGGATCAGATGGCTGGGGCGACTTGTATCCTGTGCTGCTTTGGCTATGCCGAGTCTCGAACGTAGACTGAACACACCCCTCAGACTGAGCATTGCCTCGGGCATTGTCTTCATTTGCAAAGCGCTGCCCAGCTTTCGTTCCGCTGCTCGAGTACAAGGCCAAATCCGCCAACGAATTGCACTGCTTTAACCGATTGACCCTCGTGAAAGGTTCACCTGTGGCTTGCCGGCCTTGGCCAAGTTGGCTTCGTGAAAGCTTGAGTTTTAGTTTCGGCTTTGCTTGTGCAGTTGATTGTTGTGACACCCCCTGCATGTCTCCTTTGATATGGGCACAATTGATGTTGCCCATGCCACTAACCGGAGAATATGATGGCTTGATTCGAACTTTGAACTTGGAGGGACTGCTATGCTTGCCTGATTGTGGTGGTTGTTTCAACCCAGTTGGTACTGGCTCGGCTAAGTGGATTTCATCGTCCTCTCGAACCATGTCATGTAGCCTAGAACAGTCACATAGCGGTTGTTCATCTAGCTGGCCATCCCATTTCCGTAAAGGGTGCTGATTATGACTTCCCTCGCTTGGCATTCCTGGGGGCAATGGTGGAAGAGCTTTCATCAGCTGCGGGATACTGTTTTTTACCTTGAGTCCACGAGCAGGAGAGATTGGCTCTGGCGATAGGATGTCCAGTTCTTGCTCATGCACAGGCCCATCTTCGATATGCCCAGATTTATCATTCAACTCGGCAGTATTGATTCTCACAGCTGCTACATTGCGACGATGTCTCTGGTTGCCGAGTTTGTGATTTGAAGATGCAACACTGTCAGTATCACTCTCATCTGAAAGTTTCTGGGCAGAAATGTCCGCCGTTTTGAAGCACGGAGATTTGCCCAGCAAGTCAAATGAAGAGAATATGGACGCAAAATCAGGCAAGGTTGGATCAAGGGCACATCGTGCAACGCGTGATCCCTGTTGAGTACCTAGTGTATTTGGATGGCATTCAGAGTTTGGCTTGGCTTCCACCGCTCTCAAAGACTGGCCCGATTTGGAAAGTCTTGCCATATTGACGCTCATGTTGTGCTCATCGCTTTGAAGCAGGCTTTCAGCACTCTTTGATGCTTCAGGGTCTGCAGGCGCAGACTGAGATAATCGCCTGGCAGCGATGAGATTACTGAGGTCGGTGTCGTCGGCGTCACTAGATCTTGTCGTTTCTTCTTCCAGCTTTGGGCCTGACTTTAGCTCCTCTTGATTCCCTGTGCTGTACTCCAGACTTGAGCGGGAATGGGGAGTAAGGGTGTCGACGGCGGCATCTTGGTGATCAGGTCCGTCAGGCTTTGGTTTCACTGCAAACTCATCATAATTCCGACCCCCGCCATCCTGAATGTGGGGAGATTCAATCGAAATTTGGCTCTTGATGTCATGGTGAGATGCAGTCGGTCTATCAAAGTCCTCGCTGTAGTCATAGTAGAACGAACCGGCCAACTGTGGTGGCTGTCTTGAGCCCTTTGCAGTGCTAGGTCTCCGATACATGTCAACAATAGATGTTAGACTAGGGGATCTTCCGCACCGATCAACAGGCATTCTCGCATGCCTCTCAAATCGTCCATATCTGCTTGCGCCAGATTGCGAGGAGCCGGGGGTTCGAGCCCTGTGAGACACGGGTCCCGAGTAGTACGGCCCCGGGGATGCTCTTGAGGGCAACGATGCCGTGGATCGATTGAAGTCCGGCCGAAGAGACAGAGGAGGTGGCCTTCGAGCCCAGTTGTTATATGTTGACTTGTAAGACCCATGAACGGTTCTCTGTAGGCATCATTAGTTTCCATCCCCCGTTTCGTGCCAAGATAGGTCAGCTGTACCTGTGAAACACGATCAAGTTCAATCATTCGACTGTAATCAATACACCCGTTTTCTGCTAATGCAGGAGACGCAGGTCGCACCCCTGGCCTCTTGAGCCGTGTTGGATATGGAAATGGTGAACGTGGCCGTTGCAGTCCACTTCGGCTGGATTGACTCTGCAAAGTCCCCGAAGATTTCTGGGATGGAAGCTGACGAGAGCTATTCGTTGTGATGGAGTAAGATCGATGACTGATGTCATCAAACATTGGAGAACCTGGCGTCATGTAGAATGCTTGATTGTCATACCCATAGAGCGAAATGATCTCAGATGTGGTGTCTCTATAAGAGCGAAAATGTCTGTGGTCATCGGCGTAGTAGAAGTTCTCACCCTTTCTGGGTGTGTACTTGGGAGGAGTTATCCCCTCAAGCATGTCTGGCCTTGCCCTGGGATGCTGATGATAAGCTGCAGGAGTCACCGATGGTTGAATGGAGAAGACGCTAATATCTCCCGTTTCGGTGGTTGTCTTCAACATGCTTGTGAGCGGCCCCGGGGACGGGGGCAATATCGAATTAAGACTGGCATTCCGTAGTGCACGTCTTTGATGAGGTTTTTGTCCCCTTGGAACGCTTGTCGATGGGGGAAGATGGGAACCGTAGGAAGTGTAAGTGCTATGAAGTGAGCCGTTGCTGGCGGTCTTAAAACGAGACTTGGAAACATCCATGGTAATTTCATGTAAGGCCGCGGCCTGCTAATACATAGAACTGGGCGAAGATATAACGATAGACTGAAATGAATACGGCAATGAGACAAATCTGAACAAAAAGGAGATGATTGGGGCCACGGCAAGATGTGAATTGGTTGGCAGTTTCGAGGACCAAATACTGGCTTGCAGTGAGACGTCACAGTTGGATGTTGGTAGACATGGTCGTCCAAAAAACGTGGTAATGGGAGAATGAAAGACAAATGGAGACGAAGTTGCTACGGGCTTGATGTAGAGGCAGCCCGAATCTTAGCTCGTTAAACCGAGCAGCTGTGACAAGAGATGAGCGAAGCGAGAAGTCGCTACACATCGTCAACCTCGCATGATATCATCGAGTCGGCAACAGCGCGTGGCGGGCGTTGGCAGTGCTTGGTGGCCATGCATTCACAAGACCGATACCCTTCCTGCTTTGACAGGGTTGCCATACCGACGGCATGATGAAGAGATGGCAGAAATCTCGATCGGTCGTCCGGGACATGGTTTCTCGGGCGATGTGAACCGAGTCGCTTTTTCTGAAGAATTTACGCCTCACTTGCAGGAGCATTCAGGGCGAAGTCTGTACGGAGCAGGCTTGAGGTTAGCCAAGGAAGGAGCTCCAGGCAGGAAGTTGAGGAAGGAGGTCCATATGTGCACGCCTATCTACCGCCTGCTTCATCTGCGGTCGAAGTTGGCAGGAGCGACACCGAACCCTGACAGCTGCGTCTCGATAATATCTGCATCTACTCGTGAACATTGAACAGTTGAGGCTCAAATGTTTCGTCATCAGTCCGCTTCTGGCGGTCGTAGGTGCATCCATTCGCTCTTCCTTGGACGGTACGGAAAGGTATGTGCTAACATCTCAGGGCGCAGAAAGCTACACGGCGCGATGGGTAGATACAGTACTGTGATGGCGAAATACCCACCTTCTGGTTGAGCCGTACGGACCGACTTTCGAACGAATCCCAGAGTTGTCGCAGCGAGCTCTATTTCTGGGCCCGATCACAATCGGAGCATGCCTTGATGTCTCTCGCAGATGCAATCAACCATTGCTCACCGGTGCTCTATGCATCGTGGACGAAGCGAGCGCCTAACTGATTCAAATTACGAATTAGGCCCTTGCCGAGGTCATCTGACACAAGACAGGGAGGTGGTCGAGACAACAGCAATTTTCCATGCCCCCAGCGTGACAGCAAGGCCCCCCCCCGTGATATTGTTTTCTTGCACAGGGCCGGAATGCAGCATTCCTTTTCGTCTTTGGACAATGAAAATGGCAGCCTGTGCTGTGCTGTATGTACGCCATTCTCTGCTACTCAGAGTGTAAGGCCTGGGTCTCACTATAGCGACCAGCACCCACAACACTCCGCACGTCGTACTCCGTACGTACAAAGAGATGCATCAAGAATGCTCCATAATGCTGACTCAAAGCAGAACCTACCAGTCATGCCACGCATTCGCAAGTGAGTGGGCGAAACAAACTCCAACTACCGAACACTGGTCTGTGCTTCGCCTCTCACAAACCGGACAAGGGACATGCCAACGGGCATCTGGGCACTGGGGCTTTAACACATGGATTTGAGCGTCCTGACTAGCTCACGTGCTGTTCTGCTCAAGGCAGAAAGAAATACTACCCAAAACAGACGGATAGAAATTGACATGTCTCATGCTCATGTTTGTTGTCTTGAGGCAAAGAAAAAAACATTTTCCCTTAGTTTAATTACACCCCATGATTTGCCCTGCTGGTCTCCGGCCGCATCCGCTTTCAACTCGTCCTAGCCTAGTGTACATACATAAGTAGTAGTAATAATACCTGACATATGCCATTAATCTGTACGGTACTACAGTGTAGTACTTCCTGTCGAATACTTCGTACAATAAACTAGTACTACTAACCTTGGCCCACACGATGGGATGGAGACTGGCGAAACATGTATTCTACTATTGTTCCGATGCATCCCTGTCCATGACTAGAGTGATCTTCCTGCCGGCCGGCCAGTCGGACGAGTTCATGTCCTCGGGGCATATGTACATACATGTGCCTCTCTCTTTCAACCTCCTGGATGCCAGCCAGTTCGATTCATGTCTAGTCTGGATGCACTTAATTATTGTCCCTCTCCTTTCCTTTCATAGGGCCAGAATGTGGCCGGCTTCTGGGGGGGTTGGCGTGCCTCTCAATAGGCATCGCTCGTTGCTCATTTGTGCGTTGGTTTTTTCTGAACTCATTGTCCCTCCCCTCTCAAGTTGACGGAGACATGGTGGTTGAACTCTAGCGCCTCAAGGGGAGATCCAACAAAGCCGGGCCTGCGTTTGGCTGCTCGGAGGTTCGCAGATCCACCTCGTCCTAGCCGCCCACATGTTGAAGAAGCTTGGTGCCTTTCTAGCCTTTTAGTCAGGGGAATGTGGTGGGTCCTCGGCACAATGGTAGGCATTTCGGCTGTCCTTGGGGACCAGTGGACACAGCAGGGTCCTGTCTGGTTGCTTGTCAACCCCTCTTGTGGCCCCCACGGCCCCCGTCACCCCGTCACCCTGGCCCCCTGTCCCCCTGTCAGTCAATCCCTACCCAAATTCAATGTTTGGTCACTTCACCTTCTCCTGCTCCATTAAGCACCGAGTCGACCAGTGATATGGACATGGCATGTGCCTGTAAGCCGCTCTTGGTTTGGTGTGCATCTTCTCCTCTATTTCCCCTGCTTCTCGACGGCTTTCCCCCGCTGTTCTTTGACTCGAGCCCTCGATTGTGGTAACCGACAGCCATTGTACTATTATTCCAATATTGCCTTGCCGTCTTCCTCCATTCCTCCATCCGTCTTCTCTCTTGCTTAAACCTCTCGCCACATTCATTCTACACTTGTTTCTCTCGGGTAACATATCCTGAGTCCTGACCATCGTACGCCTTGCGCATTACTTGCCAAGCTCGAATCTTTCTACCCAGACACAATCATCTCCACTTCAAGCCAGAGTGCGAATAAGACCAATGGCATCCAAACCCGAGTTACGCCTCACCACAACCATGCCGGCAGCCAACTCCGATCTCGAGGCCAAGCAACCCCGGAGCGCACTGCGCAGCCCTCGCTTCCGCGAAGATTTCGATGCGCCCTTCTCAGAGGCCCTCCTAAACGCATCAACAATGACACTCGCCACCGAGAGCGACAAGTCGCCGCTCTCTCAGCACCCCAGCGACATCTCAATCACTAAGCCGGCTCACTCGCCCCGCCCCACGCAATCACGCGAAGATAGCTGGTCATCCACAAACTCTAGCCGAAGCGCGAGCAGCTCGAGCTCCGGCGTGAATGACAGGTTAAGAGAATGGGCTCGGAAGTCGTTCTTGGGGCTGAGGCGCTCGGACGACGGGGAATCCTCGCGGCCATCATGATCTGTTACAAATGCAAAGTAAAAAAAAAGACAACACCAAAAAGCAACGACACCGCAGCTATGCTTTTATCCCGAAAGAGATTCATGACGAATTATGAGCGCTACGCCCACGACTATTCATGTCTTTAGAATATGTGACCCTCCTCGAGGCAGTTCGCAACTAAAGAGAGAAAAAAGGCAGGGAGGACATCTATGACTGACACAGCCATGTTCCCCCCTTTACTAAAAGGTGTTTTGATGGACGATTTACCATGTATATAATTTTATATACCTATCTACTACGGCGACACAGCCGCTTTTTTAATGATGCACAGTATTTGTTCCATGTCGGGCCAAGTTAAATAATAATACGTACTCGTGGCTAGAATACGCCTCCGCCAATGATGAATATCCTCTGCTCTTCCTTCTTGGCCCACTGAATAATCTTGTTCGCGCCCTGAGTCATGGCCGCGCGAGACAAGTTTGGTCCCCCGATGCAATAAAATTCAAAGACGGGCGTGATCCACGCCAGACAAGTCGCCTCCTCGCTCGAGCAGTGCAGAACCTTAAGATGCGCGTGTTTAGCGTGCACAGAGGCATGTAGCTCGTGGTATAGCGACAGTAGCCTTCGTCTCTCGACGACATGGGCGAACAAGGGTTGTAGCGACGACATGCAAAACTGCACGTTTGCCCGAGATTTGTACAGGAAGTGGCTGACTTGGCTTCCGGGCGCAACTTGCGACACGGCAGGTCGGCCGGCGCGCGCTGCCTTGCGAATGGTGGCTAGGCTGCCGCTTTTCGCCAAGGCCTGCGCAACGTCATCGCGCATTTGCTTGAGGCTGAAGAAACTCTCCTTGTCTGCGCTTATGAGGATCATGGCTATCTCTTCGCTGGGCGTCTGCACATTTGTTGGACTGCCTGGCGGTTGCACTTCCGGCGAGTCTTCGAAGAAGCTGACGTACATGTACAAATAGCCCTTGTTGTTGAATGCAGGTAGACAGATGGGAATCCAGTTCTCGCCGCCGCCGCCCTTGATGCCGTCTGATTCGAAGAGCATGTTGAAGATGAGCCGCAGGTCACTGGGGTGGAGAGAATGCCGCCGCGGCCGCACGACACTCACGAGTTTCCCGCCAGCGACGATGAGCCCGTAGAGCAGCTTATCGGTTCGTAGCTTCAAAAAAGTATTGTTGATGGCGTGGCGCTCAGACTTGCGCAGCTTCAAACACTCTAATGAGCCTAGGAGGGTCGATGCAGAGCCAAGGGTGAATGTGTCTGCCAAGGAGGATAGTAAGGACTCTGTGCCTTGGAGTGGTTTGCGCAAGTCGGACGATGGTCGGTTGACGAATATATTCTTTAGCGTGGGTAGTGTCAGCGTTGACAGAATCTGCATGTATAACGCCTCGAGCTGGGACCGAAGTTGCGCATCACTCTCGCCGAGCTTGCTTATAGCCACGAGATGAAGAGGGCCTTGGGTTAATACCACGAATCTGGTGCTGCCCGCTGTGAAGCCTTGCAAAGGGTTCTTGGCTCCTTCGTAGAATGATATGATTGTCTGAATAACTCCGATGGACGAGTTGATGAGGTCGAGGTCTCCGTGACGGCTCCAAATGGGTTTTCCGGCAGATGACAGGATCATGTAATGCTTAAGTTTTGACTTCCACATTAATACTCGCTCTTCGTCTTTGACATTCTCGTCCTCTTGGGATGGAATGGGCTGGAATTCATCCTCGAAACCGGCAAGTCCATCCTGAGCCCCTGAAAGATGTCGTTGGAATGGCTGGACTGTAGCAGACTGGGCTTGGAGCAAATTCCACGCTGGAGTGCGCTTGTGAAAGTCGGAAACCATTAAGCTTGCAATGTCCCCAGCTGGCCGCATGGTCGGCGCAAAGCTCATCATGCTTGCAGCGTCATCAGGCCCTTCCCCACCAGATAGGCTGGCTTTGTATCCTGGTGAATCATAACCACTGCCCACGGGGGTGGAAACTGACCTGTTCCCGGGCGTTGAGAATGTTCCCCGGGTTCCGTCCGGAAAGGAAAGCGTCTGGATGTCCACAGACGTCAACGCCGTGGTAGGCTGGGCCTGCAAGCCTCTCGATTCCGCAGTGGTAGCTACAGCTTTGCGAGGGGGTAACGGGGGAGGCTGCTCCTCCTCTTCGGTGGGAGGTTTAGTCTCTCTGCCCATGATACTGCCGCGGATGGTAGTTGTCGCATCTCAAAGGGGAGGTCACGGGGCGGGTTGAGTGATGTCGACACGGCTTACACTACAACGGGTAACTAAAGCGCCCGAAAAATGGTGGTAAACTGTCGAATAGACCAGGACATGGTTGTTTTTGGCTTTGGGAGCCGACGACAGTGAGGATGAGGACGGGGTCGAGGCCGAAGGCGTGGATGAAATGAACATGTGCGGTCACGTCTGCCTGAGGGGCTGTGACGTCTTGACATGTCTTGTAGCAGCAGCTGGCTCGTGGCTCGAGGTGGCCTTGCGCCAATGGGCAACCCTGTGGCTTCTACCAGGTTAGCAACAAACCAATCACAGACGTTCCAGCCACGCGACCCCTGCGCGTCGACCACTCTTTTGGAAGTGGTGGCTTGTGAAACGTAGCCTCACATCAGTCAACTGATGCGGATGCGTGTCGACCTGAAGGATGGATGGTCGCGAATCCACCCCACGTCACCCTCCCTTGACAGCTGTACTGCTCGGTCTAACACACGATCCTTCGGACCAGACGTTCGACAAGCGATGCCCTCAGGATACCACATGATCCGATTGCTTCACGACCATGGCGCTTGATCCGGGATCCGGCGCCATTGCGGGCTCGCCTGAGAGTTCCGGCCGGGATTCTCCCATACCGCGTCAATGGAGAAACCAACTTGGAGGAGGTTAGCCACCAGGCAGCACTGTTGTGATGCCGAATCGATGCTAATGCGTGGGAACAGAGGAAATCCCGATCAAGGACAAAGCTTATCGCAGATATGCTGCTGGCGTTGAGAAGACACTTTCGCTGTTTGAAACCGCCCTCGAGGAATGGGCAGACTATATTTCCTTTTTGAACAAGCTGCTCAAGGTATGCTTTGCGCCAACTCGTCTAGAAGCTTTAAATAGCATCATATTTTCTAACGTGGTTGTGACTAGTCGCTTCAAGCTCGGCCACCATCGTTTCATTCCATTCCAACCAAGGCCCTCGTTGCCAAACGTCTTTCGCAATGCCTCAATCCCGCTCTGCCATCGGGTGTACACCAAAAGGCCCTCGAGCTGTACAACTATATATTCACAACGATAGGGACGGATGGCCTGTCTCGGGACCTGCCCCTATATCTCCCGGGCCTTGCGCCTACACTGTCATTCGCCTCGCTGTCTGTCCGATCGCCGTACCTAGACCTCTTGGAAACCCACTTCCTTGACCTCGACCCCAGATCGCTCCGGCCAGCCATGAGATCTATTATACTTGCCTTGCTTCCTGGATTAGAGGAGGAAACAAGTGAGGATTTTGATAGAACATTGCATCTGGTGGCACGGTTCAAGGAAGCCATACGGCCTCGGGAAAGTGTGAGGCTGGGAGAGCACCATGCCTCTGGAGACGATTTCTTCTGGCAGTGTTTCTTCCTAGCTGCCATAACTAGCCATAGCCGCAGGTCTGGAGCCTTGGCTTATCTTGTGCGCTATCTACCTAAGCTTGGCCCGACTGCCTCCGCTGGCGCTGGAGAGGAAGGAATTACGAAGAGCCTGCACGCTATCGTAACGTCACCCGAGCCGGGCTTACTAGTACGATGCTTCGCAAGCGGCTTAGGTGACGAGCAGCTGTTAATTCAACGCGGCTTTCTCGACCTTCTCGTATCGCATTTGCCCCTTAGTTCGGACGTCCTCCAATCTCGGGTAAAGCCAGCGGATCTAGAGCTGCTCGTGAAAGCAGCAGTTGGTGTAGTTACCAGACGAGATATGAGCTTAAATCGTCGTCTTTGGGCATGGCTGTTAGGGCCTGAGCCGGCCGGTCAAGATGGCGACCATAATGAACAAAACCAAGCCTACCTATCCTCGCGAACGACCTACTTCGAAGACTTCGGCCTGCAGCCTCTCACCAGAGCGCTTCTCCAGATGATTCAAGGTGCATCTCGTGGTAACAGCGCCGAGCGAGCCCGTCCATACAGGATTTGTCTTTCTCTCATGGATAGATGGGAGATTGGCGGCCTTGTAGTACCTGAAATCTTCATGCCGGTTGTTGATAGTGTCCGGAAGTTCCAGGCCCAGGCCGCCAGCAAATCCGAGTTCGACGAAGTTCTCCGTAGCGCCAGCGTTTTCTTCGATGGTATCGAAAGTGGTTTGATTTACAGCGAGATTGTTGGCTTATTGGCCCAGGCAATTGGACCAGGAAGCCTCATTGCAAGGGATCGCATGGATAAGCTTGCGTTGGTCAACTTCATCGTGTCCAGCTTTAATGTTCGCGAAGAGGAGATGGTAACAATTCACGCGCCGCTGACATGTTTGGCGGCGTTGTTGATGCTGGAGGATTCCAAGAACCGCAAGGCGAAGACGGCCTTGACAGATATCGAGTCCGAGAAGCTGTGCGACCAAGTTCTCGGCGCCGTTGTTTCACTATTGGAACTTGTTCCTGAACGAGCATTCCCTCAGAGACTCGAGCAAAATGGGAATCAAAAAGACAGAACAGCTTTGCTATCGACGTCCAGTATTGAGCTCCTGAAAAAGATAAAGACGTTTTATGTACATGAACAGGGCAATTTGGAGTCATCACAACCCCCTTTTACTGCTGTAGAATCAGGGGAGTTATTGTTGGAGAAGGCCGTCATTTACATTTGCGATGACTCCAAGGACTCACCTGTGAACGATATCGCGATTCGCGTACGAATCTTGACTCAAATTCTTTCCAAGACGCCTGGAAATTACCACTTCGACGCAAAACAGCTTGTGTCATACCTGCATGGCAAGCTAAGCAAGTCGCAACCACTATTGTTTCCTCATTTCTCGGCCATGGTTATGTTGTCAACACAACTATATTCCGCAAGAAGGATTCAAGACAAGGAGTTTTCTGACCTCGTAGGGCCATTAGTTCGCCATGGCTGGTCCTACTTGTCCGCTTCTGAACCCAAATACCACGTCGAAACCGTGCGTTGCTTGTGGCAATTGCAGACGGCACTTACCTTGTCTGGTCGTGACATAGAGGCAGCCATTGCTGAAATTCTGACCAAACCAATGGCAGGTCCTGAGAAGACGTCTCATTCGGCTGAAAATGGACGGACTTTTGGTGTACTGTGGTCACATAGTCTGCAAGATGTGTCTTCTGAGCGTAGAGGCTCCAAAGGCCAGACACTGGATCAACGACAAATACCACGTCTGTCTGGCACCGACCACTACCAGGTCATGCTCACACAGCCCATGTTTTTGGTCTTGGATGCTCTTTTGGACGACAGAACACAAACGTACATGGTTGTTAAATCATGGCTGAATAGTATGATTGGAATCGACAGGTGAACATCTATACATGTCTAGTTTCGTCTTGTGGTACATACTGATTGTTACAGGCTGTTTCTGGTATTCGCGATGAAGATGGCACAACTGCCATTCCTCAACCATGTCATCACCCATCGTGCTAGCGAGAAAGTCAACTCCCAGTCAACCACATTCACAGAAGATGATGATTTGGAATTGTGTCTCTACTACCTACGAACGCTCCACAATGTCCTCAAAATATCTGGTGATATGTCCAGAGCGGTATTGGCATCTAAATACGTCTCTTTTAGTGACGGCTCGGCTCACATCAGGGGTATGTCATTGATATCTTGCTCAACTTTAGTTTCCTTGCTGACCATGCGTAGCTGGAGCGGAGGAAGACGAAATGACACTTCAAGATTTCTTCGTTCGTGTGTGTATGATATGTGTTATAGGCGAGCGGCCATCATCTTCCAGTCCCGAGCTGGGAGAGCGGATATGCCAACTGCATCGATTTGCACTAACAATTCTCCATCAATTTTTATCCAGCCGATATGCCGCTCCCCTGTCCAGCCTTGAACTGGATCATATCCTTGTTGATAAACTTTCGAAATCCATCAACACCCCCGACCCCTACGTCCAAGTATTATTGCTCGATGTTGTATATGACACCGTTAAACTCAGAAACATGGCGTTACATGACAGACAGTCGGCAGAAATCTCGGAGAAGAGACCTACCAGTGCGGACAATTCCAGAATGGGGCACTCGTCATTTTCATCAAGCGAAATCCAACCAACAGGTCCACCAATGCCTCCGGCTTTGCTCAAATGCTTGCAGGCCGGACTGAGCTCGCCAAATAGCCAATCGGTCCTTGATAGCTGGATATCGTTTCTTGGCCAAATTATCGCCCTCTATTCGCAGAGCATTTTTCAAACCGTTATTCCACTGGTCGAGACGCTGTGCAGGCACATAGGATCTACGTTTGCTGGCCTCCGCGAAACTTTCCTAAGCGAGCCATGCGAAACCATCACGACAGGGAACACACCCGAGTCGACATTGATCCACCTACTCAACGGGCTGGAACAAGTCCTGGCTTTGGCGCATGATCAGCTCCTCGCTGAAGAAGCCCGGATCCAGTTGATAAAGGGGCCTGAGCAACCATCATCGCTATTCGGAAGCATGGTATCCGGTGTTTTCCAGTCAGAAGGTCCTCAATCACGAAGCGCCACGGCCAATGATCGCCTTACTGTTCATCTCGCTTTTCAAGATGCGATGCGCATCTGCTATGCGATATGGTCTTGGGGTCAAGGCGATGACTCCAGGAAACAGGATTCTGGCTCCTCGGCATCTTTTGGCTATACGTCTTTACGTATGAGAAACCGTGCTCGCAGATTAATGGAACACCTCTTTACCGCAGAGATTTTGGAATGTCTAGAGACCGTCATTGACATCTGGCGAGCTTCTGGCAGCGACACGGAGCGGACACAAATTTTCAACTTTCTCTCATCCCTTGATGCATGCCGACCGAGGCACTCTATTCCCGCGCTGTTTAATGCAATTTATAGCCGGACGAACCCTGGCGCCTTAGATCCAGTCCGGAAATCCACCCTGACAATTTCCCTGCAAGATTCCGATCTTGTTGTGTTTCTTGTCGAGTATAGCAGGTCTTTGGAGGATGACGCCATGGACGAGATTTGGCAAGACTGCATGACATTTCTCAAGGACCTTCTCGGGAACCCATTCCCGCATCGCCAGACGCTGCCCGGTCTTCTTGAATTCGCAGCTATTCTCGGTGAAAAGGTGGACAATACCAACTTCGGAGAGCAGAGACGGATGCGGCGAGAGTTGGGAGTGAGTTACATGCATACAACCAACCCCCCGCGGAAGGATAGCATTCTACTGACACTATTATAGGACATCTTCCTGCGACTACTAGCTGCTTTGTTCACGACTCGACCTTTAACGTTTACAGAGTCTGGGAGCCTCACCAATATCCCGGAAAAATCCAAGGCGGATGGCCCAGGAAGACAGGGGTCGAGAGGAGATGGGCCTGACGACGTCGTCTCAGTATTGGCATCTGTGGTACCAAACCTATCCAAGATCCTTCTTGAACCCGACCGAGTTCTCTCTGCTGCTGGCACCATCTCGACCAATGTTGTTGGGCCGACTTTGCGTTCCAAGTCATTCCCAGACACCGTAACGTCTAATACTTTGAGACTGTTTCACGAGCTGTCGAGACTGCAAAACCACCAAAAGACCTGGAAAAGGGATATTGGGGACTCATTTAACGACAACCGCTTCTTTGGGATGAACCTGGATCTGGTCAAGGATGGATGGCTACCCTTGCTGAAGCAGTGGGTTCACACGGACAAGGAGCGGATGCCAGAAATCGTAGCTCGCATCAGTGCTCCAACTACGGCAGGCATAGTGTTTGGCGTGGGCGCAACTTCAGCGAGACTAGAAGCAGACAGGAAGACACAGCTCAACCTGCGCCGAATTGCAACGCTGGTTCTGGCCGCTGCGGACGATGGCTTCGTTGCAGAACTGCCCACCATCTTCGACAAAGTGGTTGAATTACTATCAGCCACATCAACCTCCTCTCCATCGTCAACAACCCGAGCCGATGTATACATGGTCATCCGGGCGCTGGCTCTCAAAACCAGCCCGATCCACCTCGCCATGACGTGGCCCGTCGTCAATGGCGAGATCCACGCCGCCATCTCATCCGTCGTCGCACCAGATCACAGCGCCGCGTCGGACATGTATCTCAACAGTGGCATTTTACAAGCGTGCAAGCTTCTCGACTTGCTCATCTGCGTCGCCCCAGACGACTTTCAGCTTCACGAGTGGCTCTTCATCACCGACACCATAGAAGCAGTCTACCGCTCGTCCACGTATCAGCCCATAGCGCTTGCGGACGAGCTCTCTGAAGAGTTGGGTAGTTTCAGCACCCACAGTGCCTTGCAAACGGATACGGAGGCGCATATGGCGGCGAGCGGCCCTCATAGACGGCCGCTTCTCGGGCCAGGTGGTATCAACGATGATGTTAGCCTGGAGAGAAAGGATGAACTAGTGGCCAAGATTTTACGCCCGTTCTTTGGGCAACTGAGCATCTATGCGTTTGAGTCTACGTATGCCATGGGAGCGCTGGATAGAGAGGCTTGTATTGAGGGGTTGTTGAAGGATCTGTTTGACGAGAGGACCATGGTGAGGGCACTGTGAGTGTGGATAATACAAAAAAAAATATTATTGCAATGGGACCCATGAATTTGATGCGACGGTGTGATTAAGTCCAGAATTTCAAGCTGCCAGCCTGTAGTGTAGTGGTGGCCGCCATGGCGCCATGGGTCATCTTCGCGATTGATTCCAAATCATGTCCAGTCCTGTCACGCCATCACAAAGCAACCCTGCAAGACGGCACGAACCACTTGCAACCAAGTTACATTCGAATGCGAAGGCTCATTAACTTGTCTCTTTGTCACCGCTCTCGTGTCCACTCGGCCGACTTTTGCTCTCTCTATCGCCCCTCTCGTCTCGTGGCCACAGGATTCCCCGTCCCAAAGAAAAAGACGGTTTGAAATCACGCCAACTCCGGGTTTTAAACGCCCAGAAACCAAAAAAAGAAAAAAAAAGTCCTAAACACGATGGAGGAAATCAAGCCCACAGCGAGCCCTCGGACGGGCCCAGCACCCTCGCAATGATGCTCTCAAAGGCAAGCCTCTCAATGACGGCGCCGTACATGACGCAGCGCACGACGCCGTTGAACTCGCGCTGCAGCGTGTCGAGCACGGTGCCGCCGAGCAGCACCTCGACGGGGTACCGGCGCGCCAGCTCGAACCACGCCTGGACGGGCGTGATCTCGAGGTCGCCGGGGTTGAGCGAGGCGGCGAGGCCGTGCAGCGACTCGAGCGTGATGCCCGACGCGCCCCATTGGAAGCTGGGCCGCGGCGCCGCAGCCTTGCCGGGCTTCTTGGCCGCGAGGGCGGCGCGGCCGGCGTAGACGCTCTCGGGTGCCGGGGCCATGCAGTACGCGCTCGCCATGAGCGTGTGGCCCCTTTCCGACTCGGAGCAGAGGCCCGGGTCGTGCAGGTGGAAGTCGCCCATGAAGAAGTGGTCCCAGCAGCAGTGCTCGAGGCTGTCCGTCGTAAGCACATGTACAATTACAATCGCGCCAAGTGAAAGGAGTCACATACCCGAGGATAAAGTTGACGGCGCGCTGCTCCTGCTCCCACGTCAGGGCGACGCCGGCCACGGTCCGGGGCGACGTCGAGGCGGCGGCGCTGGCGCCCGACGAGTTGGAGCTGATGTGGAAGCAGGGCGCGCCGAGGGCGGCATCCATGCTCAGCGTCACCGTCAGGTCGTCGACGTCAATGGCGCCGAAGAGCTCGGGCGACTCCTCGGCGGCGGCGGGAGTGTCCACGGGCCCAGCGTCGAGGCGCATCTGCTGCTGCATCGCCGCCGTCGTCGTCATGGCCAGCGGCAGGCCGGCGGTCTCGAGGGCCTCCCGGATCAGAAAGTTCTCCTTGAACAGCGCGGCCGTCTCCTTCTCCGTGAGGGAGATGAGGTCGCGTAGCTCCGAGACGTCAATCTCGAGCTGCTTGATGTAGTTTGCCTTGCGCTGGCGGTGCTGGATCTGCGCGCGGCGTACCTGCGCGCGTCGCAGCTGGGCCTTGTCCTTGTCCGGCTTGGACTGCTCGGCGGCGTCTGCGTATGCTTTGGCTGGCTTGTTAGCATGTTTGGAGACTCGGGGGAGGGACAGCTTGGTGAGGAACGGCATTGTATGTGAATTTGAAGGCTGTGCGTGGTGCCGGACACTCAAGGTGGCAACTGTGCATGGAATGTTTTGTTTCCGCAAAGACAGAGTATCTGTAGATTGGGGGGGAATGGATAAAAGAAGAGGTCCATGTCTTTCATATAAAACAGAAAAAACAAATCATAAAATAATAGGAGAAATGAGCAACATGGTCATGTTGGAATCATGCGGATTCCTCAACACCATCATGACAAATCACGCCGGGCGCCATGTACGACAAATCACACCAGCCCACCAACGCATACGCGCACACGCATGAGATGCGGCCCGCGCAGAGCAGGGACCTCGGGGACTTCAAATGTTTGACAGAAAGACTTGCTGGGACAGGCACATACATGGATCTGCAGCCGCGGCCGCTCCCTCAGGCGTGGCCGCCGCCGAGGGCTTCCCGCGAAGCTTCTGCTTGCCCTTCCTCCAAAAGGACGTGAAGGAGGGCCTGCTCGCGTCGTCGCTCATGGCGTCGGTAATAGGTTCCCTCCCCGGGCGTATATACAAATCTATCAACGGCTCCCTCTGGGTTTGGGCCAGGTAAACATTCGCCGGTGCCTGCGTGATGTGCGTGGACGGCCCGGCAGCCGCGAGACGATGGTCCACCGAGGACTGTACGAAGAGGTCTGTCTGGTTCAGATCAACCGGGCGGCTGGATGTTCATGTGTCGTGGTGGAAACGTGTTGGCGTGAAACTTGACAGTTGGATGCGGAGTATCGGTCGGTGAGCGATCCGTCTTGACCACCTCTCGCTTTCTCTCTTTCCCTCTCTCTTTTTTTTTTTTTTTGCCCACCCCGATTCATGCTCAGCACCAGTTCAAGTCTCTGCAGATCGGATCTTGCCCGCCGACTAGAGCAGCCGGTGGATCCCCATTTGGAAGCTCCATGCAATGTACATACATACGTCTCTTTTTACATCGGCAGATGCAACCCACAAAATACCCAACTTTGATGCACGCTTGATTTGACGCCTGGCTTCTCACTGCACATATACCAAGCATCTTTCTCTAGAGAAAATTCTGCTCATTGCAAGCCACGGTCAACCAAAATTCAACACTTTTATTTTGCGCTACAAGATCCACGCCCTGTGTGTGCTCATATTCTAATGACATCTTCCCAACTCCTCGCTGATGCTAAATAGTGCCATCCCTAAAGCAAGGGGTATCATGTACCCAAGGATGGAAACAAAAAATACAGAGCAAAAATATTCGCACACACCACCATACTCGCTACTCAATAGTGATCACCGTCAGTGTCCGTTGCTGTCTCCTCTACCAACTCCTCGTTGTCGTCCTCCTCTTCCATGCCATCGCTCTCGTCATCATCGTCGTTATCTTGGTTCAGGCCAGGCACCGACTTCCAGTGCACGTAGTCATCCGCCAGCCATCGCTTGCTGATCGGCAGCTGGTATGGATCAAACGGAAAGTATGGGTCGAGTTGATGATAGCTCTCCCCTTGCCCTTCGTATCCGGCATCTCGCAATGCGCCACCCGTAGAGTACGTCGCCGAGAGGAATTGGGTCAACCGGACGCGCTTGTTGCTCTCCACCAACGGATAAATATAAACGAAGTTTAGGCGATGTGCTAGCTTGGCGAACTCGTCCACGATTACAGGCGCGCACACCTTGAGCGGATTGAGTTTGCCAAAGATTTGCACTGACAGATCTTTTCTTGAAGTTCCGATCCATTCCAAATCCTGCCCAATGTAGGATGCCGGATCCTCCGGGTCCACGACTTCGGGGGCAGACACTACCAAATCTTGCCATCTAAAGCAGAAAATGTAGAGCGTAGCTTGAACAAGGGAATAGTATGGGTGAAATCTCTTCAAGTCTGGTCCGCGGCACAACGGCTCGTACTTTCTTCTGTACTGCTCAAGATGATGAAGGAGCAGTGTGAACATGGTTCGCACCAAGCTAGGTGGGACATGCGCTCCGCGAGCCACAAAACTCGCCAGATAGGCTGCGGCGGCTTGCTTCAACACGTTTGGCGTGTTTGATTGAAATGCAGTGGCCATAAGCTGGCCACAGAACGCATCGATGAGACGCTCGTGTCGTTGCGCGAAATGGAATATCAGAAACTGCGTGTGTCTTGATTTATACGTAGGTAATACCATGTGGTCAAACTCGCGAAGAATCGTGGTAAACATGTCGAATGCGTTGTCGGACCCAGGATTTACAAAGTGTGGGCTGTAGACGCTAAAGAGTGTATCCAGAACCGCATCCATCTTCTCTACACTGTCCTTAACAGCCTTAATCCGCACCGCTTCCTTGTCGTAATCAAGATCTTCGCTGTCAATTGACTCGTTGTCGCTGTCGTCAGAATCATCATCCTCCCAGGCCGACGGCTGTCGCTGATTCTCCCGCAGCGCGTACATAACGGCTGCGGTAACGTCATCGTCCAAGTCTTCTAGGTCCACCTGCATCTGGGAATCGATTTTAACGACTCGGTTCAAGATGAGGTCCAGGATCTCATCTTGCAAATCAGGCACGTATTTCTTGACTTGAAGCAGGTTGTGGATATAGGCCATGTGGACTCGGACCGAGTCGTCGGGGAAGGGGAACTTGGAGCTGAGCAAGTTCTCCAGCACTGCCACCGCGGATGGGAACATCTGCAGGATATATTCGATGCCAGAGTGTAGCCGATCACGCATTATGGCCCTGCTCACCTCGGGGAAATCTGGTACGGACCAGGCGGAGGGTCGACTGTCGCGAAATTTTTCCACCATCATTGACAGGACGGGTACGAGGTAAGACCCTTGCGCACTGACAAGGGCAGCCAAGAAGTGCGTAAAAACCTTTGCGAAGGCGGCGTCTCGTCCCAGCCAAGAGCACTGCAATATTGTCCTCACCAAACCGCTGCATTCTTTCCCTTTCAGAATAGGTATGCAGCTCGTCAAAGCCATAACATAAACTTGGAGTTCGTATGGTTTCAAAGTATCGTCGTCTTCTCCTACCACTGGAGGCAGGTACCTTTGTCTGTCCTTGGCAAATAGCTCCTTCAGCATGTCGTACTGGCCACCATTGCCGCGGAGATGGTCCTCCAGGGCGGCCCGTACTTCCAATTTGACGTCGTCCATTGTTCTGCGGCCAACTTCGTACGTTACATTTCGAATGTCGTCAAAAAAAACTTTGCGTCGCTTTGTTGGGCTGTCGGGCGGCGCTACAGATGTAGAATCGGTCTCGTTGTGCACCTCTTTCCTTCTCCCCAATACGGAAGCAGGTTTCAGAATAGACTTGACAGGCGTTGCGGTTCGTGGTGTGTGGCCAGGTAAGGCCCTGGTGTTTGGGGTGAATGGTCGCATCAAGATGGCGATGGCTCGATGCGACACATTCACTAAAAAATCTTGGGCAGAAAGAGCCGAGTTTCTATAGCAACTCTAGCGATGCGCAATCAAGGTATGTTCATGGCACAAGAAGCACGAACTGTGGCGACACATTAAGATACGGGATGCCTATCGTCTGGGGATATCATGGAACGCAATCACTGGCCAGCATCAAGAGATGACCCGACCGTAGTAAATGAAATATTGAAGCGGAGAAGGTGGAAGGCGACGTCAATGATGTTGGAGATGTGGGACAGTTTTTTTTTTCTGCAGAGGGCGGTGGGAAGATTTTCCCAATGAAAAGTGGGCCCTGCACGTGCCTCTCGACTACCATCTGGGTCACCACTCAGAGGTCAGAGGTCGAACCGAAACTGCCATATTTAACATGGTGAATATATCTGGTGCTGGCTATGTATCTATAAACTTGTCATCTTTTTTTCGGCCTTTTCATGTTGGTCCTGTAATTTTTTGCCAGTCGAGTTTGTCTTTAGCTGCATCCTTCTCTGTGTCCGTACGGAGTTATGGTTCGTGCGCACCGTCAAATGTTGACCCACACGGTGGCTTGCCAACGTTGAACTTGCCTTGCGTACTCCGCACCTAAGCCAAATACAACACTGAAGTACTACTCCGTACACTCCGTCATACCACACGCTCTGCAGCGTGTGGATATCAGGCAACGCTTCAATAATGAAAAGCCCGGTTTGGCCCGGCAAACAACCTCTACGGTAAGGATTCAGCTTACCGAATCATTCCTCGGATATCATTCAGGAACGTTTCACCCTATTCTTCAAAATTTGTCACGGGAAACGCATCAAGTTATCCACAATAAGTACTAGTCTAAAACCCTCTCTATCCCAAACTGTCAAGTCCGCGCTAGGCTCTGTCAAGTCTGTCGACCATGTGCACTTAATAATTGTGCTTATTGAAGCTGGCTGAGGCTCTATTACCAGAAGTTCCTTCCCATCAGCAAAAGAAGGCACCAAGGCCAGTTTGAAGCAAAACATCTTTTCCAGCCCACGTTTCGTTACATAGTTGTAACCTCTGCGCTGCTAAGCCCTGATTGATTCCCAAATAAAATTTGACGTATACCATAGGCGCCGCCTATACTTTTACAATTGCTAATCGCCCCCAAGAAGAAGAAGAAAGGAACAAAACTAGGAAATGAAAAAACAAAATACCCCTAGGACGAGCCAGGGGTTGCTGTACGGATATTTTCGTGCCTTGGGAGTTGGCGGCATTCGGCCTAAGAAGGTCCGGGGGTTCTGGTTCTCATAGCGTTCGTTACAGCATTGCCAATCTCAATTGAACAACTTGCGCCAAGGCGGCGTTCTAGTAGCCCTCTCCGGCCGCAGCTCCGTTGTGGCCGGCATGTTGGCCGTACATATAGTTAGGGTCGGCGCCAGCTTCAGCGTTGTTCGAGGCATCACCACCGGTAAACTCTTGCCCTGGCGCATTCCCGTCGCCCTTTTCACCGGGCATCATGGAACCAGCCCAAGTGGTTTCCATGACACGCTCTCGGTTGGACTGATTTTGTTGCTGCCGGCTTGTCAGTACACCAGACTGTTTCAACACCCAGACTTACACAACAGCAGATGGTAGTAGATTACCTCTCGGTACTTGGAAAGATAGACTTTTAAAGCCTCCGCGTAGTTTTCAAACCCCAACGAAGTCATAGCGAACAGAATATCTTCACCATTCACCGTTTTTCTTTTCTCTTGCTGGCATTTTTCGGAAGCTAGTTGACGAATGTTTCAGTATTCGCCTTTTGAGCCAAGTTGTATGGCTAGGCAAACAGATGGATTGACTTCGACTCACCTTCGCTGGTAATGAAGGAGATAAATTCGCTAACACATTCCTGCATACACTCCTTAGCCTCCTTGGCTATCTTCGCGTTGTCAGGAAGAGCATTCTTCATGATTCGGGCGACTGGAGCAAAGTTACGAATATTAGCATCGAGCTCATCATGATATTCTTGCGTAGTAGAACGACTTGTTCCCGGTGAAGTAGGAGCTGGTTCGTGAGACATGAGTGGGCAACTTGTGAGAGACACGCCAGGCGGCTTCGAAGAGACCCTAGGTACACCAGCCAAAGACAACAAATCAAGAGGGAGATTAGAGGGAGATCAACGACTTACCATTGGCTATAGGCAACCATCTGTCTTGCTCTTTAACTTCAAACTCATAACCAGCGGCGCCGCCAGCCGAGTGTGGGTCTTGATTGTCATTCATTTGTCCTTCGTCGTCGGGTGACTGTGCACCTTGCTCGACATCCTTTGGAGGAGATTGGGGGGAGTCCGACATATTTGGCTACCTGCAGCGGCTGCTAGCGTCCGTGTAAAAGGTGTTCGGGCTGGTACAGATGGGGTCTCGAGAGGTATGATGTGTCCCCCTGGCCACGTTGACGAAGGGCAGAAAGCAGTCTAGGAGGTCTGGGCTGCCTGGGGCTGATGGATGTTTGGTTAGCTGCACGAGATGCGTCAGTGGTGACGTTCAACGGACAATTGCGGCTGCATATGGCTTTCACCATGCCTCGCCTGGGGTACAAGGTAACGTAATGGGGCTATGATGAGATGCTTGGGCGTGTACGATATAATTCTTGTAGGTTGGGAGACGATGGCGCACCAAAAGGGAGGCCAAGGCCAAGGAGGGGGGGTGGGCATGCAGGGAAAACGACAGCAGAGGCAGAGCTTCCAAGAACACGGGTGTCGGCAAGGCGAGGCAGCACGACACCAAGACGTATGAGATGGAGCGCCGCGAATCTTCCCGTGCGATCAGCTTGACGACGGGGGCGTACGTGTACGAAGCGGTCGGAAAAGAACGAGGTCTCCCAGGATGACGGGCTGAGAGAGAGGAACAGCTGTTTTTTTTCTCTTTTCTTTTCGTTCCTGACGCCGGGAATGATCGGGGACTGGGTAGGACCAGGTCGCGACGGGCAGGGAGCAGAGAAGAGCACGGGATCGCGGGCGAGGCGGTTTGGGGTTTGGATGCGCTTCGCGCTCGACGACATCGACGCAAAGGTTGCGACGGCGATGCGAGGTTGCACACGGCGCAACCGCAACAGCCACGGCAGGCCGTGCGTCCCAAGAGGCGCAAAGGACGAGACAGAAGCAACGCAATGGAAAAGGGCTGGCATACCGGCTGGGGTCGCGAGACAGGAGCCCAAGCAAAATGGGCTTTCTTCAGACGAGGGAATCGGCGTTGTTCCGTGAAGGTGGCAGCAACTGCATTGGTGGAGCGCAGAGAGGCGTGGGGTTGATTGAAGAGAAAGAAGGCTGACGAGGATGCGAGGCTAGAAAACCCGTCCAGTCCGGTTGCTGTCTGGTCGACCCAACATTGCGTCTGGTGCTGTCAGACCTCTGAGTGGGCTGGGCTGGGCTCAATGAGCTTGTCTTCGTCGGCTTGAGTCTGGTGCTGTAGCCTGTTGGTGCCTGGCGCTCTTCGAGGCGTCTCATAGAGCTCGAGTGCTGGTGATGGCTGCTGGAGACCTGCGTAATAGTGCGCTAGGCCCCTAGTTGGAGGGACTGGGATTGACTTCAATGTGGACTGCAGCTCATTGCTACCAAGCACAGGTACCAGGTAACTAGCGGGGCCAAAACCTCGCCGGTCCAGCTGTGCCCCGCCCCAGCTCTAGACGTGCGACCAGACTTCAATGTTAACTCTTTGCCTACTACTCCATCCTCCATACTCTGTCTCTAGAGTCCTCGTTCAATGCATGGCCGTCTTGCCACTGCTGCCTCCGGCTGGCTCTGGCTCACCTGCAACGAGAGACCCGCCGTTCGCTCGTCTTTGCAACACTGCAACACAGTCGACCGCTGTCATTATCGATAAGACGCAGCACGCTGGCTGGGCACGCTCTAAGCTGTTTCCGGCATCGTCTAAGCAAGTAGTTTCCGTACCTGGAATCACGCTCACATATCGGTACTTCTCCTGCCGCCCCGCCACCATATCCAAGACAAGTACGCAATGCCACTCAACAAGTATCGTCGTCTCCAAGGTTCCAACCTACAAGTAGGAGGGTGCATGCATCTCTCTGCTCGTGAGTACCCAGGTAACTGCGGGCTCGAGCTGCCAGACCTACTTCACTTCCAACGTCAATCAGCGACAACATCTGTGCCGTGATCAAACAGCTCCATAATTACATTCCTCTTCGCCAGCCTGCATCGAGCACAGGGGTCAACGAACTTGCTCCTACTCATGGCGGTGTGCTTCAGGCCATGCGCATGATACCCGAACCTACAAGGGTTGGCTATTGCATCACTCCATGGCAAGTGAAGTCGGCAGGAAGACCGGTCAAGAAGAGAAAACATCTCTTGAATCCCCCCCTGGCTTGATCCATGGAGAGTCTGACACCATGCCGCATCCAACACAGCATCTAGTTACAATAAATGCACATTTTCGCATCACTGCTGACTTCATGCATACCCAGGTAGTTGGACCAGAGTCAAACGTCATGAGGGAACAGATCTTTCTGTCAGACTACCTTTCAGGCTGACCTGCGTTTGCCCCAACCACTACTTCTGCCAATCAGCCGATGCCCAGAGCGTCGGAGCCGTTCAGGAACCGTAGCCTGAATGCAGACCCAAAGGCCCATTCTGCGGCCAAATCGCCAATACACCCAATGGTTGGGCAGCACCTCCAGCCATACCTTCCGACTGGGCCAAAGGCATAAGGCTATATCATGTACAATCTAGGCTTCCTGCCTCGAGCCCCCAAGGCAGAAAGACTGTGCATACAAGCCATCTCCGACAGGACCATCATCATGTTTGAATCTCGTCAAAAATATTACGCCCTTGGCTGCAAATTTTCAGGTTTAGCCAGTCAAATGTTTTTTCCCACACTAGCCAAAATATGATGATGGACTGTATCTGACACGGACGGAAGACATTCATATCGGAACCGTTCCCCTCACACCCATCATGTAAATGCCGACACTCGCATACGGATAACGACACCTCCGACATCTGATCACCACAATTCCATTTACCAAGGCTCTACTGCATATGCGGATAGTCTAGCTGCATGGAACCCAAAATCCTTCATCAGTTCCGTGGTCAATGGCTACGGTGTTCTCGACTTGGAACAACCCCAACATCTCTTGGAAACCGATCTGGACGGTGACGTGATGATGCGGCCGTCTGCTCAACCTTTTCAAGGCATCACCAAGCATTGGCGGCGCTATTCTCTGCAGCTCGAATCGCCTTGGCGCTCTTTACAAGTGTCTTGTTTCAAGAGCGACCACTCACCGAGCTTACGGAACCAACTGCCGCTTCGAGAAGTAGAGAGGGTGGCTGGCAAGGATACGGGGGCCATGGCAAAATCGCCCATGGCCACGCCAAGTCCGAGGAAACTATATTCAAGGTAGCCATGGCTTGCGAGGCTTACTGCATCTTCACCGTGGGCAGCTGCAATCGTGTTCTGAAATGTGTCATACACAGAATGGAAGGACATGTCATGTTTAGGCATGAAGTATGCATATATATTTTTTCTTCTGAAATGCGAAGCTATTATTCCGCGTCTACTATCATCCTCCTTGTACTGGATTGGACATTAGTAAGGGAATCGCATCACAGAAGATAACATATCTGGTTATTATTGCATTTGTTTTCTCAACGTGAGAATCTTTTCCGAATGACGTGGCATTGCCAACAGTACAATCTGGAAATGGTGGTGGGTGGGCTGTCTCCATGGATGCCGGGTATTCACATCTTCGGTCACGGGTTTTGACTCTCAGGATCAAATTACAAGAAGCAGGCAACACAACGAAGGGCATGCACACTGACTATTGATGTTTGGCAGGGATCAAGTTGGAAAAAAGTTTTGCAAAAGTTTTTCCGAAGTTGCTTTCCACCAGTGTTGGTTGGATTGTGCGCCACAGAAGATCTTCAACATGAGCTGAGGGAAAAAAATTTCATAGGCTAGTTGGGCAGCGAAAGGCCAGTGCCGCGCAGGCCAAATTCACGCAACGATGGCAACTCTAACCGGCGGCATCACACCACCACGGGTATGTTTCCTGCAGCTTCCGGTCACGTTTTGAACATGATATGCAGCTAGAATGTGTTCGTTCCAGCAACGCAAGGGTGAGTGTTGGCTCACCCATGATGTGCTAATGAAAGAAAAAGCCGCGGGTAAAGAAAGCCATACTAGCCTGAAGGTGACATGTTCCAGCAGATTGCTTGTTCACGGAGAGATGACCAATGGCCAAAGTCAAGACGTGACAATCTTGCCCCAATCCCCGTACATCATTCAGGTTTCTGCTGTTGAGAAAGACTATCTATTTCCTATGAAGCATGGACCTTCTCTTTGCCTTCTCATTGCTGGACTACTTGCACGTTATTCTTCTTCTGTGACATGTCGTCAGTAAACCGCTTGTACAGGTGTTGGTTGTGGCATATACCTTCCACTTATCCAGCTCATCCTGTTTCGTCTTATATTGCTTCACCAAGTCATCCAAAACCTTCTTCAGTCCTTCTTGATTGGTTTTCAAAGCTGGGACTACATCCTTGACGGTTCTCTCTACGAGAACGCCATTAATGAGTCGGAAGCACTTGCGATCCTCCGATAAAGGCTCCAACGTTTCCAAAACCAATCTGTTTATTTGCAAGCCAAAAATTGTAAGCGGTGTGATGAAAAGTGAAGCGGTGAGATAAAAACCGGGGGAGAAATATCGGTGCTTCGTTTAGGCGCGTGTGAAGACCAGGGGGGGCCAATTGTTCGCGTGAGCGCGACAGCGACAGCGACGAAGCGTAGGAACATTCGACCAGGTATCACTGAAAGGGGACTTACTTATGCTCCTCGGCTTCTTGCTCGATATCTCCAATCTTTTGCGCTATTTGCTGCAGAGTGTTCTTGTAATTTGAGTATGTCGTTTGAAGATCTACTTCAGAATGAGCTGCTAGAAGGCCAACGGAAGGAGGGGCAGAATACCAGACGCTTTCGACATACCTTGTTGCCTCTTTCCCTCCGGCGCCGCGGCCGTTGACGCAGACATGGTGCTAGTAGCTGGCTTATGATCCCAATGTGGCCGTTCCCCTCAGCTCTTTGCCCCCTCGGGGTCCTGTCCGTATTTATCACGTTGATGCGTGAGGCACGAGATGGTGTTGTGGTTTGATGCTGGCAGCTTGACTTTCATCCCACCAGGTGGATGACCTTGGAAGCCCACCTAAATTCTAGGTCTCTGGTTGGCCCGACGGCACTGGCGACCACTCGAAAAGTCGACGTCCCAATCTAATCTCGTCCCGGGAATCGATTCCAAGCAATTCACTCCCCCTTCAGCGTCCTATTCCCAGGCTAAAATGCACCCGCATCTGCATACCAAGAACGCATTAGGTACGCACCCCTCGCAAACGGGGTTCCTCAACAGATATATGAGCTAACAGGTGACCGACCAAGCGTGCGAAGAAATCATCGCCGCCCTCGAAGAATGCCACAACAGAGGCTTCATGCACAAAGCCACCGGCGGGTGCAACGACGTCAAGGACAAAGTGAACCAGTGTCTACGACTCGAGCGGGGAAAGCTACAAGCGGAGAACAGGGCGGCGGCGAGGGAGAAGCGCGACAGGATCAAGGAGGAGCAGAAGGCCTTGGGTCTCTAGATGGCCATGGTTGACGTGGCATGGGCGAGCGAACGGGAAACTTACCACACGATCGATAATCCACCGCAAGGTGATTGTGTACAAAATTGTACATTCATACGGGCGTTAGAGGAAACACGACAAAGAAAGAGGTCCATTGAGTGAGAGGGGCATTTGTACACTACAAAGGATCAACGCGACATGATACTACTCAATTTTCATGATTATTTTCGAGCTGAGAATATTCCTATACTGTTCCATATATGCATCGGGCTACGCTGTTGCTTTTACAACTTTTGTTGGTACGCCCGGCCAAAGGTAAAGAGACCAAAGACTGACAGAACACTAAGCAGCACCGGGACGGGCTTTCGGAGGCGAATTGCGCGGGGAATGGCGGATCCTCCGAGAACAACTGAGGCCAAGAGACTCAACTCGACGCCGTAGGGCTGCTGGTTCTGGATGCGGTAGCCACCAAGTCCGTCTACATGCCATGGTTAGCTTGCGTGAACTACTTGGTGCGAAGCGCAGGCGGCTGCGGCGGGAGCGGGAGACAGCGTACAGAGGACACCGACAGCGGTTCCTGCTATGATTGAGGGCATGGATCTTGTGCGGACGTAGCCCATTATACCGCCGCCGGCAGTGAGCGCGGCAAGGGCGTAGGATGAGGTTTCGAGTTGAGGCTGCGGAGCGTGAGTTGCTGAGCCCAGCTACCACGGTTGATTGCCGGTTTAGCAAAGGGGAAATACATACCATCGTTATTAAAAATTTGGAATAGGCGAATAGTATCTGCAACTTATGTGCACCTTGGACAAACTACGTCTCGCTAGAGGCACGAATATGTTCAATGAACAGAACCAAGTTGCATCCGAACCACTTCGGTGCCTCGGAGGAATTGACGACATCAGCGGGTCGCACCACCCCCAGATCTGGCCCAGCTCCTCCAGCCAATCAGCGCCCCGCTCTCCTTGAAGCTTACCTGTCCAAAGTCTCCAAATCCGACACCTGCCACCATAGTAAACCATCTCTCCCAAAGCCTTCCTCCACGAACTTCTTTCTTCGCCATTGAAGCCGCCTCCCCCCGATCACCATAGTCCACAATGGCTCCCAAGAAGAACACCCGCGACCGTGTCGCCACGCCGTCCTCGGCCGCCGTCCCCGTCCAGGAGGCGCCCGCCGCGCCAGCAGTTTCCTCCCTCCCAGCCAAAACGACTCACAAAGGCGGCCGCGCCAACTGGGATGAGGTCCTGCTCAACATCTACCAGTACTACATGAAGGAGACGCCACAGCGGACGAAGCTTATTGATGTGTTCTTGTTCTTTTTGATTGCCGTCGGCGGGCTGCAGTTTGTGTACTGCGTCCTCGCGGGCAACTATGTGCGTTTCTTTATAGCCTTGGACAGAGACCGATACGGGACGTATGTGCTGACGCCTGAGGGTAGCCGTTTAATGCTTTTCTGTCGGGCTTCTGTGCTTCGGTTGGTCAGTTTGTTTTGACGGGTATGTTTTCTTGCCTTGTACCACCCGTGGTGGTTGAGGGATGCTGACGATGGGGTAGTGTCACTGCGAATACAGACGACTACGGCGAATAAGAGCGATTTCCCGTCTGTTTCTCCCGAGAGGTATGTGTGGTTTGCGAGCAACTTGTGATGTGACTGATTGGGGTTGCTGACGGGTTGGGTTTACAGGGCATTTGCCGATTTCGTTGTTTGCAGCCTCATCCTGCACTTCTTCTGTGTCAACTTTATCAACTGAGGGCGTTAAACAAGAATAGAGTACGGAAGATGCGCAGTCGCATGGTGTATGATATGCATAGTCTGTTTTTTTTCTTCATATGGGAGCAAGACAAGATTCAGGGCGGGAATAGAGATCAAGTGAACAGAAACTCAAAAAAGCCAACGTCAATTAGGGAATCATTTATCGCATTTACTTCGTGACTATCTATTCAGCTGCTTCTTGTACAGGAGTTGCAGCTTTTGGAGGCCCCCCTGCCTTGGGTGGCGGTGGTGCCGGTGATCCTTTACCAGACGGAGCATTGTCCAGCTCTCGACTCTTCTTTTCTTGCTCCTTGAAGTAATCATCCATGAAGTTGTTGTTGGCGGGATGATGTCTGTCCTTTTTCTTGGCCGCCGAACGCGGTGGTGCACTCATGGGATCAGACCCAACCATTTGCGCGGGCACCAGATATTCACCACCAGTTGAGGCTGCGGCAGCAGGTGGTGGTACGGAGCCTGCGCCTGCAGAAACGAACCCAGCCTCGCCGCCCTTCTCATTGACGGCACCGTCAAACATGGTCTCCCCCGGCGCGCTCACGGGCTCGCTCAACGGCGCAGGCAGACGGTGCAACGCGCCGTAGCCCAGCACACAACCTAAGGCGCCCTCGCCGCCCCAGCCTCGACTAGGATGTATTGTGACCTCTCTCGTGACGTTGTATTCGTTATTGTACACGAAAAGTCGCAGCGGCCGGCCAATATGATCCTCCACAAGCTCGCCCAAGGCACTCTCGCCATGTAACGGTCCTTCAGGGCTGCCCAGTATGTAGTCGCTGTACGGGAGGAGGCCGCCCTGGTCGGCGGGCGACTTGGCCGCAACGTCTAGTACGTGCCAGATGTTGGCGGCTAAAGCAATTGGTGAATATTGGAGGGTAAGGCCGAGGGATGCAGTATCGGGGGGCACCTGAATGTGCATTTCTCGCGTCCGTTGCCCCTAGAGTCTCTGGGTTAGTTCTGACGGCGCTATCCTTCAGCGAATATGATGGTAGACCGGTATACCTTTGCATTCCATAGACCGAGGGAGACGGTGCCACCGGCGCAATTTTGGATTTCTTGTGCGAAGAGCGCTGGGTTAGGGTCTTCCTACAATATCAACGGGAAAGCGTCAGCTATGCGGCTTGATATTCACGTTTCGGAACGGGTTTTTATCGCACAATTGGCCGTCCGTTGATCCCGACGATAAAGTCAAACCATGGTTCGATTGCCAGCTGTAGGTTTGTGTTTCTCAGGACCTGGAAACCAAAGGATCCCTGCTCATTGCGTCGCTGGGGCACGTCGCCGTCCAGACGGGACATGAACCGATTCAGGGCGTTGAACATTATTGCTGTGTCGTGAACAGCCTCATTCAATATTCGTGGAGTGGTTTATTGGCTGGCAAGTTCGAATTTGAGGGTTTTTGGGAGGCTGGGTGTGATCTCGGGGCGAGTGACTTTGGTCAGATGTCCAGGTGTCGTCTGAAGCTATCGCAAGCTGTCCCATTGCAGCCTTGCAGGCGGGAGGTCAGCGCCACAGTTGCTAGCACGGGGCGCTGGTGGTGTAGGTGGGCGGTCCACTTTTCTTTTTCCTTCCGTCGACAGCGTCTGACTTTCAACACGCACTCTCACTACTATATTTTCAGCCGACATTTTGAGAAGAAGAGACACAACAAAAATTGATCTCTGTATAGTTTGTGCGCAGACAAGCTTTCATACAAGCAAGTCGATATGGCCTCCGCCAAGGTCCCTGAAATTGCAACAAGCTATGTCTTAGAGCCAGCTGACAAGTTTCCCCTTACTGACGAATGCAAACACTACGAGGGCAGGCATCAGGTACCATGGGATATTCAAAAGTGCGAGGCGCTCATCACACCATCAGCAACGACGTTTACATACTAAAGCTTTGCTACAGATACTTTTCACAGAGATATTCCATATTTTCCTGGTACGACGAAGGCGTATACCTCACAGACGACGCCTGGTTTGGTGTCACTCCAGAACCAATAGCAAAGTATGTACCCATATCACGACTTCTTGCCTTGATAGTTGCATCCTAATGGCCGCAAGTCAAATCGCTAGTGAATTGTCGGCTACAGACGCCTCAAAAGACACCCTCATAGATGCTTTTGCTGGCGCCGGAGGCAATACTATCGCCTTCGCGCTCACCAACCGCTGGAAGCGAATCATCGCTGTCGAACGTGACGCCTCAACCTTGGCATGCGCCCAGAACAACGCAGAGCTCTACGAGGTAGACCCTTCAATAATCACCTGGGTTCATGCAGATAGTTTTGAGTACCTGGAACTTTTACACAATCGGCCTGAGGAACTTCATCCAGGCCTGAGGGTCGATGTGAGCAAGACGGTGCTGTTTTCAAGCCCGCCATGGGGAGGCCCAGGATACAGGACAGACGAGGTGTTTGACCTGAGCAACATGCAACCTTACAACTTGGATAAGTTGCATTCGTCATATAGGAGCATGGATCACGTATTGTATCTGCCGCGGACGAGTGACATTCGGCAGATTGCAAAGCTGGCACCAGAGGACAGGAGGGTGGATGCTGTGCAGTATTGCATGGAGGGCGCCAGCAAGGCTTTGGTGGCGTACATTCCGAGATGTGAGGCCCAAGGATGATAATATACGGTATAGTGTGGGAGCGTCACATGAGAATTACAAGAAAAGCCACCGGCATGCTCCTCAGGAGGTCAAGACACGAGTCGCAGTCACTCCTGGAGCGCTTTCTCACAAGCCTGCACCTTGGCTGCATCACATGAATATGTCATCCACTATTATGCTTCACATAGTATATAAGCTGCAATGCAAGGAACTCTCTATTAGCCTTGCAGAGCATGATTGGTAAGTGCATCCAGTGTGGACCTACTATTCCAAGCGGCTCAAACCTCATTTGGAACCATCATTGACGTGTCAGGGAGTAGTGCTACCAGGACCTTTCGATGACCATTCGTTCAGATATAGTGACAAATACGTGGAAGATTCGTATTTCCCTGCCAAATGCACTCGTTCTGGAAAGTGACAAATATACCGACCCTCTTATTTAGGGCGCCAGGATCAACTCCCTGTCCCAACCACATCCCGCAGTTCAGTCTTTGGTTTCACAAGAGGCTGAATAGTGCCCCGAACTTTGGTTTTTTGCTCAAACGCATACGCAATCTCAATCAACTTCTCCTCGCTGAACAGATCTCCAGCAAAGGCTATACCAAATGGCAAATTTGGCCCATCGCCGATGAGATTTCCAAATCCATTTTTGCTCTCAGGCCAGTCGTCAGGCCGTTTGCCTAGTGGCACGGTAATGATGGGGCTGCCGACAATGGCCGGAAGGGAGTTGAGCATTTCGCTAGGAAGAACAATGGCATCCAGCGAATTGTTCTTCAGAGCACCAAGGATTCCTTGTGGTCCAGCAAACTCCAACTGCTCCGTGTACATACTCCAGAATTCGGGGGATGTGTTATCGAATCCTCTGTCAATGGCATCTTGCCAGAGTTGGGTATCCCTAACGGGCCATTCTTCCTTGGGAAACTTTTGTGTGAAACTTTGCAGCTGCTTCAAAGTGGTGATATTGTAAGGATTGGTCTTGAGATGGTTGAAGTAGTGTGAAGCAACATCTGTGAGCATATCAGCGCCCAGGATAGGCTCAATGAACTTTCCAATCTTTTCACTGCCGGGGATTTCGAAGTCGTCAACAATGGTTGCATTTCCGGACCTAAGAACTTCCAGCGCTTTTTCGAATGCCTGCAAGAGAGGGGACGTATCTTGTGACGGCGTCAACAAACCGCGAGGTACGCCAATCCTCTTGCCGCTCAAGCCGTCATCCTTACAAGCTGCGACATAGTCAGGCAGCCTTTCTTTGAAAGGGATAGCCGATGTGTAGTTGTCATTCTTGTCTGCGCCAGCAATGGCGGAAAGGAGGTACGCGGCGTCCTTGACTGTCCTGGCCATGGGCCCAACAGTGTCTTGATGCGAGGAGATGGGAACAACCAGGTACCTAGAGGTAAGGCCGACAGAAGGCTTGATGCCCACAATGTTATTAACATAGGAAGGTGAAATAATGGAACCATCTGTCTCGGTTCCCAGCGCCGCCCAGGCCAACCCAATGGACGACGAAACACCACTTCCAGACGAGGACCCCGAGGGATCCTGGTCGCGAAGATAAGCACCCTTTGTCTGGCCTCCATAGGCAGACCACCCACTACTTGTGTTTGAGCTTCGCCAGTTGGCCCACTGCGACAAGTTTGCTTTGCCGAGAATAATGACACCCGCCTTTCGGAGCTTGGCGGCTATCGTGCTATCTTCCTTTGGCTGGGCACCAACAAGAGCAAACGACCCGGCCGTGTTGTTCATCTTATCCAGGGTAGCGATGTTGTCCTTGATAAGAACGGGGATGCCGTAAAGAGGTCCGCGGCTGCAAGCCGTCTTGTTCTTGCGCGCCGCGTCCATGCGGGCGGCGATGGACAATGCATCAGGGTTGATCTCGTTGACGGCGTGCAATTCATCGGCGACCTCTTGGATTCTGGCTATGTAGGCCTTTGTAAGGTCAACACTGGTGAAGAGGCCCGCGTCCAAACCATGGCGAAGCTCATCTAGAGTTGCGTCGAGAAGGGACGGGAAGTCATCCCGTCTGACGGTAGCCGAGACAACCCCCAGGGCGGGAAGCAATGAGCACACGCCCAAGCCTAGCTTGAAAACAGTCGAGAAGATCATTTTTGGAGGGGCTGCAGTGCCTGATTGTTGCGCACTCTGACATTCAAAGGCGTCTGGGGCGGGACGCTGCTCGACTTATATGCTTTGGGAAGGTGTCTACAAAGTGCATCCAGGTTCAACTCAGACTAACAGAAGTTCCCAATGATAACGGACGTCTCTCCGAATTCGCCGCGAGCCGCGCCGCTACGGTTATTAGACAGGCGAACCTTGCCGTTCAATGGGCTGCAGAGCCCGAGCGCAGCATCCAAACCTAAAGAAGAAGGGGTCCTGTAACTTGGCTCCAGAATGTAGTTACACCACCCACTGTTGTACATGGCCCATGTAAGCTACATACGTTTGTCAATGCACGGCTTGTCATCTGTTGATTCATGGCGATGTATCACATGGCTCGATCTTGGCTCGATCTTGGCTCGATAGTAGTGGCGTGGCTTTGCTGTTCACCCCTCCACTCGTCCAGCTTCGTAATCTGCTCAGCCAAGGCGGTGCGTTTATCCAAAACATACAAAATTTGGTTCCGTCGTCTTGTCCACAGGGACGTGTCTCAGCTCATTCTACATCGCCTCGCTTTCTCATAGCTATGTTGCTTCCAGATTCTCGTCATCAGCCTTATTTTGCACAGCATTCAGCGCCTCAGGGGTCCCAGGATCGGTATTCATACGTAACCAGGCCGGACCATTTTTCCTGATGCGTACCGACCGTATGCGGCCCACGGGTTGACAACCATGGTCTTGCCGGCCATTTCACGGTTGTAGCTCCCGTGGTCGTCAACATCTCATGTGTGTTTCGGTTTGCGTCACAGAGAGGAAGCGCCATTCTGCGTCGTTGGCCACCGACTCTAAAACGACAAGGATGCCGGCTCTCGCTGGGAAAAGCGTGTCAGAGGATTGCGGGCTGTCTGTGAGAGTCTCCGTGAGGGCTGGGGTGAGATGTTTCTAGAAGGGAAGGTGGACTGGAAGCTAAACCTGGGGTATTCCATCTTGGTGGTGGTAAGTCGTGACGGTCATACCGGCGAAGACTGTGCATTTCGGAATAGACGGGCAGAGAGGGCTTCTTCAAACGGCGACGATCTAATCTGTTCAATTTCTTAACGATGCGACTTGGTTTTTTGAGAGGCTTTGAGGTGTTTTCCGATTGGGTGAAGCACGGGTTCAAGGTATTCCATGTCCGTCGTCAAGACTGGCGATAGGCTGCATGTGGCCCCCACCTTGATGTTCAGTGTGCGACCAGGAGAGATAATGCAATGCAACCAACTCCTAGGTACTGAGGTAGTGCCTAGTAGATAGCCGACTGGGCGCGGAATTTCAAAAGACAAATCGTGCCCATTACGGCAAGCACATCCAAACAATCCTTGGTAAAGTATACACTTGAGATGCCGAAAATGGTGAAATTATGAAATGATGGCTTGGTAGGGCGATGGTGTGGTTTACCTGTCAATAGGTACCACCACAAGTACTGCTCGACGTACTCCGTACCAGACCGCAGACCACAATCCACATCAACGTTGACCAATGCAATGCAGCGGATTCAAAAGTTGACTGTTTGTTGCTCACCACCACCATCCAGTGATGCCCGAGGCGACGGCTTGGTTGCTTTATCGCCCGCCCACTTGATTTGATTTGAAGCACGGCATAATTCCCCATCATGGCCAAGGATAAAAAGAAGAATTCGGACGCCAAAAAAGCCAAAAAGGTACCCGTTCCCGTGTCTTTGCTCGTCCTGGCCCCCCTCCATGCCCCTCATCAAGGATCATGAGAGATTCACAAAAAAGTTTTTTTCCCCTTCTTCCCATGCCTTTTTACTGACCACCCACATACATGCGTAGGCTGAAAAGGCAGCCAAACAAGCCAGCAAAGGGGAGAAAAAGGCCAAGACCAAAGCTGCCAAGATTGAGGGCAGTGACGCCGAAGATGTCGATCTTGATGCCGTCCTTGAAGAGTACCGTCGCCAGCAGGAGCAATTCCTCAAGATCACAGAAACCGTGTGTCATGGCCCACCTCGACCAAGGGCCGCTTCCACACTGATGGCCTCGCCCACGGATGCAAACAACCTCCTCTTGTTTGGCGGTGAATACTTCAACGGCTCTCTGGCACAGTTCTACAATGACCTGCACATCTACAACATCCATCGGGATGAGTGGCGCTGCGTCACCTCACCGAATGCCCCGTTGCCTCGCTCGGGACATGCATGGACTCGTGCCTCGAATCCCAACCACGTCTACCTCTTTGGCGGCGAGTTCTCGTCGCCCAAGCAGGGCACTTTCCACCATTACTCTGACTTTTGGAGGCTGGAGCCCGCCACCAGGGAATGGACCAAGATCGAGGTCAAGGGCAAGGATAAGAGTCCACCGGCACGGAGCGGTCATCGCATGACGTACTGGAAGCAGTACATCATTTTGTTTGGCGGCTTCCAGGACACGTCCAACCAGACCAGGTATTTGGCAGATTTGTGGATTTTCGACACGGTCAACTTTGTGTGGCACTGTCCCGCGCTGCCTCAGGCACAGCTCAAGCCGGATGCTCGATCTTCGTTTTCTCTGCTGCCGTGCGATTCGGGCGCCGTGCTCTACGGAGGCTACTCGCGTGTAAAGGCGACGGTGAATCTGAAGAAGAAGGCGGGGAAATCGCAAAGCCAGGGACAGAAGAATGTCTTGATTCCCAAAGTCCACGACGACTGCTTCTTCCTGAGAATGGCGCTACCTCCCGCTGATGCCAACTCCAACACGCTTCCAACAATGCGGTGGGAACGGAGAAAGAAGCCGGCCAACCCTCCCAACCCGTCTCGCGCGGGAGCCACCATGACTTTCCACAAGGGACGAGGCATCCTATTCGGCGGCGTACACGACGTTGAAGCTAGTGAAGAGGGCATGGATAGCGAATTCTTCAACCAGCTTTTTGCCTGGAATATTGAACGCAATAGGTTCATGCCTCTGGGTTTCCGCAAACCCCGTCAGCAAAAGAGAGCTGCTCCCGAACAGCCGCGTGTAGGCCGTCGTGGCCGCGCGCAGGCCAATGAAGAGGAGCTGCTGAAGCAGTTGGCTGCCCTCGAAACGGGTGCTTCTCTGGATGACGTTGACGGAATCGAGATTGATAAGAAGGAAGAGGAGCCGGAGGAGGACGAGAAGCCAGCCAGAGAGATGCCGGTGACAATGGAGCCGCCCCATGTTCGGTTCAATGCGCAGATGGCTGTGCAGGATGACGTTCTCTATATATACGGCGGGACATTCGAAAAGGGCGATCGCGAATTCACGTTTGATGATTTATATGCCATTGATTTGAGCAAACTGGATGGATGCAAAGAGGTTTTCAGCCGCCCGGTAGAGGATTGGATCGTGAGTCGTCACCGTGCAGTATTGTCTGTTAATGTATTTGCTGACCCTGGGCAGGAATCCGAGGATGAGGAGGACGACGACGACGACGAGGATGACGAAGAAGACGAGGAGGACGAGGACGAGGACGAGGATGATGAGCCTGAACAACTGCATACGCTCAGTAAGCGCAAAAAGCAAGATGTCGTGTCGGATACTGCCTCGGAAACAACATCTGCTCCGCCCGAAGAAGACGATACGGAAACAACGGCAACATCCGTGGACGATGGTCTGCCTCACCCTAGAGTAAGCTCCGCATCCATTTTATTCTTGTTTCCCCCCGCCGATCCGGATCCAGACGCAATGATGCTAACAAGGCATGGCAGCCATTTGAGTCTCGTCGCGAGTTCTTTGTACGCACAACCGCCGAGTGGCAGGAAATCCTCATGACCAGTCTCCGCTGGAAGAATATTCAGCCCGAGACGCTGACCATCAAGGAGATCAAGGCCAAGGCGTTTGAGCTCAGCGAGGAGAAGTGGTGGGACTGCAGGGAGGAGATTACCGCCCTGGAGGAGGAGCAGGAGGCTGCGGGCATCCAGGAGGTTGTCAGCTTGGCGGAAAGGGGGGATACCGGCGGTGCTGGTGGTGCCAGGAGGAGATGACATGGATCGTGTGGTTGTGACTCAAGCAACTCTGCGAGAAGAGCTCGCGTTTCATTCGGAACCGCCGCAGTGTCCAATACCATATACATGTCCGTCAATGAGAATATGCGTATCCAGGTGTGAATGCGTCTTTGATTACGTGTTTCCGGAGCAGGTTGTTACAAGTGCGGCACAGAATCAGGCTGGTTGTCCTTCCAACTGCGTGTAACCAAAGTCTCGTACGTATCCCAAGCCAAGCATTCGCTTTGATGCACAGAAGTATACAACAATAGTATTTCATTCTCCCTCCAACATGACCACTAGGCTGCTTCATTCTCCCAACACCCGTCAATGCACGCAAGCCAACTCCCTAACACGACCAACCAACACGCATCCACAAGGTCATACTTCCAATCGTATAAAACACCAGCAGCCTCCCGTACTCCCCGAAAAAAGCCCCTCAACCACCCGCAACACCGTCAACTCCCTCGCCAGCAAACCCAAATCAGCCCAAATCCTCCTCCACCACCCGCTCCGCCGACCACGCCGCCCTCTTCCCCCTCGTCCACAACCACACCGCCGCCAACCTCGTCACGAGTCACGAAGCCTGCGTCCCCATCGGCGGATACTCCTTGCCGTCCCTCTCGACCCTCGGCTCACACGTGCACCTCTCGTCGGCGGGGACGCCATCCATCACGGCGGGCACATGGTTCCCGCACCCCCACCAGGTGGTTTTTTCTATAAAAAAAAAAAAAAGAGTCCGTCAACATGATGAAAACAAGACCCAGTAGCGGCGACACTTACTGCATGTATCGCAGGTAGCTTTTCGGCACATGTTGTATCTGAATATCAATGTAGTAGGAAATTTTGTTGGCTGCACGTGGTGCGATGGCGAGGACAGGAAATACACAATGTCGGGGAGGGGTCTGGATTTTATACACGGGCGGCCGTCGGGACAGCCGGCTCGGCTGGTTTTTCCCCCCTTCGGCGATGTGGCTTCACGGGGGGCCGGGGAGGTCGCCGATTCCTACTTAGAAGTACAAGGCTAGTGGGCCGCTCTTTTCGCCGATTCCGGGGGCGGAGGCGGCCCCTGGCGTGTAAGAGGGCCGACGGCCGTACAAGCTCCCCGTGCCAGATAAGTTGCCGCGAATTAACACGTTCCCAAAGGTTCAGTTATGTACCTACAGCCTGTGGATTCGGGGAACTACCACCAGCCCCGCGAGCCTGCGAAATCCAGCCCCTGCCAGAAACACAAGTCCAACACATGGTCACCGAACGAAAGCGTCACTGAAATCCGACGCATCCCGTTCAAGCACGTGCCCAAGCGGCATAATCAAATCAAAATAAAAAAAGTCCTGCTAGTGAAATGCTTCCCGCCGCCCTGCCATGCAAAGTCCCAGCGCCCTGAAGAATAAAGAAAAATGCACCAAGCCGCAACTTCAACTTCAACTTCTCCACGTTTCCCAAATAAACCATTTTCAACGCTCAGGACTCGTCCGACGCACCTTGACCAGCCGCCGCATCCCGCAGCGCCCTCTCCCTAGCAGCCGTCTCGCTCTCCGCCAGCGCCCTGATCAAATTCACCGCCAGCTCGCGGCCCCTCGCGACAAACTCGCCCGACGCGTCCGACGGGACGTGCAAGAAGACAACCTTGCGCGGGCGCCGCGCCTTCCACAGGTGCGCCAGGGACGAGTAATAGATGAAGTCGCACAGATAGCGCCCGGGGTCCTCAGACACGCGCAGGTCCATGTCCTTCTGCCAACCGTCAATCAGTCCCCGCGACACAAAGCACCAGATGCAAAAACGTACCGAGCTATGCCCCCGCCACCGCCTGTAGACGTCGTCCACGTCCACGTCCGTCAGTATCTCGTCCGGCAGGCCGTGCCAGATCCAGGCGTCGTCGTCGGGCCGCCCCTCGGCCCCCTCGGCCGGCAGCTCGTTGTCCACGTCGGGAGAGCGGTACCCGCGCCGGTGCGCCCGGCGCTCGAGCTGGTAGAAGGGCCGCGGGCCCGCCATGCCAATGTGCACGGCTATGTCGACGGGGCGGCCGTCGTGCGCCGCGTCCCAGAAGGAGGGCACCAGGGCCCGCACCACGCTGTAGTTGACGCGGATGGGCTCCGGGTGGACGATGATGCGGACGGGCGGCGTGTCGGGGGCGTCGCGGGAGCCGGCGTCCTTGGCCCGGAGCGGCGGGAGGTGCGACGGGAGGTCTTTGGCGATTTCCCACGACGGGTTGACGGGGTATTGCTCCCGGAAGGGCTGTTCGTCAGTCAGTCAGTCAGTCAGTCAGTTCCCGGCGTGTTTGCTGGGTTTGGGATCCGCCACCAGAACTGGCAAGGGGGAGTGACGTACGCCGAATCCGGTGACGAGCACCGTCAGTTCCTTCTGGTCTTTGCTTTGGGAGCCCATCGTCGCCGGGTTGGGGTCAGGCGGTATTGTAGCTTTTTCTGGCGTGCGAGGCGTGTTGTGCCTGGCGAGGAGGCAGGTCGGACAGGACAACCGTTTGCTCGGGGCCCCCCCGGTGTGAGAGCTGCTGGGTGGTGATGGCGCCCGAGACAACCCAGGATCCAGGATCTGATGATTCTGGGTTGAGGCTATTCTCTTGGACAAGCAGGTCGAGTTGGCGCATCAACGTGGGGTAGGTAGCGTTGGGCTCGACTAGGAGCCCGCTGAGGGGTCAACGGTTCATCGCCGTCACCGAGGCGCATCGCCGAGGAGCGTGACATCTGGGGTGGGGTCCGATGCGCCCCCAAGACATGGCACGACTTCAAGACGCACTCTTCTCTTGCGCTCACCACCATGGCTATTCATCATGTCTGATTCTACGAGTCCCATGGAAAACGGCCAGCTCTCGTAAATCATCATGAGCTCGGTCAACATGCCACACTCCCTGTTTTCAAGTACCCACTCAAGTACTCCGTAGTATATTCACGCCCGCGTCTAATACAGGGTAGCCCAGAAGCAAGCCGCGCCTAACCCCGAGCGGAAGTCCCGCGCACCGCACAGCCTCGCCAGCGGACCTTCCGAGTGGAGACTCCCGGCCATGGGCGGACTTTTCCCACACAGGGTCCGAGACGGTGAAGTCGAGCCTCGGCGACTCGCTCTGACCTCCGCCGTGACATTTAAGGAAAGCGCTGGACCGTGAGACGGACAAAGATTGACCTTGTATATACAGTCACAGCACTTACTCGGAGCTTCATCCGCATCTCCCTAGACTAGACATTCAGTCTAATTGCCGCCACAGCAAGCATCAACAGCATCAGCAATGGGCTCCCAACACAACTACACCCAACCGCCTCAGCAGGCTTCCTTCGACGGGTTCCTCTTCGACATGGACGGCACCCTGATCGACTCAACGGAAGCCATTGTAAAGCAATGGAGCAAGTAAGCTCCCCCCCCTAATTGACGTCCCCTATTCACTCGCCCGTACTCGGAGAGACGGAGGCAAGTCGGAAGCGGTGAGACTAACCTTGCATAGAATCGGCACGGAACTCGGGCTCAACCCAGAAGAGATTCTGAAGACGTCCCATGGGCGGAGGAGCATTGATGTATTCAAGATCGTCGCCCCGCATAAAGCCACCTGGGATTGTACGCGGTTTTCCCCGTTTCACCTCTCATCATGCCTTGGCGGCGCATCAAGCAAAAACTGACACTCGGCAGACGTGAGGGGGGTAGAAGCACAGCTGCCCCTTCTATACGGTGACCTCGCCTCCGAAATCCCAGGCGCGAGAAGCCTCCTGGACGCGCTCATCGCCCAGTCTGCACCATGGGCTGTCGTCACCTCCGGCACGGAACCCCTCGTATCGGGCTGGCTGAAGCGTCTCAAGCTTGCCATTCCAGAGCATCTCGTCACCGCCGAGTCTGTGCAGAACGGCAAGCCAGACCCCGCGTGCTACCGTCTAGGCCTGGAGAAGCTGGGCCTCCAAGACCGGCCCAGGCAAGTCCTCGTCTTGGAGGATGCCCCCGCGGGCATCAAGGCTGGCAAGGCGGCAGGATGCAAAGTCATTGGGTTAGTGACGAGCCATACCGTCGAGCAGGTTGTTGCCGCGGAGCCGGACTGGGTGGTTCAGGACCTGGAGTCGGTCCGGGTTGTCGGACGGGAAGGAGGAAAAGTGACGATTGAGATTTCGAACGCGTTGGTGCAATGAAACGGGTATAGACTTGATAGAGAGCGAACTTACTGGTAGTATGGACCTATGACTACTAGCAGCGTGTGTGTATTTGGGGGACCTACCGACAGAAATGGGGCTTTGATCAAGGCATCCACCTCGAGGGAGGCGAGGGAGTGGTAATTATTGACCCGGATACGGGGACGATTAAGCTTCAACTAGCCAGGAACGCGGCATTCCGTAGCATTTGCATAGAACAATCCCTTTGTCGCGGCGCCAGGTGACGTCCGCGCCGACACGAGCGACGCGCCAGACCGGTCATGGATCAAAAGTCCACAAAAGGTCTCAGAACCGCGAACCGTTCGCCGAAAATCCACCCGGCACAAGCCATCCTCCTTGCTTCTGAATCAGATCGGTTCGCTTCGGATGCAGATAACCGCGGTGCAGTCTCACAATGCCGTCGTGCAATCGTCCAAGACCAGCCGCTACCGACGAGACGTCATCTTAAATGTTCATCCCTTCCTTGACTTTCACGTCACATCGCGTAAGCGTCCGAGAGGACTCCTCTTTCGCCCTCGCCTCGCGTTAATTTCCAGGGTTAAAAGAGAAAAAAAAGCTTCTTTATGGTCACTGGAATTTGGTGTCACACATTGCAATTATTGTGTCTGAGCCTTATTCGACGTTGTCGATGCGGATTTGCTTTTTCCAGCGATTTCTGTCTCGCGCCATCGAAATCTCGCTTCGCTTCTGAACCAGTTTTCGACAAGGACAGCTGGAGATCGGGTTGACTCAGGGCGCCCTCAACTTGATGGCCTGATCGCGGTGGTCGTGTGCTCTACAACAGTTGCCATGTTGCCAAATCCCCCTGGCCTACGTCTAATATCAGACCTGGTCTGTTGTTCCGCCCTTGGTTGCCGAGTCGGTAGTTCTTGACTGCCCTTCGACTGCCCTTCGACTGCCCTTCGACTGCCCTCGACTGCCCTCGCGGTCCCATATACATATGTACTCCGTACATACATACGCGCTCGGCGTCTCCTCCTGGTGCCAGCCCATGCAGGCGGCAAGAGACAAATGCTACCAGGGATCCTTGGAGCGCAATCACCTGGCCCTATTGTAGATACTACTACAACTTCGCCGGTTGCGCTCCCTTTGTTTTCAACGAGGGGGGGAGGTCTGATGATCTCGCCAGTGGCCAACTATAGCATGGTATTTGGGCTCATTGTGACAGTGTGCCCTACCAGCCGCATTCGGAGCACTTTGCAGTAAACCAAGAGCTACTGTACGACCCCATTTTCTGTCAGAAACACGATGGATTCTGGCCTTGGGGCCTTCACATCGGAGCAGCTCGGCGCTCACAGAAAGGACGCCACAGCCCGCGGAGCCTTGTGCTGGCCTGCGAAAGCAGCCCGACTGGCAGCCAACGTAGCTCACCGGCAAGAAACAGAATGTCTGCATTGCATTGTGCTGTACTTTGTAGGACGTTGCTCCATGGCTGCGCACCTGCAGGAACGCCTGTTTGCGGAAAAGGGCCAAAACCTTTGCTGGTCACACAGCACAGTTTCCTGGTATCACAACTGTACAGTCAGAAGAGAGTTGTCTTGACTGCTGTGGTCAAAAGCTGAGCCGGCCCCGAGTCACTCGGTGACATGGCCTATCTAGTCCTCCGTGATGGGTATGAGGAAGGACATGTGGTGCTTTCAAATCCAATTCCGCGACTTTATTCCCAATGGCATCCCGAATCGCGGAGGAGCTGCCACAGTACATACATTGCAAGAGTTCAAGTGTAGCAGACAGCATGGCCCCCCCATGAGAATCCTTGAGCCCCCAAGTTTGCGACTTGCGTACTCGGTACTCGGTACTCCGTACACGACCTGGAAACGCACAACGAGGATTAGATTATCAGAAAGTACTCTGTAAGATGATACGGCTTATGCCCAGGTCTCCACTGGCCGCCACAATGACGCTACTTCAATGCCGAGAGCTTTGATGCTGGGGGGATACAACCACGCCCAGCCTTCTAAAGGTTTCTTCTGTGAGGCGAACCAGATTGCGCTGACCTGCTGAACCTGCACGTCGCCATTTTCGGACAAACATGCCCTTTGGCTATGGGTGCAACGACGTCCCGCCTCTTGGTCCGTGGTATCCATCCCCCCTTTTGTTCCTTTTTTGGTCTTTGCACAACTACTACGGAGTAGTAGTAGTCGACTCGGCGCGATTGTGTTCGACTGCCGGGGACAATGGCATGTACGTAGTCATGACGCAGGTGCGTGGTTGAATGATGGCGAGATGAATCATGCTTGCATCCACGACAATCCACTTCAGCACCGAGTCTTGTCACCAGCATCGCGAGCTGATCCAATGATGCTTGCTGGGGGGATCGTGAACGAAGGCCAAGTTGGACGCTGTGTTGGAACTGCGTGAGCTAATGTAGCCGATTTTTGTCGGGTGTGGCCTCGTGTCGGCTCCATTGCACACAACGCGTTCCCCTGTCTTCGGCTCCCCTCGTTCGGCGGCTGTACATGTACATACACATGTACATGCATGCAGAGATGTACACGCTCGCAACTCCCCTGCCAGTTTCCACCTGAAGAAACATGACAAGTGACGAGCTTGGAGAGTCTCCAAGTGTTGGTTGGCCAGGTCCAAGTCCCGAGCCCGCAACGCTTCATTGGCCCCGGCGGAGTCCTTCAGGCACCTGCCGTGTTGAGCATCGCGGCATCATGATTTCTCACGATACGTTTAATGAGTATGTCTTGGGTATAATTATATCCTCTTCATGGGTTGTTCGCCAGGACAAGCGAGACATCAGCGTTGACAAATGCCGTGGTGCAGGCAATTCAGCCTCATCTCAGCCTTCGGGGCTGGCAGATGAGCGGGGGTATACAAGGCCGTCCTATTGTTGCGGAAGGATGTGTCGGTATGAGTGGGCTGATGTTGTCAAAGAAGCCAGCTTCCAAAGACGGGCAGGCAGTGTGCGCTTCTGGCAGGCGGGTTGGCGTGATCATCGAGGCGTCGAGACATCGAGACATCCGGAGACACATGGAGCTCTCCACAAGCAACTGTTAGCTGTTCCATCACACACGTGGCTGCCGGGGCCTCGCAACCCCCCAAGATGCCCGTCCCTGGTCCTCTTTGCCAAGGCTGAGTTGATGTGTGCGACCGTGCAGGAGGAGTGCTGCGGGTGGGAACGTACATCGGCCCTGGTCTGCTGAGGTCCGTCGGCAAGCCGAGGGCCAACTGAGTCGTTCTGGGCACGTCGTCTTTCGACATTTGCCTTCCCCTCCGATGGGTATTGCTCGATGCCCATCTCTGTGGCTCCCTGTCACTCGAGTTCGAGGCCCAAGCCGAAGGCGGAGGCTTGCTCTCCGTTGTGGCTGCAGCAAGGCCGGGTCCGCGCGGATCGCGCGTCGTGGGATGGGCAACTCTGCTCAAGCAAGCGTGCTGCTCAAGCGTGCTGCTCAATGGAGTGACTCCTTCCCTCTGTCTGGCTCTTGAGTCCTGACCAACGGCCAACCTCAATTGATCCCCACAGTGATCATGGCACATGGGCCGCCATCCACACACCTCGTAGTCACTTGGTAGTACGTAGCAGTACGGGGTACAATGTGCTTCATCTCGGCTTGATCAGTGGCATCAGGGTTGGGAAAGGCTCGCGAAGCGACGGCACTAGCGCGTTGCCCAACCCGTGCGAGTTCCCAACAACCAACCCTCCGAGGCCCAGCCGCTAATCTGCCAGCATGGCCGGCGCATGCTTTTGCTTGATTTGGACAAGTCTCGGTGGAGTCCCGCAAATCGGCAGCTGTCGTTGACATGCCCGCCTCCTATTGTCTAGTCTACCGAACTTGAGAGGCCCAAGCTGCTCCCGCCTTTTCTGGTTTCGGTAAATCATTTTCGGCCTTCAGATGTGCATCTTCCGGCCACTGCTTTTGCCCATGGGTCGTGATGTGCGAATAAACAACTCCCGCAAGAGTCGTACAATTGTGCCGGGGTTCCGGCATTGGCGCCTCCATCTTGGCCAACCTTGCCGCAGCCTGAGGATGCCGCCTGGCGCCTTTGCTCTCGCTGCCTAAGCTGTGTCTGGCTGTGGAGAGTAGGACGTGTCAAAGAATAGGCCCGTCGACAAACTAGTTGTACTGTAGTAAAGGCAACAAGAATAAAACAAACAAAACGAAATGGGCCTTGGCTTCTACAGCGCTGCCAAGATATGTGCCTCTGCATATCTTTATTCCTTCATTGCCCCCCCCAATGAGAACTGATCTCACTTCCAAACCATTGCTTATGACTAGTAGCAAATCAGAGGGACCGAGGATGTGCCTTGTAGAGCAACAAAGAAGCCCTTTGTTGACCCCTTTGTTGATGTAATGTGCTGATACGGTATGGGTCATCTCCGAGCGACATGGTCCTTGGTTTGAACGAACGCGCCAAAGCGTACCCGGTCCAGTCCACGATGGTGATGAGCCACGTACCAAGCAACCGGGACAGACGTCTAGGCCTGAGTGCCCCAACTGGTTTGCTCCGGAATGAGAATGAATTTAAGCACAAACCGGCGCGTGCTAATTAATCGACTCCTTTGCGAAGCTTATGTACATCCCCCCACTTTCCGACTTCAGCCACGATATGCAACCTGGCCTGGATCATTGGGCTTATCGGTTGGCTGTCTGGTTGGCTGTCTGGCCCGCTCAAAGGCTCTCGCAGGCTCTCGCAATGGTCTAGGCTTTCGACAGTCCTGTGAGACTCTGGCTAACCCGATGTATCTTTCAAGGCTGTCGAGAGGTCGAGATCTGGCGGGGATTGCCAGCCCTGTGCAACAATTTCTGGTGTGGCTGATGCTGAGACATGTTTTTTTTTGTAAAAAACTTTTTTTTCCGGCCTTCATTTGCTGGCTTCTTGTTCATCTTTAAGGCCCGTGCCGAGATCTCAGTATCGAGAGGACTGTTCTCTCCAGTTTCAATACTTCGTAGCGTCGGCGACTCCACGTTGTTGACTCAATACCATGCAGTCCGGGATGCTTGCATATTCATGATAGTACATCCATCCTAGATTCGTTCTCTAGCTGAATTTTGAGCTCTTCACGCCGCGGCATAAGCCGCCTATTGGTCACCCATAGTCTAATCTGGTCTGTTGGTTAATGCACCATGCTCGATGCCGGCACGTGGCAAGCGTTGACTGCGATTGCGTTGTACAAACTGTCGGCAACATCCGCGGAGACGAATCTGAGACCAAGGGCATGCCAGGTTGCAGACGGCGAGCATTTTGGCAGGCGTCGTTTTTGTTGGAGGGACGCCCAGCTTGCCAGCCCAACCCTACCCAACGGGGAACCAGACAGCTGGGTTGATCGGCGCCGGTATAGCCTCAATAGGCTTAACAAGAACTTGCTGCCAAGAGGAATGACATAGTATCTACTTACTTTAAGCTCTATGTCATGCCACCGGGGGATATTGTACGTATCTTCTGCTAAAGTCGCACGCGCCATAAAGTCCCGTATCGGGGACTCATACTCCCTGCCCGTATCTTGGCGTATTTGGCACAATTTCCGACTATGCTTAAAGTGTCTGGAATACGGGACTGAAACATGGGCGATGAAATTGACGCTCCTCAATTGGCGATCGCAACTTCTCAGAATGGTTCGTTTGAAAACTTGACACAATGACTGCTGGCTAAGTGTCACCCCCCGATGTCAAGCTAATTTGGCGCGGCACACAGCTCCCCTTCGGTGCTGGCATTTGGAAAATGAAGTGCTTACGCCAATGGCTTTCCCAAGGCGAGGCTCCATATAGATACGATATGTACGTACTGCGTACAGAAGGGTGGATGACAGGGCAGCGGCCTGTGAAAGGGCTCACCTGACTCGAATCATAACATCGGAAGTTCTTGTGTTGTCATGATGGTGGCTTCAGCTGCGAAGACGTACTGGCCTAGATTACCACCAGCAGCTCAGACCAGACGCTCTCAGGGGCACTTCTCTGCGTTCCCGTTCCTTCTATTCGGGTTAATTTGGCCGCGCGCTGCACCGGGTTGAAAACAAGGCGCCCGTCATGCTCACTCGAACGCCATGGGGCTTGGGAGCTAGACAGTGTTCCGACTTCAGTGCGAGTGGGCGGAGGCAGATTGGCGGCGAGGCAAAGAGTGTGAGATTTGGATGACGACGGACAGGGTTCTGATGTTTGGTTGGTGGTTACGTGGGCCATGGGCTGCGTGGACTCGGGCGTGGTCTGTATACTTAGTACCTACTAAGAAAGTACGGAGCACACCTGACCTGGGGCTGACTGTGGGAGCAAGAATGAAGTTGGCGAATCAGGAGCAGTCGTAAGCGAAACTGGGCCTCACTTTGGCTGTGGCACGGGCGAATTGCACCCGCCCGTCCAAACTCTCGAGGATGCGCCCGCCATCATCGATCGCTCTACTGTGTCTGGTGTCTGTTGCGTCTGGTAGCCAGTGTCTTGGATCTTGCCAGCAACCTACCTAGGTAGGTAGTCAGCGGTCGTCCAGACTGCCAGATCCCCTGCCATCCTATCACCATCGCTAGACACCAGATGTTGTTGTTGGAGGCGGTTTGTGGCTGTAAAGGGCAGCCTGGCGACTTGGAAATTTCTGGAGGAGATCAGAGGTTAGTCACTTCCGACATGCTGCTTTGCTTCTCATCGTTATCTAGCGTCCCAATCAACCCCCGCAAACTCAGCCAGATGAGGGACTTGCCTGGTGCTCAAGTGTTCGAGACAAAGGCTGTTGAGGCGGCGCGCGGGCTTTGGCAAGCGAGAGTTTTGCCAGTGTTTGTCCTAGTTTTCTGAACCGAAGCCTTCAACCGTCTGTGCCAACGCCGACTGCCAGAGATAATCGTTTGTTGTCCGGGTGCCAGTGTTGCACACCGAGGGTTCGCCAACGACAACATCATACCACAATGTGGGATAATACAAATCACATGGCTTGTCAACATCCAGACCAGGTCGAGTTACATGGTGCCCTGTGGATATCTAGCCATCACCCATCAGTTTTCCCTATGCAGGATCTGATAACTAGGCCAAGGGTAGCTCTCCGACTTTCAACCACGACAAATCATGAGCCCTTTCGCGAGGTATGACGATTTTGGTCGCACGGCCTAGGTATGCTAAATGAGAAGCCATTTTGGATATGGAAAGGTGACAGCACATGGTCAAGTCTTCCTGCTGGTGCAGTTCTGGTCTTGCCACTGTCATGTCAATCAAGTATCTGTCTCCGCGCTGCCTCACCTTGATAACCCAGGTAAACGAGCTAGTTGAACCCCCGCAGCCCTTCCATGACTCTCAAGGTCTTATCCACCAGGGCTGTTGTGACGCTGCTCCAAAACGTCCAAAAAAAAAAGCAAGACTTTGTAACTATACGGTAAGTGTAAGGCGTCTCTTTTCGCATGGCACCTACCAGTACGGCGTGTCACTACTGCTAATCACTCCAGATGATAAGTACAGACGAGGCCAATGTCGGCGAGCCGCGCTCTCAGCGGAAACATGTCACGCTGTGGTCAGACCACCCAAGGACCCAAGCACCATTCGTCTTGAAGCAAGGTGGCAGGGCTGTCGGGCAATGAGTTCGGAACCTGCCATACGGTGGGTTGCATTTGATCCCGGAACGGCCTAGCCCATCCTACTCCCTGTCCGCACATGGCAGAAAACTAAAAAGCAAAAACCAGAGGCACAGCCAGGCCCTGAAGCGATGAACAAGCCAGAGAAAAGTAAGACATGCTCGAAATAGCTGTAGAGAAACAAATTCTGCGGGCAATGCGGAGTACATGGCCTGGAAAAAGAAAGTAGCGGTTGGCATCAGCCAGCACCGAGAGCAACAGAACACGCAGAGAAGTCTCGAAGTCGCTTGTTACGACCACCACCCTGGCCCGCCACGGAGGATGGCTAGGTGTCGCGGAGGGTTGCCAAAAGCAGAAGACGCCCGTTTTAAATAAATGGGGGAATCCCACCGCAAACTCAATCTATTTAAGTAGAGGGAGGAACCCAACGCGCCCTAACGACTGCGACCGCGACGGTTAAACTGGAGAGAGACCTCTCCGCAAGGCTCAAGAGGCTACAAACGGTGGCTGTGGTGAGCGAACTGGGCCCCCTTGCCAGGCGAGCCATCAGGGAAAACAGCAGCTCGGTGTGTTACAACGACCCCAAAACCAACGACGCCAACGATGGGGCCATGATCTGTTTAATCTACGCAGCCACCCCGGCTGTGACGTGCAGCCAAGCGTGTGAGCGGACGGGACAACAGCCAATGGAGGGCGTTCTGGTTGCGCAGCACCCGCCGAAAGCGGAATTTGCCCAGCCCTGAGGGTTTGAGCCAGACCAGTCTGCCAGGACCTTTCCATCTGGTGTACGGAGTAGTGATACATGTACGGAGTGTGGGAGCTACGGTACGGAGAAGAGCAGTGTACTCCGTATGATGTATTGCACCGTGGGAGCTGCATCCTGCAGAAGGAGTACCACGCGAGCTGCAGGGAATCGGGCTTCTTTCTCGCTGGACGCCTGTCCTCCTTCTCTGGCGTGGGCCTGGAGCTCTCGTGGAGCCCGTGGTCCGTGTTTATGATGGAGCCAAGTTCAAGCCTGTGAGGTAATGAGGGTAAGGTGTGGTAGACATGAAAGGCAAGAAGGGGAAAGAGAGCTGCATAATAAAAAGTGACCAGGCTAGAAAGAGAGAATTGGGTCCCATTCTCTAGGCGTACTGCATTTAACGTATGTGTACAGAGTACATACATGCGATATATCCTATGGAGAGGAGCCAGACACAGACACTGGAGGGCCAGGCCACTTGTACAGACTGGAAGCCACGGGAAGAGCCGTGGGTGACAAAGGAGACAGACAGGCTGGTATCGCAGGCGCAAAGGCGTTTGCGGATATGCATGCTCAGATTCGGGGCATCAGTTCGCCGCCGCGCTGGCCCTTCTTTCATTGATGGATACACAAGTGTAGCAACGGAGCAGCCGGCTCGTTGCATCCACATGCTTACCCGTCAGCTCCAAAGGTTGAAAGATGGAACAGCAGGAGGCACATGGCGCATCTGCCGCATCGGCCAGAGCTGCTGAAGCAGTCATCTGGAACTTGGTTGCAGGATACCTGCCCGCAAGGGTTGGAGACTTTGTGGACGCCGGACGATGCTGAGAAGTCGCCCAGCGGATGCAATGCGTAGCACTGAAGCTCGTACGCTCTGTCCCAGGTCCTGTCTACTTGTGCAGGCGAACATGGTGCCGCCATAACTATAGGCATGTCGCAAGACGGAAAGAATCAGAAGACGACGACGAAGATGACGGCGACGGCGACGACGACGCACTGGCATGGTGTTGGACAAATTTGGCAGAAACGGTGCCGCTGCTCCAACTGACGCAATACGACGATGGAGTGTCTCATGGCGGTCGCGCTCTGCCATGGCCATGCGATCCCTACAGACATTGACGCTAAACATTGAACGCACGACGGCGAGGGCAAGGGGGCCGCCCTGGGCCTAGCGGTATCGCAGCCAACAAGTGTGCAAAGGAGCTCGCCATGCCCCCCTTCAACGTCTCCCCAGGCGCCCGCGGTTCCACCGTTGCAAGGAGCGGCGAGAGGAGCGAGAGGAACGGCCCCCAGCTGTCGTCGTCCTGGTGAAGAGGGAGCTTGCCAGGGATGCCCTCAAGTGCTCACGGCTGTGACTGGACGGGCCACGCGCCGCCACTGCGGCAGCCTTGGTCCGCCGCGGTGCCATGGCTGTATGGCTCGACCCAGCCCACAACGCCTCGAACCTACACACCCTCCCCCGGCTAGTGGGAGTCGTCGGGAGACTGTGAAGATTTGTGCGAGATGGCGCCCTGCGACAGGCTGCGCGTCCATCGCGATGGCAAGGAAGGAAGGAAGGAAGCAAGGACGGCAACCAAGAGAAGGGCGTGTCCAAAGTGGCCCTGGGCCCAGAGCCAGAGCCTGCGCATGTGGCCCCCCTTCCACACCACCCACCCCTGGCCGTGCAAGCCGCGCCTGGCTGCGTCGCCAATGTGGTCGCCATACAGCCCACTTACACCCACCAGACAAGGACAGTCCATGTCCACCAGACCGCAGAGCCGAGCACTGAGCAGCCCACCGCGAGCGCCCAGGTCGCCCGTCTCTCCGCGTCCACGACCCAAAGGAGACCCAGAGGAGATGCTGTCCCTGCCAAAGCTGGCCGTGGCCAAACCGCCCAGATGCCAACTCGTCGCGGGCACCCTGGAGGGCACAATGTGCTCCGGAGGTGCCGCCACATGCTCTCGTCGCTGCTCTGGGCTCTGGGCTCTGGGCTCTGGGCTCGCCCATGTCCTGGCCTCGGAGGGCTGCTCGATGATGCCCGTCCGCGGCAGGGGTCGTCGTCGCTTTGCCTTCCGTCCCCCCGGCCGCAGTTGCGCACCAAACACACGCCATCTCACAGCCCACGATGTCCAGGGCCTAGGCCAATGCAATGCCGGAAACCATATGTACGGTACAGAGAGAGTGTGTGTGTACACACCGGACTCGTCGTTCCCTTCCTTCATCTACCCTCTGTGCCCCCTCGCCCAACTTCTCAATCCCTCGTGAACACCTTCTCCTCATCTAAGATTTTGTGCCCCCTTGACAACATCCTCACCAACAGGGCGACACTAGACATTTGATTGGGTTGTGTCTCACTCTTGCGCACCCTTTTCGACAACCTCTCCATCGGGCCATATACGTCTTTGTCTGTTCCCTAGGCTATATTCGACCCTTGATAAAGAGACGACGCCAGCTTTCTGTCCCGCTTCCAGCCTCGCATTGAAAATCTAATAGAGATTGCCGTCCATTCTTTGCCGTCAAAGTTCTGGAAGTCTTTACAGAAAAAAAAACTGACGTCCCTTCGTTAATCAACCTTGTCTCTCTCTCTCTCTTGATCGGCTCCGCCGTTCCGTTCCCTTACACGACTTGACCTTTCGCAACATCTCTTATACATTGTGCAGCAGCCATCGCCTCAATCTCTCCAACAACACCAAGAGCCACATCATGGGACCCTTCTCCCAACAGCAATGGCCGTCGTGGGCTTACTCCAACGTGGCAGATCCATTTTCGACATACACGCACTTTTCCAACTTTAACGCTTACCTCCACGATTCTCTGGATGTCTATCAACCACATCACAGCCGCCTGGTTCAACACCACCAGATGTCCAGGGCCACTGAATCGAAACCCCGCCTGTCCAAGGAAGAAGTCGAACTTTTGGAAGCCGAGTTCCAGAAGAACCACAAACCTAGCAGTACGACGAAGAAGGCCCTTGCTGAATCCATGAGAGTGGACAATGCTCGCATTAATGTTAGTGAATGTCTCGCCATGAAATGGCGTTCCACATTGAACTAGCATGTTGTGCTAACCATTGGATGTAGAACTGGTTTCAAAACCGACGGGCTCGTGAGAAGAAGGAGAACAATATCAGGGAATACGAGGCCAAACAGCGATTGGAGAAGGAAAGATCCGAGGCCTCGGGGGAATCTCAGTCTGAGGGCAGTCGTCAACGCGATTTGGTTGCTTCGAGTGCTCCATTCCCCCAGCCAGGCATCAACACGAAGCCAGAGTCTGACGCCGCCCTGTCCCCCTCCGAGAAGTCACTTCCCGACCCATCTGGCGAGACGAATGAGCCTAGCCAAAGCGATGAGTCTGACCTCCTCTCCCCGCTCTCGCTCCCCACAAGGCAGGAAATCGGCATGGCTCGTCCTTCCAAATTCAGCGGACTCTTGCTCAAGACTGAGCAGGACGAGGATGATAATTGTGCCCTGTCCGATCGGGTGGATGAGTACTTGGCCATGCAGAACGGGTCCATGCTGGCTGTCACCTCAAAGGCAGCCGAGCAACAGCTCTTGGCCGGATTTGGTGGCCAGCACGACACCGACAGGCACGAACAAGATGCCGACTCATCGCCATTCACTGATAATTCCGAACCAAGGTCCCCTGAAGAAGACATTGCCTCCCGCCGAAACCGACGCCCAGCTCCACTCTCTATTACCGGTGGCCGGAGCCACTCGTACTCGTCCAGAGCCTGCGACTTTTCTTCAAGAACGGGCGACCAGGCGGCTTCCATGCGCAGGATTTCTTCCAGTACGGGATCCGGCCGTGTGAAGAAGTCTGCTGCCACCCCTCGAAGCCCGTTCTTTGATAGAAACGCAGATATCCTTTTTCAACGAAGACATTCGCCCAATGCAATTGGCCGCCAAGGATCTGCGGCGCCTCCTACACCCGATACTCCTGTTACTCTCCAACAACACGGGTCAGTGGATGCTGCCATGCCGTCGCTGTACTCTCTCGAGGGCAAGTATACGCCGCCAGATGTTGTCATATCTGATCCCACCTTGCGCACACCACCGACCACGCCAGGCTTTGGCGACTCGCTTTTCCACCTTGGTGCTGGGTACGAGATGGGCATTTCCGAAGAGACCATTATCGGCCCTGGCGTTGATCGAGCCAATCGTGGGGTGCAAATGGCTGGCAACCCGGCCGCGTTTGCCAGCTACATACTCAACAACGCACAATGCTCAACTCAACAAATGGCCCCCCTGTTTCCAACACAAATGGCGCACCCTTACTTTGGTTTCATGGGCACCAATGAGAACTCCGAGTACAATTGGTCCGACTTGTCACCTTCGACAGCATCCACGTCCTCGACCTCTCAACAGAGATACATGGCTCTCAGCCACATCCAAAACTAGCTTCGTCTCCGTACACCATCCATGACACGACACGACAACCCCCTGTACTCCTAGCCGCTTGCAATGATGTGAACGCGAGGATCACTTGTATAAAACGTTTTTTTTCTCTATATATTGTCAGCACGAACCCACGAAAAGCCGCACCGAAAGACACAGTCCGGATTACTGTGGTCCATTTCGTCTACCTTGACTGCAGATCAGATATACAGCTCTTGCATGTGGGAGGATGCAAAATTTGCTCCCCCCTTCCCCTGTTGTTCTTTTTTTTTCCACGTGCGTCTCCGCGCATGTAATGAATATCATAGTATTTATGGGAGGATTGGATTATCATGTTTTCTTTACTACAAATTTTGTGTAAATTCTTGGCGCTTCGGTATAGCGATGGAAGGGGGCAAATACCCAAGGAGAAGGGGCATATCATTTACAGAGGCTTATTACAGCCTCGAGAGAGTTCATTATCGGCGTAGGCGACTGAAAAGGCGGCCGAATAGCCAGCATTTACCCAATACTAAATTCTGAATACAGTCGACAAGATGTACTTGAGCATTACGCATTGGTCAAAATCAAAAAAGGGTGATGTGCTCTGCACTCGTGATATGCAAGTGAGCCTGATTATGAGGCCAGTCTGGGAATACAGCAGCCAGGCCAACGGCCAGCAATGGTATCCCTTTCCGGCACGTATGTATTCACGACAAGCTACGAAGCAGCACGGCAGTGGGGGGGAAGGGGACAAATTAACCTTTTTGTGCAACAGGTACGCCGCGGAAGTACGATGACCAAGGCAGGCCGGCCTGACGCCGGCACCGACACAGCGTGGCCAAGATATGTACATGGTTGAAGGCGGAGGGAAGCCTCGTCGTGCCAGCGAGGGAGGGTCAAAGGGGGTAGGGGACATGGAGTCTAGGGACAAAGAGCAGCGTTGAACAGTCAGTGCTGGTACGTGCCACGGACGGGCTCATTCTGCCACGTCGTGCTTGTAGTTGGAACTTGGGCCACGTTCCGCAGGACTCGTGACACTATTTTTTTTCTTTCTAAAAAACTGATTAAGCTTGTTTGCGTGAACGAATCTGCTTATCTGGGAATCTTGCGGAAAACTCTGGGGCGTGGGTGAAGCAACTGCGCTGGCTGGGGAGGGTGTGGTGCACGCAATTTACGCATGTACGTACGGAGTTATGTAGGCGTGTATGTGCATGATGTGATGTAAATGGGTGGATGCACGGAGTTTATTTTCTAGAAAGAGGTTTGTCTCATTGTCGCAGGGCGGGTGTCGTGCCACCCGTGTCGTGGGTTCTGCCGCCGCCGCCGGCTGCTGATTGGCCGAGGGGCGCAGGGACGACACAGGGCACGACAGGCAGGGTTGGCTTTTTTCCTTTGAGCTTGGGGGGATGGATGGATGAGGATGGGCGGATCGACGCGTGCGGGTGCTGCGCTGGGCTTTTTTGCGAGGGACGCTTTGGGAAGCACGCGCATCTCGGCCGCGTCGGTCGGGGGGAAGGGCGGGATCTGCATCACGATCTTGCGGAGCGAGACGAGTGGCAGGGCATGTTGTACATACAATGGCCGGGGGGCAGAGTTGCATTGGAGCTAGATGGAGATGGGGATGGACGCAGGAGACGTTTGTATTTTTTTTCGGCCGGCTATTGCTTTGCAACGAGGCTTGTTTGTCCCGGGGGGGCCATCGGAAGCCGCCCGTGTCGCATGGTCTGTCACGGGGTCCAGGAACACTCGGACACGGACACGCAAGACGACCAGAGGTGAATTTCGTGCATGAGGGGGGGAGGGAGGGAGGGAGCAGCCGGGCCTGTGGCGGGACATGGGCAGGGTTGGCTCGGGACGGCTACTGCTTTGCATGCGAGGCCTTGGTGATGACTGATTGCGACTACGATCAATGTACGTACTCCGTACAATGTACGTGTTCTGCCCGCGTGCCAGGGGTGCGGGGCGGATATCACGGCCGATCCCAGCCGGAGGAGTTTGGACGCGACAGCGCCAACCCCAAACTTGCCAAGATTCGTTTTTGGGGAAAATGGGACACAGCAGGGGGGGAAGGAGCTCCTGGTCGGTCGATTTCTCCAATCCGGCGGGCTGCATTCCCGTTTTCTTTCTTATTTTCCCGACGCACAAAGAGAGGGGGGCTTCCGCTTCCAGAATCCCCCTACTACGAACAGGCACAACGCTCCGGCGAAACAAAGGAAAACATGGAAAAAGGTGCACTCACCAGAGCCGCGAAAGCAGCCAGACCGTTGGGGGGCGCGGACCAAACGCCCATTTTGCCGGCGCCAACGCCCCTCGATGCCTGCCTCGTATCTCCCGTCAGCCCGCCAGGTGCTCCGTATTAGAGTTTTATCCATCTGGTATCAGGTGGTGCTGCAAAGGCAAGCCTTCTCCCCAGCGCTATACAAGGAAAAACAACAAAATCCCCCGAGGCAGAAAATGGCAGAATGCCAAAAACCCCGGCATCCCTGTGCGAGAAAGTTGCGTCTAAGCGAGACGCCGGGGCCTCTGAGATAGAGTTTAGCCCGTGGGCAGAGGGGGAGTGCCGGATCGGCCCTTGCTTTTAAGTAGTAAGAGAAAAAAACAGACCGTTGATCCGGTCTCTTTCGCTCGTTCCCCCCCTTTTCCTCCCCATTTAGAAAAAGGGGGGGGCCGATGTAACGGCGATTGGATGTTTGGCTTTGCAGGGGCGTGCCGATCGCGAGAGGATTTGTGCCAAGGCTGTCTGGATATTTTTTTCTCCCCTCGTAACGCTTTGTCCTCTCCGTCATGGTCCCTCCTGGTTGGTCCTTCAATGTTGGTTAGAACTGCCGCCAGGCCGCTTCGGCTGGATTGGCCCGTTTGGTAGTGGGAAGGAGCGATGCTCGCTGGTTCTTCCAGCCTCGTGCGGAAACACGGCACCGAGGTGTTCTGTTTCTTTTGATGCGGGAGTCGTCACAAAGACGTCGACTGGTGTTTTGATTGTTTGGTTTCTGCCCGTTGACCCAGAGCAGCTTGTTCGGTTCTTGCACGCGACGACCCGTGGCAAAACGCGGCCAAGTCCACCGAACAAGGTTTTTCCATCGTGGCACGCAGAGCACGCATGTACATAGGGCCGTTTCGGTCCCGTACGGGGCTGCCTTGCAAGGACATTGTCTTCTTGTGCCGAGAGACTGTGGTGTACTGTACATGGTTGCGTACATGCGTACAGTACAACCCGCCGCCCTTTTAGAGCCCACTTTTGATATATCGCCAGTCAGTACTCCGTAGTATAGGAGTTTCATATAGCCCATGATAGACGGGCCCTGGGTCCCGGGACCCAGTTGTGGGGAGGAACGCGTATTTGGAGCCGTAGAGAGTCGATGAATTGTGGTTTTCCCCCTTTGACCTGCATACATCTGGCGAGCCGAACATGCTGGATGCCCACGGGACGACTGTGAAACTTGGCATTTACACGCCTGTCCGGGGCCCGTCGGAAGAGAGTGCCTCCAAGGCCGTCTTGGCGCGGGATACAGCCTCTTGGTGTTTTTGCCGAGCCCTGCCATCTTGCCTGTCGCGTCCGATATTCTTGGTATACAAGGGCGGGCTGCGATACTTGGCGTCGGGGCCATGCTGCGGAAACGGTTGCTTCTGTAACCGTAGAGCGGGAGTGTCGTCTTGCTGCATCCGGGATGCTGTACACAAGATAGATTGCCTTCTCGGTATGGATTTTGGCTCATCGGCTGGAAACTCTTTTTGTATTTACGCAAATTCCACCAATGACGAGGGTGACACGGCACAAGGATGGTGGGAGGTTGAAAATCTAAATTCTACATGCAACCACAGCACAGAACCTTGAGCTATACATGTCCTTACTTTGTCATAGCCTGCAAGGCTTCGTCTCTGCATCTGTGGCCCGCAATCCTCCGTAGTTGCTGCGCTCTGCCCCCAGCGCCTCCAACACTTCACCGGGTCCGCGCGCAACCAGCGCCGCCGTGCCTAGCTCTACAAGCACGCCGGCGTCGTTCTTGGCTGCTGCCAGCAGAGCCGTCAACCTGTTGCTTCTGACGCTCCATGTGCCCCTTTGCGCTTCCGCGCTGCTGTCCCATGTGCCACCTAGGTTGTGGTACACGGACATGCGGACGTCTCGGCGCTGTCCAACGCTGGCCGGTGGGACTGCTCGGGGGAGCTGTTGGGTTGATGCCCAACAGGAATCGACTCTGGGCAACCAAACCGCTGCCGGATGCGTGTCCAAGGCCTGGATCTAGGCCGGACCTGTCGGCATGGCGGCGACTGGGCATCATGGCCTCGCCTAGGGCGCGCTTAGTAGCTCGGTTTCGCGTTCCCTGAGACCTTTGAGCTTAAAGAAGCTGCCCCTTTCCCCTAGAGTCATGCGTGTGAAATCTTTGGTCACGCATCACTATTGGTATTTGTAGGACGCTTCATAGGGGACCCGAGTTCGCGCTCACTGCGCGGCTCACGACGTGGCGGCTCGTGGTGGTTCCGCAGACAAAGCTGACGCTGCAGCCCATGCTCTCCATCTCTCGCTTGAAGATCTCGTCGTGTCGCTCGCTGCCGCCATTACGAGAGAAGGCGAGACTTTGGGCGCCTGTTGAGCCATTTACACGGAGACGAAACGGCCTAAATTGCCAGGCTGCCTCCCAGTAGATACGAGGCTGAGCTGTCGAGCTGGAGCTGTTGATAGGTGCTTGATACTGCCAATCTGCAAGACTCCCGACTCGTCGAACATTGACCATAGCCAATGTGATTACCCTACTGCATGTATCTGGATGCGTCTTGGATTCGATCCGCGGCGTCTACTTGTGTAAGCCAGATGGGAGGTACATGACCGGCGCGTAGTATTGCATCATTGTATCTCAAGGGCCTATTATCAAATAGGCATGTTAGCATCGTTTTTCGAGTTGGCTGAATTATTCTGCTCATGGAGTAAACGCAAACTCACGCTGAAATCATTTCTGGCTTCTCGACTCCCATTTGGCTGATTTCCACGTAACAGTAGTCTCTATTCTCTAGAGACACGTCCATGT